CCTTGAGCTGACCCACTTAATTTAATTTCTTGGCCTTCTTGGGTTTATCTTTGCTCCCTCAGCTGCAGGAGGACAAGGCGTACTTCTACCTCCCCCCCTGTGTGCACGTGTTCCAACTAGCTCGGAATCCCTAAACACACAATCAGTGATGATTCCTGGCTTTCTGTGGTTGTGATTTAGACAAAGGCGCCTCTGTTTTCTTCCATTGCCTTTGAGTCGACACTGCCCTATTATTTGCCCATGTGCTGAGGTCATAGAATTCGTTTTGACTTCAGTAATATTAACATTCAGTATTGGATTAGCAAATGGGCAATGGTTCATTGATGTAGCTCGCAGCCTGGTCTCCAATTTGAGCGAGCGCGAGGATCGATACTTTAGCCTACTCTGTTGTTGAATTTCGAATTTTGACGTTACTTTAAAACCATGCAGGATGGTTGGGCTTTTTGCCTTAACTATGTCTGGCTGACACTCCCACTGTCTCTGCCGCCTGCACGGGTGACATGTGCCCGTTCATCAGGCCTTATCTTTCCTTGAAGCAAGGTTGCAAATTCTGCCATCCTAGCCCTCCTCCAGTTCATCACTTAACAACACCTGGTGTTTTGCAGTTTGCTGCGCTTTGGTGTGTTTAAAAAAAACAAGTAAAAAGATAATATATAAAAATCATCAAATATTATTAATCTCAATTTTGGAGGAAGGGTTAGTATACAACACCGGGCCTGCGAGGCCACAGCGGGATGTATACTGTTGTGTGTACACCCCGGACACGGGGTGTAGTACCAGCCCTAGTGGGGGCTTTGGTGAGCGCTGGTTAAGCGTGGTGGCACCACGCATAGCGTGCGGTGTGGGCTCCAGTTGAGAGAGCAAGAGAGTGTCAGCCAGCTAGGGTTATGTTGGGGGCATGATACTCTGGCTGACCTGGGGACATATGACCGGATGATACTGGAGGGGGGGCACCGATGGAGGGGGCCAATGGGTGGTCACATGGTCTGGGAAGAACTCCCGAGAGCCTTTGGGCAAGGGCGAGAAGTGGAAATCTTGGGGAAAGGTCACAGAGGGGGCCTATCGGGAAGCCTCGGGAACCCACTCGTGGGTTCCCGAGAGGGAGAGTATAAGAAGGGGCTCTTGTGGGGGACCTCGGGGCTGTTGCTGGAAGTGGGATCTCCGTCATGCTGTTCAAGATAGTCGTTACCATCTCGTCGCCATCGCTCTGTCATTCGTCGCCATCGTCGCTGCTGTCTTCACTCAATATTGCGCTGCTAGATGGTTGTTGGCTGTCTCCGTCAGCACCGTCAGTGTTAGACGGTTAGAGTTGTGTTTAGGCTAGCGACTGTAAAGTGTGCACCCACGTAGGGTATGTATTATTCCGATGGTGTTTGTTAATTAAAGGAAGTGTCTCCAAGTCTTACTGTCTCCGAATTAGTCACTACACTTGTATTAAACCAATGGTTTCATAAATAAATACATCACTGACAGAAGGCCATGTGGCTGATGTTACGTGTAAAACATTTTTTTTGTGATTGTAGTGTGGTGTTGTCTGCGTATTTATGGGGTGACCATAGGTGGGTGAAGGCTAAACTTTACACTCCCGAAATGTTGCAACACGGTGCAATAAAGGAATGAGTCAGTGCTTAGGCACGTTACTGTTATCATCGCGAGAGTTGTATTTTAAATGAGACATTATTACTGCTCTCTCCAGCTAATTAAGGTTAACAAAATTAAGCATTAATTAGGTTATTACAGTGTCAATGAACAGTGACATGTTAATACATTTATAAAGTAAAGCCGTGGTTGTGGCTCATGCCCAGCCGGCTGGTCGGCCGCCGGGTCCTGTGGCGCCTCCTCCAGTAGTAGAACGAGTGCGAGAGGGGATCTTGGCGCCGGCAGGCCCCCCATAGGGAGCCGGCGCAATACCTCCTGGAGCGCCCTCTCCACGCGGACAATGCGGTCCTGCATGGGGTCCGGGCCCCCTGCTGCTGCTGCTCCCGCGAGAAGGCTCTCTTGTTGCCCTGGCCCTGGGGGGATCCCCGGGGGGGGGGGGGGGGGGTCCCGGCCCCTGCTTCCTCTTCCATTGGCTCTTTTCCACGGAGGTTGTAGCCATTGTCGGAACCACCGCTGCCACCCGATGTAAGGTAGAGCCGACACGAGGTTGCAGAGGTTTCGTCCTTCATTTCTTCCCGCAGTCCAAACTTGTTCCCAGCCTTCTCCGTCCGTTCCCCGCCAGCTCTCCCCCTTGCCCCCCTCCTTTACTTAAGACATGCTATACGGTGATAATAAAAACGAGACCGTCATATATTCACAATTTTCATCCCATTTTTGGTATCAGATAACCGTAAGCCGCATGCCATTTTTAAATCCTACGGTAATTGGCTACATTCGCCCTAACTTAATTTAATCCTGATCTTTGTAGCTCGTGTTGTCGTTGCTTAATGTTTACAATACAGTGCTTGAAAATGTTAATGAACATATTGGAATACTGCACACACTGTATATGAAGTCAGCAGTTATCAATGCGCAAGTAAAAGTACATTGCTTGTACTACAACACAAATGCAGTTTCTTTGTTAAAACATGGTGTTGAGGCTTATCGTTAGATGTCGTAAGAGCATTATTGTGTAAGATGTCAAGGTTCGGTGTTTTGGAGTGATGCAATGTTCAAGCAAAAAACATGGATATGAGCCCTTACTTGACATCTTGTCAATTATTAAACTGAGCTGGACATGTTGGTCACCAACAATTGTGTATGTGTGAAGGAAGGTGATGAATGTGATTATTAGCGAACTCCACTTTGATCTCAACAACCTGACACAAAATACTCATCCAGTCCCTTATACTGTATAATTCAATACAAAGGCAGACCGTATACTCCTTCAACGCTCATACTGTACTGGAATACAGGGTGACCCAAAAAAACGGGCCCCAACTCTAATAGGCCCCGTGTGCACGGGGCCCGTTTTTTTTGGGTCACCCTGTATTCCATCCCAAAAGGCCGTGTGGCTGATGGGATTTGTCCAGTAAAATATACTTGAGTTTGTTTTGATGTGGATGGACAGATATAGAGGTGAATTGTCTGTTTATTTGTTTTCAAAGATCTGAGTTATATTCCTGGCCACGTTACATAATTGGGGGTATTGAGTCTCAGTGCCTTTGTGTGTGGTGCAGTGGTTCTTACACTGAGCTATGAACCTGTTGACCTGGGTTCGATTCCAAACCATTAACAACAGTGGCAAGCGGTTTCAAACCATGTCCTGTTTAGCTTGTTGCACTACCCCCGCACTTCCGATTTGCACGGTACATATCCTAAGGTCGACTTGGTCTTAAATTAGTATCTAGTGCCAAAAGATGTACTAAAAAGATTAAGGTCGCTATAATTGTTACTGACTACACTAATCTCTCATGCACCTAATAAAGTGCTCACTAACAGTTCTTGCTCTTACGTTCTGCAAGGCTGCAATGTGTTTGTCGTTGGTACAATGTATTTATGTATTATATCGAAGTATTTCCACGTAATATATGTTGACACATATTCAAAACCGGTGAAAGTACATTAACATTTTAGCAAACAGTACTTCTTGATGATATGAGGTTCTTCAAGGCTGACCTGAACGTTTCCTTTACGTGTTGTAACGTATTCACGTCAGTAGTACAACTATGTAAGAAACGCATCTAACCACAATTGTATTCATAACCACAATTGTACCATAAAGTCAACATGATTTATGGAAGTTGACTAGCATTGATTCAAGAAAGCCTGAGTGTTCTGATAAGACAGGTGGTGTTGAAGCCGGTCCAGTGTTTGCTGATTCTGAATCAATACTATTTAAATGTTAGTCCCAGAAGGCTGTTGGGCCGATGGGTTGTGTAATAAATAATCTTAGATTGTATGTGGAGTGACAGATATATAAAGAAGGCAGATTGTCTGCTTCTAATCTATGTGTTATATTCTCCATAACGATGCCCATGATTATGTTGTGATGTGGTGAGAACGGCCTATGATGATTGATTACACATTCACTCGTGGATTCACCAAAGCTGATGGTGGCGACGTGTGTTTTTTGGGAGAGGTTGTTTTGGTGGGTAGCTTGATTTGGCCAGGAGCACAGTGGTACGGATAATCTTTTATGGACAAAACTGAAATTTCGCAGGCACGACCTAGTTACAATAATAGTGCTACAGTCACCGAAGCCTATGAATTTAGTCATTTTACATTTGCTGTTTGGAGTTGAGATAAAGATGACAGCGCGCATGCAGTGCTCGTGGACATGAAAAGGTGGTAAACATTTCAAAACTTTCATTAATAACAGGTCTACCTAAAATTCGAACTTCTTGCACAAGTCCTGCTTTAGAGTCATATTTAATCATTATGACACCATTAGCTAAAGCGTAGTTGAATTGTGTATACGTATAACTTAACTCATACACTAGTATTGTTGCTGAAATAAATGTATTCATTGGTATAGTCAAACCTCGTTTTTACTAATGTATTAGTAATCTCCCAATCCTAAATTATTATATAATAAATCAAAGACTGCAAATACATGTCTAATAATGATAAAAAATTGATAAATCATACCCTCCAAATACATTTAACTTTATCTTAAGTAACATTTACTACTGTACAAGGGATTGGGACATTGATTGCAGAGACGGAGCGATGAAATTTTCTTCTGTGCAGGCCCTTTGGTGATTGCATCGCAGGATCGTTAGGGACGGCAACGGATTTGAGAGGCAATCACCCAGCAGTGAGATTGACTATGGCTGGCGATAATGAAATGTGTAGAAAGAGGCCAGGATTACACGTGTCATAAAAAGCCAGGAAACTTCGTCAGGGGTAAGGTATGAGCTGTCAATTTGTCACGTGACCGCGACAGCCTGGCGTATACCTCTCAGTCTTGGAGGTTATCAAGTCCGCCTGTGTCTTTAAAAGACAAAGGCAACCGGCCGTGGTGCTGGCCACCCTCCACCATTTAGTGTGCCATACCGGCCTTTATAGGTGTTCGCTAATCGCACTTGCCCTCCAGTCCGTGGAATGATATAGGGGGAATCTCTGTATATTTGTTTCCGTGTGTGTATATACACACACGCGTGTTGTAGAAGCAGCAACAGCATCCACCACCAACGCCAGCTCGCATAACCAAATTTGGCCAGAAGAGAGAAAGACGCGCGCCAAAGAAAGGGATTGGTGTGATTCTCTCGGAGCTTGGTGGTGGTGGTAGCGTCCAAGTATCTAGCGACCTTTGCTGCCGACGAGGCAGGGATGCGGGTTAATGGTTAACGCGGGATAGGTGTTTCTTTTAAAAGCTGCTCGCCCGCGTCCCCACACCGCCAGACAGAGTAGCGACACCGCCGCCGACAGAGGCGAAAAATCGGACGCCCAAGAAAGACTCCGTCCGAGCCATCTATCCAACAACATCTTAGCGTTCGGTCGACTACTGCTGTAGTAGTTGGTGGTGAGTGACGAGGGAAGGGCGAGTCGAGGAGGAGGCAAGCAAGCAGCGGGCGTCTCCGCAAGTGATCTGGGTGAGTGGCACCACGACCGTGCGTGACCCTCAGACAACGCGGGTGCGCAATTAACACTCAACTTGCACGACAACGCGGGCAGTGAACAGAGTTCGAACTCCGTGTCACTTGACCGCAGTAACTTTGGTTGGGGGAGGGGTGGCGGTGGGCTTTTGGTTGGTAGTGATGTGTGCGCGTATAAGAACGAACGAAACATTAGGAGCTATACACGCGCTCGAATCCTGTCGGGATATTTCGGTTTAAGGTTTTTACATGCTTAAATTGCGATCGAAGTGGAATTTATATTTTTAAAAATATATATACTGTATATACATTTTTTTAAGATTGAGGAATCGTATCAGTCACGTAGACAGATTTCTTTTTTTACAAAGTGAATAAAAATACAAATAATAAACACTAATGTAGACTGTAGCCTGGTTCTTAATCGGAGTGAGTGTACTGGCAGTCTAATTTAGACTGGAGCCTGGTTATTACGTTTGGTGAGTGTACTGGCAGTCTATAATGTAGACTGTAGCCTGGTTCTTAACCTGAGTGAGCATACTGGCAGTCTATAATGTAGCCTTATTCTTGGTTCTTTCAGTAATTTAAATAAACTAAAAATAAAAATATATTAATAAAACAAAAACCACGACGTTTCGATCGCAACACAAGCGGTCGTCATCAGGTAAAGGGGAGTTAGCCTCTAAAGGCAAACTGTTTATACAGGTTTAGAGATGGTCGGCAGCATGGGCAGGGCAGCTAATGTTACTCTTTGGTTTTTTCGGTCAAGTCACGTAGGTAGAAAAAATAATTGATCATGACATTTCATGATCAATTGACACAAGCGACCGTCTTCAGGTGAGAGAGAGAAAGCTACTGAAACAAGGTTTTATGTAGGCTTGAGATGGATGCAGCCTCAGGGTAAGAGGGCTGGTCTAGAGATGGTCTGCCTGAGGCTGTGGCTATTGTATTGTGAGAGATTAGCATATCAATGCACGAGCTTGGTATGCCAAAGCATCGGTGACATGCCTAGTATGAGAGTGCAATCCAAAGGACATGTGAGCATGAAAGTGCAATCCAAAGGACATGTGAGCATGAGAGTGAAACATCACAGTCAGTTAAGACTTTACCTGGTTAATAACGTCTTTCCAATGATTGCTCAGTTTGTACCCATCTCAGTTGAAGATGTGTCCGTGTTTATATATCTGGATGGCTTCATGAACAAATCTCTGATGATAGCCGGTGGGTTTGCAGAGTACCTTCGTCTTGGAAAAATCAATTTCGTGTGAGCCCGCAGCGTTAAAACAATGATCAGCAACGGCAGAGGTATTGGTTCTACCATGTTTCAGATCTGCTTTGTGTTCACGAATGTAGTCCGAGACATGTAATGATAATGTAAGAGAAAGCAACGCCAATGCAGTGGGTCTATGCCAATCAAAGGGCTGCCAGGCAATCATTGCACCTCGCTCCACATACCCACACTGCTGACAGTGGAGGTTGACAAGAAAGCACAAATCAAGTCATGACCCAAAGTGGTTGATGACATATTTCCAATGATTGCTGAGTTTATAACCATCCTTTCGGTTGAAATTGTGTCTGTGTCTGTTTATATGGATGGCTTCATGAACAAATCTTTGTTGATAGCCAGTAGGTGTGGAAAGTACCATCGTTTTAGAGACATCAATCAAGAAGAAACCAGATCCACAGATTTAATAGTTAGACGTTGACAAAGTTGTTATTAATCTGAGTAATAGCCCAATGGTCTAAAGTCGGTTTTGGCTAAAGGGTTGAACTTCGCAGTCACCCCCAAACACATACCAGTGGATGATAATATTGCCCAGGTCAATGTAGCTCTTTAGATGTGACAAGATCTGAAATCGCTGCAACCCTCAAAAGCGCTCAGATACCAGTCAGCAACATCAGTAAGGATGAGCGTTTTAAGTTAGCTCAATTGAAAAAGAGGGATGATATTTCCAGGCTAACAGCTACCGTATGCGAATAGGTAGCTGTTAGTGATATAGGGAATTCCTGTGTCCCACCTGCGCTCGATAATGGTTCAATTGAACTCCAGTTTGTATTTTACCTAGTCAGAAGTCTGTATATCAATGTCGACACATGACAATTCACATATCCAGTCACGTGCTGCTCTTGACAACCTCATGCTGCCTTCTTACCTTCAAGAGAATAAACATGTTGCGGATATTGAAGTGCACGTGTGTGGACATATTTGTCTATATGTGGGCAGTGGTAGTATGATGGTTAGCGCACTGCGACCCGAGTTCGATTCCCACTCAGGGCCAAAACCAGTGACGATTATCTGAATCGGTCCTGGGCCTCCCCTAGGTCGACTCAGTCTAAAATTAGTACCTGATGCGGTGTGTACACATCGCCACAGGGGAGGCAAAGGCGTCCCGGCGTTGTGCTGGCCACCCACCATTCTCGTGTGCCGTCCTGACCTTCATAGGTGCTCAGAACTTTCCCCAACAGTCTGTTAATGCGAAACTGAGGATCTTTGTATTTGTCTACATTGATCATTACAAAACTGCATGACATCAACGAACTTGGCTGCATTGATGTTGGTTCACTACAGTGGTAGGTGCAGGCACCTTAACTGTTGTACTTTGGAACATATGTTCTAACGCAGTGATTCTCAACTAGGAGAGGTATGACAGGTTTTCAAGAACTACATGACCTTTTAAAAAAAAAATTCGATGGAAAAGTTCCATAGAAATTGGAGTAGAAATTGGCCTTATAGTGGAAAGCTATAAATGTACTGAGTTGTCAGGCGCGGAGTCTGCAGTTGTGTTGGAGTTGCTGAGGACCATCTTTGTGGGTGACTTCAACTCATGGGTACATCTCATGGGCAACGGCCAGGCTTCAGAACTTTTGGACTCCATGTGATCAATGGGGTTCTCCCAGTATGTTGCGGGTAGCCCACATGAACATTCTTATCTTCTCCCCCCGATTTTTACAGCAGGGTATGGCATTCAGATACATGAAATGGACATTATCTGCATAGTCTCGCCATGTCATAGTACAGTACATACTGACTGTAATCAGAGGACTCTCAGATATAGAGTGGTGGGTCATTTAACATTTATATCTGTCCACATATTTCAAATGAACCTTCTTTGTGGTTCCTAGACACTCTCAAGAGCCAGTACTCCATCCCCACCTCCCTTGATAACGATGAAAGAGCATTTCTGGAGGATATTCAAGATTGTTCATGGTCGGTTAAAGAAACAAAGTAATTCTCCAAAGATAATATATCTTCTTCATGTGGAGATTAATCTTTCTAAAGAACCATCGAGTAAAATTATCCCAGATGGTGGACAGCTTGATTCGTCTGGTCTGCATAACCTGTCAATCAGAATCATTACTTGAGTGCTGTGACCTGATCAGAGCAGGTATTATTCCATAGTTAAAACCAGTCCTTTTGCCCCTTGACACCATAGCATATCTTGTCGTAGAGAATCCATACTTATTTCTCCCTTAAGGAGTTGCTGCTGAGCTTGAGAACCATGGCCTGTAGTGAGGTCCTGCATGCTTCTATGTTGGTAAAATAATGAGGGCAGGTATCATGTCAATTGTTTTGTATTATCCACACATCCCCTGTGAGAGGGCAATGTGTTACCGGGTGTTCAAAAGCCATGAAACCTTTGCTCAATAAACTAAGGTTAGCGAATCATGCAATAGAACATTATTGCCCAATGGTGATCCTCCCCTTCTTGGTGAAGGTAACTGAGAAGACAGTGACTCGGCAATTTTAACGTTGCTTCGAAGGTTGCTGCTCTTTTCATATCTCTCAGTCGGGTTTCAGTCCTTTTCATACATTTTCTCCAGGTGATGGACAAGGGTGAGCTGCGCAGGGTAGTGATCCTAAACTTCTGAACTGCTTCTGACACCATTGGTCACTGGATACAGATGGCCTAAAGAACCTTGCGGGAAGAGGGGAAACTATCTTACAATGGATTTCCTAATTTCTCCAAGGCACAGAGCAAAACATTGGTTTTGGTTGCCTACTCATATGCTTGTGTAGTGCTGTAACGGGTGCAGGGTTTGCAAACACCAGTTGCATTGTGTATGAGGTTGCAGACAGTGAGGTCAGCTAAGGATACGCAGGTGCAGGCGGGTGGCCTGGGTGACAGCAGACAGAGAGGCGCCAGCAATTAGGGACAGAGGCAGTGATTGGCTGTCTGCAAATGCAAACGCGGAGTAGGCGCCACAGATGCGAGAGATAGTGCCGATGAGGGGGAGAACACGTGCGAGAGGCATGGGGAGGACACCGGCTTAATGAGGGCCATCTGGGGGCACTTCCTGAGGAGGGAGATAAAAGAGGAACGTGTGTCTAGCAGTAGAGAAGCTAGCATAGTAAGTATATAGCAAGCGAGCGGAATCCTAAATGTGGGTGTGATAAGGCTATCAGTAGAGGAGCTAGCGGAGTGTATAGTGAGAGGCTGGCAGTGGAGAAGCTGGCAGAGGGCAACGTCGTAGCAGGCTGGCGGAGCGAGAGAGAGCGAGCGGAGCATAGCAGACGAGCAGTAAAAGAGGAGTTGCGACGGAGACGCGTGGTGTTGAACGCGAGGAGTTCTGTACGAATAAAGTGACACAGGAGAAAATAAAACGTTGTCCGTGTGAAATAACACCACTACACTTGTACTCCCACACCATTTAGTGTGGCTCAGGGCTGTGTACTGTCACTGCTCTGGTTCAACGTATAAAGCAGGCCACTTGGAGATAATACTGTCCGTACACTGGTGATACACAGATATGTGTCTCGTTCACCTTTTTCCAGGGGGTGCGTTCTCTGTCTTATTTTGACTGAGGTCACTACCTGGATGGCCACTAATTATGTGGGTTTGAACCCTGACAAGACAGAGGGGATAGGTGTGGGTTTGGAGAGGAAGTTGTAAGTTTGGCAAGGCCGAGTTGAAGCTCCAGTTATTAGTGGGGTTAGGCCAGCCCATATCAACTTTGTAATCTCGGAGAGATTTTTGATCAGTCCATGTCCATGGAAACCCGGGTCAATGTGATGGTCAGAAATGGATTCTTCCAGCTCCGATTACTCCAGATCTTGAAAACTTAATCCATGCCTTCATGCCGAGTAGCCTGGACTACAAAAACGCGATTTACCTAACAGCTACCACTGTGCCTGCTCCGGATGCTGCAGGTGCTGCAGAACGTGGTGGCACGTTTGCTCAAGTGCATGGGACTCTGAAAGTATATTATGGCCACTCTCCGTGCATGGCACTGGCTTTAATTTAAGTTGCCGATACAATCCAAAGTGATCACTATGGCATATTGCACAATGTGGACCCTATGTAGTTGCGTAAGCATGTCTGTAAACCTGCCCTAGACAGGAGTTTATTATTTAACTGCTATGGCGTGCCTATACCTTCCGAGGTTCACCGAACTCATGGTCGGAGGACATGAGCTTTTTCCATTGCTGCAGTCTTTGCCTGCCTCAGGAGGTGTGGCTCACACCGAACTTACGGCGATCTTTTTCCTTTTTGTCAAGCCTTTCCCTTCTGTCCAAGTTTTCCACTCCTGTTGTTTTTGCAGGTCCCCAACATGTCAGGGGTCCTAATTTTTTTAATTAATATTTTGTAAAGTGTGTTGTAGCCCTCATATACATTTATAGACATCAAACGCACTCCCTGTTGTGCAACCCACCTCCTACCCCTGCCCCCCACTGACTCTGAACAGCTCCCACAATTGTCATATCAATAGTAGTGACCAGTTGGATTTCCTCTCAGTCATAAACTCTATAACTGAGAAAAATAACTTTTCAAGGGGGGCATATTTATAGACATCAAATGCACTCCCTGTGGTGCAACCGAACCCCTCCCGTAACCCCCCACTGACTGACAATCTTCCAAAATTGTCGTAATAGTGGTGACCAGTGTTATAACGCTATGAGAACTGTGAGAAGGGACTTTTCAATGTTATTTTTCAAAGGAGGGTGGGGGGTTGCATATCATGTTTAATTTATTCATGATATACTTACAAAAAAATCTGCAGATTACCTGCTGGATCTCCTCTCTGTTTCAAAGAACAAATTTGACCTAAGGTCTTCGCTCATTTACCAGCTTCACATTCCCTATTGCCGTACAAATACTGGAAGAAGGGCCTTTGCTATTGATGCCCCCAGGTCTGGAATGTTATTGCCAATAAACTACAACTTGAATCACTACCTATGAGATCTTCACTCAAAACTGCTCTAGAGAAGTTGTACATTTCTAGCTGCCACTGCAATTTAGTGGCCTAAAATACAATGTCTCGCTCCGGATGATCGCTGCAAAGTATAATATGTGTTTTGATTTAGGGTGCTGATCTCAAAGGTGCATTGAAAAATGTTGATACTCCGACTGATGCTCCTTCTGTTGTGGAGTGACTCACCTGTGAGAAAAGAGGTGACAGTTTTTTCTAAATATTGTCCTGTTATTCGATGAGTTGGACAACACGACTAGTCCAGCTCTGATAAAATGTTTGCTTTATCAGTCTTATCCACAATCACAGTATTCATATTTCAAAAAAAATTTAAGGGTTGACCACATATGCAAAATGGTCTGGATATGGAATATGAAGTTTTAATCACATATTCACCAACGGATGTGCAGTATACGCATAGGAATCATCGCAAAGGCGATTATAATATCTTGGTCCATCTCCCATTTTCAATGGCAACCGCTATCATGGTTTCTTGTGCAATACAATGGATATTAACCCACAAAACTCTACTGTATTGCTTTGTAATATTATGACAGCCAGCAGTCACGTGTTTAGGTGCTACATTATCCTATATTCAAGTTATCACTTAACCCAAACTGGTATTAAAATTCTGAGCACTCCTAACCCGAGTTCAAGATTTCACAATTACTACCTATGTGTCTCACGGATGTTCGGTTCAGTGTTAAGAGCACAGGGCTTTTATCTTTGGGCATTTAAAGCAACAGCCACATAGAGTTTGACTGGCCCTCAGAGAGGGATGTATTCAGGTAGACATCATAACCAAATGCTCATTGTGCCTTTCCTTGTGATTGTATCTATGACAAACTCTTGAATCTCGAGTTCGCTTTTAAATGCATCCAGCGACCTAGATCTAACTCATCCCATAACTATGATGAGTCCATCAATCTCCGTCAAACTCTCTCGGGCATTCTGTCCGAGTTGTAGCCCTGTAACATAGACCAGCCATTTAAGTTGTTCTGCTATAAATCTAAAATTATACTCTCCAGATTTCATCACCATGTCTGCCCTATATTAGAAAAATATATAATGAGCTAACATTTTAGATAATCGCCCATCTTCAGAGCAGAGAAAGAGGGCAGAAATATTGACTGATTTAGCAGTTGGAGGTCACACTTTACACAGCAGTGCCCTTAAAAAACTGGAAGATGTAAAGAACAGTAACAAGTTTTGAATTTGACTATGAATAGGTTTTCATTACGAGACTTTGAGCAGCAAACCCTTAAAAAGTAAAAATAAATTATTTGTATGAATCGATTTAAAGGAAAATAAATCTAAAAATGTAAATTAACTGCATCAAGGAAAGGCGTAACATTGGTGGCTTCACTACCACTCAGCAATTTTAGCAGCTGTCCCAGTAATATGTGTATGGTATGTACACATAATATATAATGCGTGTCATGGACCTGTATCCAGTATATCAAGTCTGCTTTGGAGGATCATGCACCATATATGTATGATGTATCCATAATAATCACCGGTTAATCAAATATCTACATGAGTTATTTCACGGTGTATTATAAACAATGAAGTGCAGAAACGGAATCCTGTGCAAACAAAACAATGCTCAAATTAGCAATATGCATGAGAGTATTCAACACAATTAGCTTGTGAATCCGACACCGGCAGCAGGCAGATGATAAAAAAAAAATTCCACAGGATGTGCTGCCTAGCAGCACGGCAATGACGTGTGAGGTGCGAAACTGCAACAGGAAGATGGCAGGCGAGGAAGGTAGCCGGTATGGGGTCCGTGTGGATAACCATGCCGGTATCTGGACACCTCTTTTGTTCCACGCAGGTAAAAACATGGGCAAGAAGAAGGCTGTGGTTGACGTGGGAGCTGTTGAGAATGGAGACGCCGCAGCTAAGAATGTTGATCCTCTTTATGAAAATATAACGGATGGCGGTGTTGACACCGAGCAAGACGCCAAGCATGGGTGAGTAACGGACACTCAATCACTCGCTCATACATCTTGCTTGACACTTGTGTTATACAGATATTTCCCACGCTCTTTGAAACATATATGAATAATAATTTACAGTCCTTTGTCAATTCACTGCTGAATGAATGCCTCCTCATGCCTTATATGTCATGGGGCATATACATTTGTATGAAAGGTTTTATCCTTCCAGGTTACATAATTAATTTACACGTGTTTTTTATTGAGAACAATGTTTGCAAATGTTCGTGGTGTTTAAGTAAGGTTTCAACTAAAAACATGTAAAGTTCCCATGACCATCGCAGAGTGTTGTCCATTGAATCTCAAAAAACTAAAATGTGCGTGGTATTTTCAGCAAAAAGAAAAAAGAACCCAAAGTGAAAACCAATATGGTTGGGCTCTTCAGACTGGTATGTTACCCTAAACATGGGTTAAATCATTTACTTCATAAACATATTCCATTGTTATTCATTACATAAACACAATACATAGAATATCATGATCACCATTATCAGCCAAGATTAATCCACTGCTGGATGAAGGCCTCCCCAAGCTAACACCACGATCCTGCGATGTATTAATCCACCCTGGCTTGAAATGGAATCTACAGGTTTTTGATACAATCTTTGCTTGACAGTTTTTTTGTGCCATTATTCCCGAAAGCGATAAATAAGTGCCACTGTGTCAAAACCAAACACTGGTTGTCCACGAGGTATTCTGATCCCTGTCATACTTATATAGAATGTGTGTAAGTAGCTCAGAACTGCCACTGGATATTAGTAGCTCTGTTCAACACTGGTTGACCATGGAGACTACATTATTATGATATGTAATTGCTTGTTATGTTAAAGTTGGGATACTGGCATTAACAGTTTGTTTTACAATATCAACACCTGAGGTATAAAACATTTTTGGAATATTTTCCTTGTATCTGTAGTTCCGTTTTGCAAGTGGGCTGGACAAGTTGATGATGGTGGTTGGACTAATCTTTGCAATTGCAAACGGAGCTGCCCTCCCAGTAATGATCATCCTCTTTGGAGAAATGACAGACACCTTTGTCAATGATGCTCAGAACAACACGGAGACAAGTAAGATGGTTTTGAATTCTGCCACTGATTTTGCCGCGAAACTATTGTAATCAGTTTAATCATACTCCGTTACCAACCATAGCATTTTACTATTTAGTGTTTGTATGGGATTTCTACAAACACATTTCTTTAAATTGGATTTTACGTTGAGAATATATTGCCTTTGCCCTACAGGCAATCACTAGCATGCGGTCATTTTGTAATCGTGACTGCCGGCTGCGTGCTATTAGCTGGAACTTGTAGTAACTCAATGAACTTGTTGTACGAGGACAGTTTGTACACTTTATTGCTCATCTTTATTGGACCTTTTTTGTTGTTGAAATCCACTTGTCGTATTTTGTGTTTTATTGCGCTGACCTTTGTTCATGGCCTCCAGGTTATTTCACCATGACCTGGAGATGCATTTGAAGTTGAAGGATTAGAAATTATTTGTTGGATATCATGTTGTAGCATGTTCAGGATTTCATAAATCAAATTATGGTAATATACAACATTTGATTCAAACTAAGAATTAAAAATGATAATTTTGCTGATGCAGATTTACAGCCATGCAATGTGTTGCTCTGTTTGCAGATGGAACTGAATCAGAAAGCCTTGAGGAGCAGATGACACGGTATTGACATAGTTTCTCCGTGCAGATTGCATCCAGAAACTTGCTGTCATAAACAGTTCATGTTATCCTCTAGTTATGTTTCATTGGATTTTTAAATGAAAACAAAACGTTTAAAATGTAATTACTATATAAGTTCAATCATTTGACTTATTAAAATTAGATTGGTGCATTTAGACTCTCATTACGCACTAGATTACAAGTGTTCTATCATTAAATAATAGTACAGTTTGTCCTAACATTGGCCATCAGGGAATGTGGACTGCTAATATAATACATTAATGCGCTGGTGTTCCCCTAGCAGGTATACAGGTACTTCATTCATTTTCTGCCGTGTGTGTATATAGATTATAGCACATACATACTGTGGTCTGGATGTCAAGATTGTATGCCTTGGAGAGATATTTCATGAGCCTTACTAAGTGCTCACACAGGATAACACACCGCCAATACATTGTTCTCATCTGCATAGGGATGTATTGTATTGCTAATTAAAGTCGGCCTTCAAAGGTGCTCGATAAAAGCACTATATGGGCGATCTTTTTGTTTGTATCTTTGCTCATTTTGTTATGAGTGGACAGTCCCATGGCAAAAATATTACCATGCTGTCCCTGCAAGCCATTCCACCATGCGTGTTCTGAGTGGTGGATGTTGTGTTAAAACTCGCATGGTCACTTTGAGATGAAACTCGCGTGGTCAACTCCTACAAATAGCTTACCATGCAAGTTCCCTACAACCCAGAACATTTAAAGCCACAAGCTCTACAAAAGTGCCAGAAGACACCAGACCAATTATCCTTAAGCGGTAACTCAAATGCCTCTACTCGAACACATATTCTATATAGTACTGTATGTCAGGATAGAGTGGTGATCCAGTGGTTAGTACACTGTGCTGTGAACCCGGCAACCTGAGTTTGATTCAGAGCAATGGCTAACATCAGTGGTGAGTAACATCTAAACCCACCCTGCTCAACCTCTTTACCAACCCACACTCGCCAGCATGGTGAGGTCTGTTAAAAGAACCCCATGACTTATCTCATCAAAGTTTATATAGCGCATTTTCCAAGGCAGTTTACAGCGATTATACAATTGTGTGGTTTGAGATGAAGGTTAGGGTTATTAAAAGTGGCGGTGTAGTTATAGTGACAACAGAACAGGAGCGAGTGTTAAGGATGAGGTGTGGTAGGCCTGGTCATAGCTGGGGGGCAACGCAAAGCTGGGGAGCGGGAAAGTATTTAGGCATCGCATTGAGAAAACAAAAGGGGTTGGCCAGGGGGAGAGCCGGGTGGGGGATGAGGGTCTTCATTCAGCAGCGAATTCACAAAGGACTGTAAGTTTTAGTAATTGTCCACGGGCTTATATAAGCATAGGAAAGATGTGCGTGTGCGTATGCGTAGAGAATGAAGGTAGCACCTCAACATGGTGAAAAATTACATCACACACATTCGTTTGGATTTTTTATCCTCATCCGTAACTCACACAATATCATGACCATACCAAAAGATAGGCAAAAAGAGCTGGAAAAAAAATGAATTGAAATTTGGCCGTAAAATTCTAACGTAATTGAGGTGAAGTTCCATATTAAATGTGCTGGCGTACTGTATGTTGCGTCAGTGTTACAGTGAGTTTTTTTTCTATTTAGTTTGTTGTCCTTCCCCCGCACCTTCATTTAGCACGGTTGGCTAAGTATGGTGCGAAATAGGTTTAACATACATACATACAAAGCAAAGTACAGTACTTACTGTCGCTAAAGTTTTCCCTATGCAACTGAATATTGATCCACTACAGGTGAAGAGTAAAGGAGGATGTGGCCCCATTGACAGAAAGCAAATGAGCAATTATACAGCACAAAACTTATGCCACAGGTTTGTTTTTCTTGATAGTACTTATCACTATAAGGTGAAACCGATATTCAGGCACCCGCACCCCTGTTACTCACACAGGTACGCGTACTATTATGTGGCCATCGGCGGCGGTGCATTCCTGGCGTCATACATCCACATCTCCTTCTGGGTGCTGTCGGCATCGCGCCAGGCACGCAGGATCCGAGAGACGTTTTTCCACGCCGTGCTGCGGCAGGAGATTGGCTGGTTCGACGTCAACCAGACAGGGGAGCTGAACACGCGCCTAACTGAGTATGAGCAACCAGCTTACGCCACACCAAGATCACTGACAGCATAGTTATTCACACCAGGATCACTGACACTTTGATCACTTACGCCAAGAACACATTTTGCGCCATGATTACTCACAACACACCATAATCACTCACACTACAGCACAATCACTCACACCACACCACTATTAATCCACTCATACCACACCACTCTCACACTGCACCCAGATCACTCACACCACAAATCACCAACCCAGGATCATCCACCACATGCCAGTCACTCACACCGCACCATGATCACTCACACCGTACCACAATCTCTCACATTCTACCATGATCACGCAGCATACCACAGATTCAGGTGATGTAACAATGTGTTTCTCTACAGTGACATCAACAAGATCACAGACGGCATGGGTGACAAGGTGTCACTGCTCGCACAGTCCCTGGCCACCTTCATCTCGGGCTTCATTATTGGCTTCATCAAGGGCTGGAAGCTGACGCTCGTTATCCTGGCCATCAGCCCCGTGCTCGCGATCTCCGCAGGGTTCTGGTCAAAGGTCAGGGACAGCACTGGGCACTATGGCTTCTAAGCATTTTAAATACCCCACCGTCTGAGCTACATTGACTCTTCAGGGCTACGTTGCTCGGCTATGCTTATGTTGCCATCTGTAGCCATGCATGGCTCACTGATGAACTCTGAATAGGGCCAAGCGTATCTGTGTCCCCCATGCAGTGGGCTGTGTACATTGTCGTTGAACATTGTTAACCAACCGCTAACATCCCATGTTTTTTGTATATAATGTAGTAGGTATAGCATTATGACAATGTGAACTGAAAAGCCAGTACAAGGCTTGACAAAGACTGCAAAGGACTGGCGAATGTGGAGAGAGTTGACAGGCGAAGCTTTAGTGGTGACTTTAACAATCGTTGTGATTAAGGACAAAATAAAACTGTGGTGAAGGGATAGATGATGATGATATATTGTATATGTGTATTACAAACATCACTCAAGCAGCATTGACATAATCTAAAACAAACATCTCTGTTGCTCAGGAGCACCTTGAAAAGTGAGCCCATTTATGGTTCAAAATTGTCTTACATTCTGTTTATAGAACTACGACATGAATTGCTTTGTATTCGTAATGTGTTCTGAAGGCGAATTAACTCATGATGATGATGATGGGATACAACCATGACAAATAATTTTACAAAAGTTGCTCATTATAAGCTAGTGAGTGTAATTATCCACTGAATTCATAATCATTTTACTTAACAGGCCTAAATGCACAGACATTTTCATAGCTTTTGTTTAAGTTTTGCATTTTATTTCAAATTTCCTATTTTTTCATAGACGTTAATCAATGTGACATTGTTGACTAAAACAGTTGTAACATATATACGATGAGCCTTATGCAATAGTAATATGTATGTCCTCTTTTTATGCTGCATAATTGTTGACATGCAACAAACACAACAATGCGATCCTGCATTATCAGGGGTGAACATTCACAATTGACAAAAACTTAACACTTTCATCAATAACACTGCCCAAAAAAGGAAAAATATATCATAGGTAACGTTTGAGGCAATTACCCTTTTCCATAGCAGAGAGATGCTGCGACGAAGAGGGGCCCTTTCCCGAGGTGTTGGCATGAAACCCTGCAGTTTGTGCTGCAAGGCAGACTGTAATTGACGATTGGTTTTCATTGCTGTCTCTTTTTGACTATTGGTAGATCCTGACCTCGTTCACGAACCGTGAGCTCTTGGCGTACTCGAAGGCAGGCGCCGTGGCGGAGGAGGTCCTCTCTTCCATCCGCACCGTCATGGCATTCGGGGGTCAGGAGAAGGAGCTCAAGAGGTGATTTGTGCATCAGGGGCTGGGAGGAAATCTTTTGATGGGTGGATCAAGCACACAGTGCTCATAAACGTGACTCCACACAAGAGGGATCGGCAGATTTTGTGTGCATGTATGTTGAACTTCTTTTGCACTGTATTTAACCAACTGTGCTAATTGGAGGTGTAGATTTTATAGGAGGGAACCATGGAAATGGACCAATGTTTCAAACCTTTACACACACAGCACCTCTCTGCATTGATGCAGTACCATTGTCTGAAACTTTAGCATGCTAAATGCGATTGTGTCATAGGGCAGTGTAGATGACAACTTTTTCAGTACTGCGTAGGATTATCCCTGCTGTGTTTTCGAGTTGCTCGGTATGATGTCCTACGTTTTTCTCTTCAGGAACGGAAAGGCATGTGGATCTCAAAGTCGGACATTATGGCAAACAATGCGCAGTACAACCCAAAAACACTTCAGATATTTATTTATATTAGTGCTCTCTCACACACACAGTAACGCACATTCACAGTCCACGCATGTAACTTGAGTTCATCATAAACCATTTACGATATAGTACTGGACAGCCTCTCGCTTGTCATAACCAATATTTTCCAATTGATGTTAAGCAATTTTCTTTGTCTGCGGCAGATATGACAAGAACCTTGTGGTGGCCAGAAATATTGGGATTAAGAAGGCCATCACCACCAATCTGTCGATTGGTTTCACCATGTTCATCGTGTATGCCTCGTACTCGCTGGCATTCTGGTACGGAAGCAAACTGGTGTTGGAGGACACTTCCTACACCATAGGGAACGTCATGATTGTGAGTGTCAGCACAAGCAATTCACAAACCTGCGCACAAGACAACAGCAATCGGAATAATGCTTCTTGCAACGTTAATAGCTTTGTACACTACAGAACACATTTTACAGTGAGTTGTATATAATGACAGTATTGTTATACAGAACACATTTTACAGTGAGTTGTATATAATGACAGTATTGTTATTTATTATGGAACATTGATATAATACAATGCAACACTTGTCAGAGCATATTCGCGATGGTTGACATTCATTGTTTTTTTCAAGGGTTTCATTAAATTGTGTTTTTTTGGTTGTTTACAAAATAAGTTTCGCTTTGGCAAGAAATGTTAAATTGTTAATCTCAGTGAAAAAACATCGGTACACACAGGTAAATTATATACATTCTATCCAGATACACACAATTCTGATTGAAGTGTTACAAAAAGAAATAGGGCACGATTCCTATGTTGGAGGATGGGCTATTTCCACCTGCCAATAGCCATCCCACTCTGCAGATATAACACACGTGCCAACATGTAAACCCCAGCCCCATATTCCTTGAGAAGTTCTGTACGTGTGTTGAACTAATTTCGCACCATACATAGCCAACCATGCTAATTGGAGGTACTAAGCGTTTAGATAAGGTGCTGATTTGAGGAGGTGAGACTGAATGAGATATTTTCTGTGGCAGGTGTTTTTCGCCGTCATCATTGGAGCATTTGGAATTGGCCAAGGCGCCCCATTCCTTGAGGCCATCTCTGTCGCCAGGGGTGCTGCTTATACCATCTTTGAGATCATTGACCGGGTGAAGTGTTCAGTGGGTGCCTTGTATAGTATATATATGTGTGTGTGTATGCACAAATATATAGAAATTCATATGTTATATGTATCCATTGAATACATACATTAATTCGTCGTTGAGAAACATAGAGGTATACGTGGTTTAGAGAACATACTCTTGTTAATAAGTCAACATACTCTGGTGGAATACGTCAACTCACAGTGGCTTTTGGCTAGCCATTGAATAAAGATGTTCACTGCATAGCACGCTTTCAAATGCGCTTCTGCACCCATCTGAATCACTCTTCATCCGATATTTGGAAGCCGCTGGAGCTGTGCACCTTGAAATCTAAATTGAAAAATAATTTATTTAGAACTGCTCTTTGTGTTTAGTTTGTTGTCCTTTCCCCGCACCTCTGATTAGCACTGTTGGCTATGTACGGTGCGAAAGAAGTTAAACATACATACAACATACTCTGGCTTAATATAACTGTTAAGAAAAGTGAATGGGTTTGATCGTCAACAGTAACATTTAATGAAGGAGTGCAGTTCATGGAAAGGCCACGCAACGGCCTTCTTGTTCTCATAATTGTTGAGTGTGTAACGGGTTCCGGAGACACTTGTAGATGTAACTTCTTTATTACAATACAACACTCCAACAGTCCTGATACTCTGTTACAGCCTAGGTACACAGCCTAGCTACACAGCCTAGATACTCTAGACACTCTACTCTGGCTACGCTCGCCCTCACAAGGTCGTAGAGCCGGGAGTTCCAGAGTCCCACCACTGGCTCTCACAGCATCCCAGGGTCTTCAGATGGCTGGTCGTGGGTCTTGGGTCTTAAGTTACAACTGGGCCCCGATCGTCCAGGGAGCTCTCCTTTTATGCCTGGTCCGACGAGGGGTGGGGCCGTGTGCGCCACCAGACATCCCACAGAGCACACACAGCCCCCCCCCCGTTGGCGGCGCCAAAAAGGCTTAAGCGCCTGGGAACCCAACGCCTGGCGCCCAAAGGCTTAAAAGCGTCTGGACCCCCTGGGAACCCAGTGCCTGGCGCCCAGAGGCTTACGCGTCTGGAACCACCTGGGAACCCAGAGCCTACAGCAGCCCCTCCCTTCTCATGTCACTACAAGTGCGTAACAGGCAAGGCTCCCAGGGTCATTTATTAGCCCATAGATTTGGACTTGAAATGATCGAGAGGAGTGTCACCGCATCACTGCTGTATTCACATAATCAACGTTTATTTTTCATTTTTTTAAAATCCTTTTACAGCAACCACAGATCGACAGTTTTTCCGAAGAGGGTTACAAGCCCGACAAAATCACCGGCAATGTGGAGTTTCAAGACGTGCACTTCAACTATCCGTCAAGAGCGGACGTACCGGTGAGATGAAACAAGACGCGGCGCACATACAGCCCGCCCACCGCCCCCCCCCCACTCCCCCCCACACATGTCTGCAATGTCAAAAAATTTCTCCTCAACTCTGTCGCATTCTGCCAGGTGCTGAAGGGGGTCAACCTGCAAGTGAAGAGCGGCCAGACAGTTGCGCTGGTGGGCAGCAGCGGCTGCGGCAAGAGCACGACCATCCAGCTGCTGCAGCGGTTTTACGACCCGCAGCAGGGCACGGTGAGAATGGCTGTGCCCCAGTTGGCCTCCCTGTAACACAGGCCAAGTGTGCGACAAGAGATTTTCACTTGAAGGCCGTCGCTGCCAGCTGTTCCGTCCACAAACATGCTGTACTTTTGCACGCGACTCCACGGCTTATTGTCGCCATGTCACAAAGGAAATTGTTAATTTTTACCAAGAATCATGAAAGTCTTGTACCTTATTTATCGCTGGCAATCACCTATTGAAATTTTCACATTGAGGCTACAAAGGAAGTTACTTCTATGCTTAACTTTGGATTTTTTTTACTTCTCGTACTACAATGTTCATGTTGGGGTATATTTCACTTGATAATCGCACGCCTCTTTGATGCTCATTAGGAAGTTACTGACGTGGGAAATATACTTTATCACATTCACTTATTTTATTTTATTTAGCACGTGCATTTTTCCATGCCAGGCAGTAGCTTCATCATTTGCAGAATGCATTGGCCTCAGTACCGCCACCAGCCACCAAGCTTAGTTAGCGGACACAGTTTACAACAATGTGTCTGTCTCATACCACAACTGCAGATCGGGTTGTCACTTAAGCCCCCGCCTGTACAGGCTTGTGCATGTTCACCACAGTGCAATGTTTTAAATTGCACCATATAGATGCGTCACATTTGAACATTCACATGATGGAAGGTCGCAGCAGTGTTGGTGGAATATGCCCAGCCTGGGAATCTGCTTGACCTGACACCCCGGTCTTCACAGATCATGGTAGACGGGAGGGACGTGCGCACCCTGAACCTGCGCTCCTTGCGTCAGCTGATCGGTGTCGTGAGCCAGGAGCCTGTGCTCTTCGCCACAACCATCGCCGAGAACATCCGCTTCGGTCACGAGAAAGTCACAATGGAGGACATCGAGAGGGCGGCTCGGAACGCCAACGCGTACGACTTCATCAGCCAAATGCCCGAGGTGTGTTGGTCCCTGCGGTGGGTATTCTGATTTCCTTTGGTTGTAGAGTTGAACAGAAAATTGTATTTGTTGTTCAGGTTGTTAAGCGAATCAGTAGATGGCGTCAGGAGTAGCCTGGTGAATATCTGAAATGCTGATGATGAATTATATAGGAGGGCAGTGGCGTACTATGTGGTCCATGGTTTGAGGTAGAAACTCACATGGAAATTCATAGACTTACATGGAGGTCCGTAAGCTCGTGTAGAGATCCATGGGTGAAGTATCAAGTGGGCAGTGATGCTACTGTGTGGTTCTTGTTGTGAGATATAGACTCACGTGGAGGTTTAGAGACTCACATATAAACTCACAGGTGAATGAACAAAGTGGTAGTCCATCGATTGAGATGAGCGATCACAAGTCAGACTCTGGGCTATTCTTGTTTGCCAGTGATTTTAGCATGATCTTACCATCACCTTAACCATGTTAATTTAACAATGCACTGACATAATTACATTAACAACACAAGTTTCAAACAAGAGTTAGAAGTTGGCAGAGTGTATATTAAAATGGCATTTGTATAAAATAGAAAAAATATAAACACCTCACCATCATCACTACCTTAGATCCCAAAAAATACACAAACATTTCGGGCATTAGCCCTTATTCAGAGAAGGGAGAAAATGTTCCCTGACTTACACTGTTGTCGGGACAGCATTTAACAATATTGTACCATGAAAACATCGGCAATGGACTCCCTTGCGTTTTAGTACTATAAAACGAAATGTGCATGATTTCAAATTGTATCCATGAAGCAGCTGTGAATACGCTATGTGTCTCTCTGTAGAGATTCAACACGCTGGTCGGGGACCGCGGAGCGCAGCTCAGCGGTGGGCAGAAGCAGCGTATCGCCATCGCGCGTGCCCTCATCCGAAATCCCAAACTTCTGCTCCTCGACGAGGCCACATCGGCCCTGGACGGGGAGAGCGAGGCCATTGTGCAGGAGGCCTTGGACAAGGTATGGCTCCACTGGTTGCCCTCGCTTCCCTGGCTGCCTTGGCTGCCTTGGCTGCCCTGACTGCCCTGGCTATCCGATGGCTGTCCTGGCTACCCTGGCTGCCTTAGCTCCCCTGACTTCACTGGCTGCCACTAGCTTCTCCAAATTGGCCTTGCACTGAGAGTTCTGTACACTGCCGTGATCACTGACTCCCGACAAATGAAGGCATAAAGTGGAGAGCACATATGAGTGTGTGCACACATTATCTCCCGTGATGAATCCTCAGCTGGCTTGGGTGGTTGCATGCATGTGTGGGCTGCAGAGGCAGCCACTTCATGTTTGAAATTAGATTATTCTTAGCTACTCTAGAACATGGGTAGCAAATCTATTAATGTAACGATTTAAGTGGCTCCATTGTGAAATGTATTGCAATTTTGTATAGAATTTCAGGAATAGGTGGGTATTAACATTGCTCTTAATGATTTGAATGTGAAAACCAACAACTCGCAGCACGGAGGGACATTGGGCATGACAGTTTGGGTCTGAAAGTTGGTCAACCTCACACTGTGACGTCCTCCACCCCCTCATGACCCCAGGCAAGAGAAGGCCGAACAACGATCGTGATTGCCCATCGCCTCTCCACCATCCGCAATGCCGACATCATCGCAGGCTTCGATGGAGGTGTCATCGTTGAGCTGGGCACTCACGATGAGCTGATGAAGCGCAATGGAGTCTACCACACGCTGGTCTCCATGCAGGTGGACTCAGCGCCCACGGCCACGACTTGCTCATCAGCAGCACTCACACTACTCATCAATAGCACTCACACTACTCATCAGCAGCACACACACTACTCATCAAACAGCACTCACACTACTCATCAGCAGCACACACACTACTCATCAACAGCACGCACACTACTCATCAGCAGCACGCACACTACTCATCAACAGCACGCACACTACTCATCAACAGCACACACACTACTCATCAACAGTACACACTACTCATCAGCAGCACACACACTACTCATCAACAGCACACACACTACTCATCAGCAGCACACACACTACTCATCAACAGCACACACACTACTCATCAACAGCACACACACTACTCATCAGCAGCACACACACTACTCATCAACAGCACACACACTACTCATCAACAGCACACACACTACTCATCAGCAGCACACACACTACTCATCAGCAGCACACACACTACTCATCAGCAGCACACACACTACTCATCAACAGCACGCACACTACTCATCAGCAGCACACACACTACTCATCAACAGCACACACACTACTCATCAGCAGCACACACACTACTCATCAGCAGCACACACACTACTCATCAGCAGCACACACACTACACATCAGCAGCACTCACACTACTCATCAGCAGCACTCACACTACTTATGAACAGCACACACACTACTCATCAACAGCACACACACTACTCATCAACAGCACACACACTACTCATCAGCAGCACACACACTACTCATCAGCAGCACTCACACTACTCATCAGCAGCACTCACACTACACATCAGCAGCACACACACTACTCATCAACAGCACACACACTACACATCAGCAGCACACACACTACTCATCAACAGCACACACACTACTCATCAGCAGCACTCACACTACTCATCAGCAGCACTCACACTACTCATCAACAGCACACACACTACTCATCAACAGCACTCACACACTACTCATCAACAGCACACACACTACTCATCAGCAGCACTCACACTACACATCAGCAGCACACACACTACTCATCAGCAGCACTCACACTACTCATCAGCAGCACTCACACACTACTCATCAACAGCACTCACACACTACTCATCAACAGCACACACACTACTCATCAACAGCACACACACTACTCATCAACAGCACGCACACTACTCATCAGCAGCACTCACACTACTTATGAACAGCACACACACTACTCATCAACAGCACACACACTACTCATCAACAGCACACACACTACTCATCAGCAGCACTCACACTACACATCAGCAGCACACACACTACTCATCAGCAGCACTCACACTACTCATCAGCAGCACTCACACACTACTCATCAACAGCACTCACACACTACTCATCAACAGCACACACACTACTCATCAACAGCACACACACTACTCATCAACAGCACGCACACTACTCATCAGCAGCACTCACACTACTTATGAACAGCACACACACTACTCATCAACAGCACACACACTACTCATCAACAGCACACACACTACTCATCAGCAGCACACACACACTACTCATCAACAGCACACACACTACTCATCAGCAGCACACACACTACTCATCAACAGCACACACACTACTCATCAACAGCACTCACACTACTCATCAACAGCACACACACTACTCATCAACAGCACTCACACTACTCATCAACAGCACACACACTACTCATCAACAGCACTCAAACTACTCATCAGCAGCACTCACACTACTCATCAGCAGCACTCACACTACTTATGAACAGCACACACACTACTCATCAACAGCACACACACTACTCATCAGCAGCACACACACTACTCATCAGCAGCACACACACTACTCATCAGCAGCACACACACTACTCATCAGCAGCACACACACTACTCATCAGCAGCACTCACACTACTCATCAGCAGCACTCACACACTACTCATCAACAGCACACACACTACTCATCAACAGCACTCACACTACTCATCAACAGCACTCACACTACTCATCAGCAGCACTCACACTACTCATCAGCAGCACTCACACTACTCATCAACAGCACACACACTACTCATCAGCAGCACACACACTACTCATCAACAGCACGCACACTACTCATCAGCAGCACTCACACTACTCATCAACAGCACGCACACTACTCATCAGCAGCACTCACACTACTTATGAACAGCATGCACGCGATAACACATTCCTGCGGAGGGAGCTGGTAGGAACGTTGGGTTGCTCGGTCAATGGCCAGGATCAACGGCGGCGTGGTGTATTCCGCAAATATGCCCGACTGTGAGGGCGGGCACAAGCCGGCGTGAGTAGGTGAAACGTTGAGTTTTATAAGGGCACCACGGGGTGACCAGCCCCTCCTCACCCAGCCCCACCCTCCCCACCCAGCCCCACCCTCCCCACCCAGCCCCTCTCCACCCAGCCCCACCCAGCCCCACCCCCCACCCTCCCCACCCAGCCCCTCCCCACCCTCCCCACCCAGTCAGCCCCTCCCCACCCAGCCCCTCCCCACCCTCCCCACCCAGCCCCTCCCTCCCCACCCAGCCCCTCCCTGCACGACTGACGGATGGACATAATCATCTCTTGTGGGCTGGTGTAACCAAGAGTTTCCTACCAGTAAAAGTTCAACATACACAAATAAATGTCAGCGTTGCGAGATTCACAACCTGCTGTACCATGAAGCAGCCAGTAGATGGTAGCATAGAACTTCATAAACATCCTAAAGGAGAGCGCTCCTGGGAGTTTTCGAGGCTCTACAAGACAATCATAATGCCCCGTATTTACTCAGGGCAAAACATATATAATTTTCGTTTACGATTGCTTTCGTTTGGTTAATGCATGCCTGAAACATTCCTGTGTATGTTATGCCACAGACGTTCCACCATGAGGATGACAAGGGGATTGAAGACACTAAGGCCAAACGCCTAGACTCGCCTACTGGTGACAAGGCCTTTTTCCGCAGCTTGTCCCAGCAGTCACATGCAAAAGAGTCAGACTTAGCCAAAGAAGATGGGGAAGACAACAAAGAGACAGAGGTGATATATATAATACATGCTTATACTTCTGCCAGTGTATAATATAACAATAAAAATCATACACAATGATAATAGTTCACAACCCATTTTCAATACACTGCTGGATGAATGTCACCCCATGAAGTGGCAGTTAAGGCAGGGTTGGTTGGCTATACTTGCTTGGCCATACCACACTTGTTAGTGCAGGTTGGTGAAGGGGGACATGCAGCAGGACCCCTTTAGATATTGCTCGCCACAAATGTCAGCCATGGCCAGGGATTTCGCTCAGGTCGCTCAGATCTTTCTGCATTAGTGGAGCGATTTTCTCGTTCCACGCCTCTAATTAGGACGGTTGGCTGTGTGCGGTAAGAAAAATTCAACATACAGTACATACAAAAAATGTGTTCCACGATAGTCCAATTGTCTATTTTGTAATATATGGTGCTGCTTTTCTGAAAACTTCTTCAACAAGTGCAGTGCAGATCTGACCTCACACGAGGTATTTCAAAAATGCTACAGCAGTTGAGTCCATCTTATTGACAATTCCCACGTCCTGCCTTTGGTGACAGGAAGTAAAGATCCCGAAGGTGTCCTTCTGGAAGGTGTTAGCGCTGAACAAGAAGGAGTGGCCGTACATTACCCTAGGCACCTTGTGTGCCGGAGTCAACGGCGCGTTGCAGCCCGCCTTTGCCGTCATCTTCTCTCGCATCATCGGGGTATGAGGTCACCTTTCCCTTAAATTTGTGCTGATTTGTTTTCTGACCTTGAGGTGGACAATTCACACGTGGTCTGAAATAGCTGGTTACATATAAAAACAAAAAAAGCATGACAACTCGTCACCATACTTAAATGAGCATGGGGTACAGTCAGTAATGGCATTTTTCAAACATCCCAATGCAGGAACCCTTCCTGAAAGAGTTTTGAGACTCATTACAGCTTTCCTGGATAAACAATGGCCATTCATATTATTATATAAGAGTAGGTATAACCAGTGTAAATTATAGTTTTTGAGTGCCTCTAACAAGCACTGATTATGTTGACTTGGAAATGTAAATTATTCAATGAGCCATCGAATCCAAGGATCGCTAGGCATATTTTATAGACTACCTATGGGAGATTGAGGGCTGTTGGCAGCTACGGTTGTGAATGTGTGCAGACTACTTTGATAAATAGAGGTTACTTGTGTGTATATTTCTACATGTCAATCCACACATTGTGGTGTGGTTTGTGTGTGGGATCCAATGCTGGCTTTGTGCAGGTGTTTGCAGAGACAGACCTCGTGAAACGAACGGAACAGAGCAACCTCTACTCTTTGCTCTTCCTTGTCCTTGGGATCGTCTCCTTTGTTACATTTTTCCTTCAGGTATTGCCACAAACACACACAAAAACACATTAACACATGCACAAAACAAAGTTAAATATGCCCTGTGTAGCCTATATGGATTGTTGAAGCAAGTGCTATTAGCACTTACAACTATTAAGGCCGACACAGCGAACAAGATTGCCTTGTGGCCAGCACCACAACTGGCCCCCTTTGTTTCCCCAGTGCTATATTCACACCAGCTACTCATTTAAGACTGACTTGGTCTCGGGGAGGCCATGAACCGGTTCAGTTTCACTCACCACTGATATTAGCTGTGACCGGTAATCAAGCACAGGTCACCAAGTTCGTAGCACGATGTGCTAATGATTTATGCCATCACTCCCCAGACATATACATGCACACACACGTGTTTAGAATTATAGGTGGCTAAGAAAATAAGATTACTGATTCTTAGAGTCATGTAACATATTTAGTAAAAGCCATAATATTTCACTTTGTCAAGCAGAAATCAATTGACACATCAAATACAATGCAGCGGTCTGCAGTTGCATTTTAAATATTTTTACATTTGTTAAATATATTTATGGTGTGATGCCAGTTGTGGTGATATATTTCTTTCTCTCCGGTGTGTCATATTTGTGTGTTGCTGATGGCCTCTGGCTGCAGGGCTTCTTGTTTGGTCGTTCTGGTGAACTGCTCACAATGAAGTTGAGATCAATGGGCCTTAGGGCCATGCTCAGACAGGTAATGGCTGCACACCATTAAAATACATCTCCATCATGATTAGCATCGCTCAATCCTCTGCTCAATGAAGGTATTTTAAAGTACAAAGGCCCCTTATGCAGTTGTTGAAACAAAAAGGTGACACAATTGTAAATGTGTTTGCTTTTCTCCCATATAAACCTCACCAGCCTCACATGTGGTACTTCATGGCCTTAAACACTGCTGTGGGATTTTCGCAGCATGGTATCCATAACATTATTGGGGAGGAGATACTCTGATTTTAGTAAAGTAGTATCTGCTCCCTCGACAATGTCTAAATCACCCAAAATGCACCAATTTCATCAGATCTCAGAAGCTAAGCAAGCTTGAGCCAAGATAATGCTTGGATGGGTGACCACCATGCATGCATACGAGGTTGGCATAGGTTGACGTGGGGCTACGGTGGTGGGCAGTGTAACCAAATACTGTAGGTTTTATGCTCGCATTTTAATACCGGTGAGCTTTCACTGACCCACACTGACCAGCGTCATGAAGTATCGTCCCATAACTGCCACAATCTACACGGTGTTGATAGGCTCTCAATCCAGCAGTGGATTGTCAAAAAATACTGTGAATTATCTCCCTCAGCTGTGTAAATGACATTTATTTGTACACATCCAAGCGAGGTCAAATGTATTTATAAGTGTTCTGTCAAAAATTACCTCCTGATTTGATGCTAAAAATGTTTGCTTGCTGGACAAAATGTCTTTTACTCTCAACCCTTTCCATTACATTTACATTTTGATAATGCCTTGCTTGAATACAGAACAAAAAAAAGAACACCATCCATTTCTTTTTATCAGCACTACATTTTGTACTTGCCATAGCAAAAGTGTTTTTTGCAAATAAAAAAATACAAGCATATCCAATGAAGACGTGGCCACATGTTAAACACAGAAGGCTCATAAGGTTTCCCTGAATAAAGTGGGTCAGCACTATTCCTAAAATCTTCTGTGTGGTGGGGACTTGCTCATTAACATTTGTATGTCCATGTCCAGTTTGGTGAGATATCCACCAGGCCTTAGGAGTTGCCTGACAATACTGCTGGCGAATGATCGCAGTGAGCAGTGGCATTACTACGTGGTCCATGGTTTGAGATACAGACTAGCATAGATGTGTAGACTCACATAGACACCTATAGACTCGTGCAGAGACACAGACTCGCATAGAGTTCCATAGGTAAATGTTTGAAATGGGCAGTGGTGTTAATTTGTGGTATCTTGTGTAATATATTTTGAGTTTAGCTTTTGCCAAGCTATTTTACAAGGGACATCCATTGTGCATGAGCAGAGCAACAACATAATATACCCTAAAAACATCAATATTGCAGAGAACGAGTACAGGGTCCTTAAGGAATATTTCACAACTAACATAAAATGTATTAACGGTCATAAACGAACCACACATGAAGCAAAACAAAATTGAAAATGCATTAAAATATTTCAGCTCACATCTAAACTCATCGACTCACAGTAAGACGCATAGACTCACATAGAGACCCAGAGGTGAATTACCGAAGTGGGCAGTGGCATTACTGTATGGTCCGTGGTTTGAGATCGGTGACTGGTTGCATTTGGGGTCAACTCTGCAACCTTTATGTGGTCACCCCTGGTACGCGTCACTCGTAGGTGCTTTCGTGCAACTCATCAATACAACGGCTGTCATTGATAGGCCACCGCAGGTTGGCTCATCAAATGCCCGCCGTGAGCAATCAGTTTCAACTCTGATTCATGATTAGCTTAATGCTTTGCCTCGCGTGCACTTACTTTCACGTGTGTGCAGGATATGATGTGGTTCGATGACCCCAAGAATAGCACGGGCGCGCTGACCACACGCCTTGCCACTGACGCCTCCCAAGTCCAAGGGGTACGCAGCTGCCGCAAGAGCGCAGAGCACTTCCCTTGCAAGCAGGGCACCCTGCACACCACGTCCAGTTCACGGTTCAAGAACGGCAGGCCACCCTGGTTATTACTGGAGCTGTGTAAACCATAAAAATACGCTGGCATCTGCTTCACAGTGGACTTTGAGGAACCCCTCATGTTATTCGAAACAATTACGCCATTGTGTGCCAGCATCATAGTCTGAATTGTCAAATTAGAAAAATTATCTGCAAATGACTCAATTGGGATTACACATATCACCCATTACTCCCAACTGGGAGACTAATACCTATTTTCAGGCCAGGTGTTCAGTCTCCATGTGTCCACAGGGACAACTGCCGCTGGGGTTGCCTATTGAAATGTTTGAGAGGAGATGTGATGCAAGTCGTTTATCGTGAGTTTCAAGCATTCTGGGACGCCCCGTTTTAACGGGTGCTATATCAAAAACAAATTATTATTACTACCTCCTACTATGGCTGTGGCTGCTAGTCACATGCAAATTACTCTGGACTGCCATTAAAGCGAAAATTATTTTACAAGACATTGTTCCTTGTCAACAGATTGCATTGTTATTTACAGCCTCTATAAAGCACTTTGAGGGAGCAGAGAGGTCAAATTTAGTGCTCAGAGATGGCTGTTGAAAATAGAAGTAATGTAATGTTCATGATACTGGAGGGGTCGGGGAATAATCACCATTTGCATTTTCTGCTGGTTTTTAGTCTAGAATTGTATCAGCTACTTAAGGGACATTGCACTTGCAGTTGCTTTTTCATGCAATCAACCTCTGCAACTCGAAGATTGACTTTAGGTTTTACAGTATAAAGGCATGCAGATAATGCAAAGAGTTTCATTCCAGGATTGGTTAAGCAATTTGGAGGTTTGGAACATGACAGGGAAGCATTACAGATATAATTAGGAAAAGGAAATTGGAATAGATGGAGGGCAATTTTTGGGGACAGCCTTTGAGTTTGTAAAGCCTAACTTTCAGGGGCTTTTTTTTTGCTGTCAACTGTGCAACTCTAGCTGTCCTGCCATTGGTCTTGGTTATATATTTATGCTAAACAAATGACTGTAAGTCCTAATTGTGTTAATTTAGCAAGGCTACACACCATAAATGAAAATTGTTTAATGTTGAGCATCCCGCAATTTCTACATGACCACTCAGATGTGTGTCTTTGTGGACGAGTGGTAGGGGGCGGTAGTGTAGCTGTTAGCGCGCTGCTCTACATACCCGGTGACCCGACTTCAATTCCCTCTCACGGGAAACACCAATGACGATTATCTAAATCGGTCCTGGGCCTCTGCTAGGTCGACTCAGCCTCAAATCAGTACCTGGTGCGTTGTGTAAATATCTCCACTCGGGAGGCAAAGGCGGCCGGGTATGGTGCTGGCCACCCATCCCCTTGTGGCCTTCATAGGTGCTCGCTAACAGCACTTGTCCCGATAGTCTTTTAAGGCTATATGGGGGATCTTTGTCTTTGTTTAGTGTGGATGAGCGGTGACAAAACGGCATAGTGACTGTTGATAACTGTTGTGTGTTAGGCGACTGGTGCCAGACTCGCGACCATTGCCCAGAACATAGCCAACATGGGCACGGCCATCGTGATCTCCTTCGTGTACGGCTGGGAACTCACACTTCTCATCCTGGCCATCGTGCCGTTCGTTGGGGCGGCTGGCTTCCTGGAGATGCAGGCCCTTACCGGCCAGGCCAACCGTGACAAGAAGCTGCTGGAGGAAGCTGGCAAGGTGGGCACTTGTGCAAAGCGGTGACGTGGCCAAGCGGTTGCGCGTTTGCAACTAACTAGTTGCACAGGTTCGCTCCTCGAGCCCCATGGCCACCCTGATTAATACTGATGTTCTTTTTTTTAATGCCTGCTGTATGCTTCTCTGTGGGTGTGAAAGATCCCATGTTGTTAATCTAAAAATAGTAAACTCTGTCTGTTGGTGTCACGGCCCATATTTGCCAAATAAAACAAATACTTTCAGGTTACTTAATTGGTTCGTTCATGTCACAATGTCGGACTCCTGCTCCCATTGGAGGATAAAATGATGTGTCATACCTGACACACAAGGAATCAGTAAGTCGATAATAGTCAATACTGAGACAAAATAACATAAATATAATTTTCATCAACACACAGATGCTGCTCAAATGTGTGTCAATAAGCAGCCAGTCATCTCAATAAGCGAGACAATCTCAATCGTGTCTGTACAAAAGCAACAACCTAATATAAACTGGCCCTTGCCATGGGAATGTAGAATTTCCACGACTGCCTTTAGCCCACTGTGTGCACTCCTCAATGATCATGTGGGACGTGAAGGCACTTCTATTTTTTACTTTTGGTTACGATGAGTGATTGTGGCAGTGCAATAGTGAGCCTTTATTTTTACTCTACGTACAGTGGAGACTGACGAGCCTGTGGACGTGTTCTGTGCCTTCAGATAGCGACCGAGGCTGTGGAGAACATCAGGACGGTCGCCTCCTTGACGCGGGAGTGCACGCTGGAGAAGATATACCAGGATAGCCTGGAAGGGCCTGCCAAGTAAGGCTTCTAATTTACATCTTACTGATGCCTTTAATTCAGCAACTCGTCACTCCATCTCAGGCCCCTTTAACAGGATGCTTTCGCTTGGAATGTTTAGCCAAATGCTGCAAGTCATATAAGCATGTAGGTGATTTAGAGTAAAGTCATACTTAGCAGGGGATAGCATTCTAAATTCTGCAGCCTACTTTCTGTATTTCCATCTACAGGACACCTTGCAGCTCAGCAGGTTTGTGTCTTACACAGATGCTAATCTCTGTGTGCGATTCATCAACAACTCTGCCTCAAACTGGAGGCTAAACTCAAGAACGTTCTATATAGAATTCACCAAACATCCAAAGCTAAATCCTTCAGAAAAATTAATAAGGACGTAGGCTTTACTGGAATAATAAACAACGAATTCTCTAACTCATATCCAATACTCTGTATTGTCTTTCACAGGACAGCGAAGAAGAAGTCGCAGTTCTACGGATTGACATACGGCTTCTCGCAGGGAGTTGTGTACCTCGCCCAAGCTGCCGCCTTCCGCTTTGGGGCCTTCCTCGTCACGGCGGGCCGCATGGAGTTTGAAAATGTTTTCTTGTAAGCGCTCAGCTGTGTTTATATGAAAAAATATATATATTTGCACTTTAAACTTATTCTATGGAATATTGAATTTGACTGTTCACAATCAATCTATCACTTTCACTTAGTGCCATGTGTGATGTGCCAGCCCATTGAGACAATACTTTCATTTGCAAATAGATCATTAAAAAGTCAGTGTTCCCTTGCTGAAATTATGTCCAATGGGAGTCCAAACCAAGTGCTGAAAATTACACATTCCTGTCGTCAGGGCCAGTGCCCGCGAAAGAAAATTACCCATTGGCGTTCTACAAAATGATATTAATGTAATAAACTTTGGAAGGGTATGGGCTGGGTTGACTTCACACCAAGATTTTGACTTAACTTTCCAATCGTGCCACAGCACTGCCTGGCTCGAGAGACATTATAACTGGTCTATATACAGTAAGAGTCAAACCATTCCAAATGATTTCCTGCCCAAATGAGTATTAAGGCAGTGCTCATCTCCCCTTTACAGTGCTGAGCCAGTAGTGGCAGTTCCACATTTCAGTGGTGGTAGTGTGTCTATCCACAGGCCAACCGCTGTTGACTTCCCCACAATGTGGTACTCATTTTATCGACGTCAGGGGGCTGATAGGCTGACTTAACCACCAACCAGGATTTGAACTCACAACCTTCTAATTGCAAGCTGCTCGCTCTGCTGCTGAGCCACTTGGTGTGGATTATTTAAGGAAGTGGGCATTTTGACCTTTGAAATGTTGTGTGGGCACCCTGCAGGGTATTTTCGGCGATCGTGTTTGGAGCCATGGCTGTTGGGCAGACGAGCTCCTTTGCCCCTGATTACGCCAAGGCCAAGACATCGGCCAACCACCTCTTTCACCTATTCCAGCTGATTCCTGTGATCGACAGCTACAGCGATGAGGGGGAAAAGCTGGTACGTGCGTTCGACTACGATCCCCTACGAGGCTGTTAATGAAGTTACCATGACCCCACTGTGGTCACAGATTGGGAAAGCTTTGCCACCACCACTATCATCATTAATACTGCCTTATGAAATAAAAACAAACAGCGGACTCACTGTTTATGAGTGGCCCTTTCGTGCTCTGAAGGGATATTGCCCATGGTGTCAGCCTCCTGCATGATTCGTGTTTACGTTACAAGGCACCATTCGAGGATCACTTTTAAATTCAAGAATATATGGCTGCAGGAGTTATGAAAAATGAAATACAACATATACAGATCAAAAGTAATACGTTTTTTATGCATAATTCAATGCGTGCATTGTGAGTGTAAGAATTGATTTCAATTGATATATTGATGCATCGTTTCGTGTCTAGTGTTAATAGTAAAAAAGGGTTTTGTTGATCCGTGCTGCGGTTTTAAAACTTGATTTTTGTTTAAATTATTGTATTTCACAACTTCCACAATTCCCCATCTCGTGCGACGCTCTCCTCTGGCACTGTAGGAGGACTGTGAAGGAAACGTTGAGTTCCAGAGTGTGGGCTTCAACTACCCGATGCGGCCTAACGTGGAGGTGCTCAAGGGCTTGTCCGTGAAGGTTGAAAAGGGCCAAACGCTGGCGCTTGTGGGCAGCAGCGGCTGCGGCAAGAGCACAAGTGTGCAGCTGCTGGAGAGGTTCTACGACACGCTGAGTGGGAACGTGGTAAGTGCGCTATAGCCCAGTCCTCAATGTGCGCAACAATGTCAGCAAATACGATTCCTGCATTTGTGCTTGGATTCGCGCACTGAGTTTGGCCGGGTGAGACGGTGTTTTCATTATCATCATCATGATCCATGTGTAATGAGTGACTTCTGTGACACGTCGTGTAGAGGGTTCCTCTTCTTTATTCTTATATGGGCACAACACAGGCCAACCTTATCTTCTCACTCTGAGTACAACACTTCGATTTTACCATTTTTACTGGCTACACACACACAGCCGATCACTCGGCGTGGTTCCAACGTCCACACTCGGCTACGCCGCTGGCTGGCGGCTTGCCGAGGAGGGTGATGGAAGCCCGCAGGAGATCTTACACGTGGCCGGACGACGGAGAGAGTTGACGGCGAGCAGCGACTCAGTGTGGACCCAACACTCCACACACGAACTCCGAGCCCTCGTCCACCCCTGCTTATATCTCCCCAGGCGCGGCTAGGCTCCGCCTCTGGCCACGCCCTATCGTGGAACCTTCGAGCAGGTTCCCGGAGCATCTCGGCCAACCCTGCCCATTACCTTCGCCCCAGATACCTCTCCCTTTCAGATTGGATGTTGTTTTAGCGGTGTCTGTACTCATGCTTCCCTTTTATAGCCAGCAGGTGTCATCATGTCATTACACATGGGTAGATAGCCCGTAGTTGTCCACTGGACATTTCGTCATTTGTTTACACTTTCCTCTGTCTTGTGCAAATATACTCCAGTCGTGCACATCTTTCTCGCACTAATTTATGTCTTCAAGCCAATCTCTATTAAGTCTTCCTCTCTTTCCGGTTCCTTTCATTTTTCCGAACAACACACTTTAAATTTCCCTGTTGTTGTCCATCCTACATATGTGTCCAAATAGTGCCAATTTCCTTCTCATCACTGCCTGCATCAGGTATTTTTCTACGTACAACTGTTTTCTTACTTCTATGTGATGGTGTATACCTGCATTATAGCAGGTAGAGTAGGGAGCATAGGTGGTGCATCTGCCGGTTATCTCAAGTCATGGGTCTGTCCCATAACCTCCTGCCAGCGAACCTTCGACACTTCACATGGCCTTAAACTGCACCTAGCCTGGCACAACGCCGAGGTGACATCACCACCACTTTGTGGCGAATGGTGGTGGCTGTTATTGTTATGGCAACTTAGAGGTGAGTTTGGTTCGTGTACAGATGGGGCTATTGTGCACAAAACATCCGACTGCAGGACTGTGGGAATAGCCCTATTGTCCCTGTGGGAGGAGAGTAGAGTAAGAACGTTTCTTACAGGCTGTATGTGTGTCGCTTAATTCGTATCATATAATACATAGGATTTTTTTTTTCAAGGCACTCAAGTTTGTGCCCACATTCCAAATTAAAAATGAATTAATTCGTGACACGTCTGAAAACCATACCAAAAAGGTTGAATAGGATTGACAAGCAATGATACACGGTCATGCAAAATAAAGGCAAGAGACTGAGGAACACGTGAAGGAGGTAACTGAATGATCTGAGTGGGACCCAGTAACGAAAGCATGTCATTCTGCTGTGCCACGTAGCTTATCGACGGCAAAGACGTGCGCTCGCTGCACATCCAGTGGCTTCGGGCGCAGATGGGCATCGTATCGCAAGAGCCAGTGCTCTTTGACTGCAGCATGGCCGAGAACATCGCGTATGGAGACAACTCGCGCATCGTGACACAGGATGAGATCGTGGCTGCCGCCCGCGCCGCCAACATCCACACCTTCATTGACAGCCTCCCCGAGGTGAGACCACCCTCCACAAACACCCTCGAAGTTGGAATCCTCGTGATGGGCATATCAAGGGATGAACAGTCACAGTAATTTCACCATACGATTAAGAAATAAGCGCATGTGAATCATGAGAGCAAGCGTCTGGGCCAGTTGGCTGAGACTATATTACTTTGGTAATTTTCCTTGTAAGTAAAGTTGAAACTGTCAATTTTAATCTTGATTCGAAGCTCCTGCTTCAGCAGTTTCCCTGCTGTGATTGTTTCACCTGATGACAGTCGCTTGTGTTGCGATCAAAACGTCGTGATCTATTATTTTCTACCCACGTGACTTTACTGAAAGAACCAAAGAGTATGTAAATTTTTATTCAGTAATGTAGGAGGCAGGGTTGGTAAATGATACAAAAATGGCATTTGGGAAATTCACCTACAAAGCAAGGTGGGACCTGTAGGAGGCATTCCAAAAAGTCAGATGTTGACCTATCCAGCAAATATTGAGTGTTTTTTAAGTCATATGCACAGGTCTTTTTTCTAGACACTGCTTGTCCTATCACATCTCAAACGCAACTGATGAAAATGAGTATGGGAATGCAGTAAAGATTATTGACTCAATATCGTGCATTGGCCCTGTGCAGAAGTACAACACAAAGGTCGGAGACAAGGGGACACAGCTGTCGGGTGGTCAGAAGCAGAGAATAGCGATTGCGAGGGCTCTCGTCCGGCAGCCCAAGATCCTCCTGCTGGATGAAGCAACATCAGCCCTTGACACGGAGAGCGAGAAGGTGAAGATTTAACTAATTATTCCTTTTGCTTTCCCTCTTCGTTTGTGCACTTGCTTGATTGTATAATGCTGCACTTTCCCAAAGTGCATAATAAATATAAACTCTATCTCATGGTAAATCATGAGCTTCGCAGGAAATCTACATTTTATCATGCTGCTTTTTTAATGGCATTTCCTGATTTTTGTTTTCAGTCACTTTTAAATTACGGACACCCCCACCACCCTGCTACCGCTGTGCACTGTAATTGTAAAACATTGTGAATGCAGGGAGTACACTACGACGCAACGCGTATGTGCTATTTTATGACCACGGCATCGCGTGAATGTGCCCTTGTGCATTTGTTGCTCGGCAGATTGTGCAGGAAGCACTTGACCGGGCACGGGAGGGCCGCACGTGCATCGTCATTGCGCACCGCCTCTCAACGGTGCAAACCGCCGACAAGATCGCTGTCATTCAGAACGGACAAGTCATCGAGCAGGGCACGCACCAGCAGTTGCTCGCCAAGAAGGGCGCTTACCACTTACTCGTCAACGCACAAGTCTCTCAAATATGAGAGATGCGCCCGCAACAAATTCACTCCGTTTGTCCCTCACCAAGGGGATGGCTGACTTTGGGGATGTTACCGTCCCAGGCAATAGCAAAGAATTTTGGCCATTAGTACAACTAGTGCTGGAGCTCCTGCAGCAGTGTCTGGTGAGCGTTTGGTGTTCACTGGTGCCTTAATTTAATTGTCTTGTGTTTGGGCAGCTGTCATTGCAGAGATTGCATTGTTTCCTCTAGACCTATGCTGTGCCTAGCCAGCAGAGGGAGACCTCATGAAAAATTTACGTGAAAATTTCAGCCTTCCCGAGTGATTATTTTATGCGATTCAAGGTCACGGTTCTATTCGAGAATATATTATTTTTTTAAGACTAACTGTAGCAGCCCCTATTAGCTGCAGGCCCTGAATGGGGACTCGCTGTGACATGTGATTTGAAGCCTTGCTACAACATGATGCCAGGGAATGTGTTCTCTGTAATTCAAATATTTACAAAGCATGGCTCAAGAGGTCAGATACTAAGCCGGCACTGCTGAGAGACTGGGTTTTATCCAGGTTTCAGTCACTCGTGATTAAACCGGCTTCTCAAGTGCAGTGAGTTGATGTTCTCAGCCGTTACCAATAACTGCAGAATAAAACCATCAAGTAAGGTCTGGTATGACACTGAATTTGCAAATTTTTGCACGGAGAATGAAAATATCCGTTTGACTATCATGCGAAAACAGTAATGTCGTAACGTGGGTGGGAATGAGCGCCACCTAGTGTCGGTAAGTGGTCACTTGCAGGGATCTCAAAAGTAGTTCTGCGATTTCTCTCACTCGGAGGGTTGCACTGCTCTAAATGGATTCTTCATTTTGTGACATGATTCCGATAGGACAATTTAGAAGAAAATTTTGAAAAAAGACAAAAATGTAAGCATTCACAAAGCTCCGATTAGCACTGTTGGCTACGTACAGTGCGAAAGAAGTTAAAATATATGGATACAACGCTTGTGTACATCTAAGGTGATCACACATTGGTCACTGGATTATTTCACAAGATAATTTTTTCTAGAAGCTGCTGAATAAATGCACACAATTTGATATGCGGTAATTTGTTTCGAGTAATTCGATAATATAATTTGTACAACTTCTGGATGTACATGTTTCCTTTTATATTTCCTATTTCAAATACTTTATTTGAATGCAATATTTTCATATCACATAATAAAGCAATGGCATTGGTGTAAGTTTTTTCTGTTATCGTGAATGTAATTGTGAGTTTCAATTCATTTTATTATGCTTGTTTATCCAGGAAAGCCTCGGTCTCAAGAATATTGTTCATTAGGGTCCTGCCAAGTTCTCACAGGAAGGGGCAATGCTGCCCTGTGTTATCCCATTTGAGTAATTTCCAGGCAATTTTTTTCTGCATTGGGGACGTGTGGCCAATAGCAGTTACATTGTATGTTTCTACAGTATAGCCAAAGTATGACAATAATATGAGCTGCTCTATAACTGCCCATTTCATTCTGGCCGTCACCTCCAAGCCAATGGGTGTTTTTCTATTGTGAAGGTGTTCGAGGCTGTATAGGTGTTTGCGGTTGTGCTTTACAGCAAAAACAACCCCTACCTCCTCGTGGTGCCGGACAGGCAACGATGTCGTGTGCAGTGCTGTGGGGGGAGGGCCAATTCGGATTGGCCTTTCTCCTCATGGCGTTTGTGACCACCACAGCGGCCAAATGGGGGCTCTGGACGGGTGCGATGGGCTGGTAACCTCTCCACCGTCAATTAATTACCACTAAATACGACGGAAAAGTTCAATAAGCTTGTGCCGGAGGCCCCGGGGGGACAGGCGTCGATGATGTCTCCTGGCCAAACCCCATTTGGCGGAGCCAGGAGATTGAATCCTTACCCTCGGAGCTCCTCCAAAAACAACAAAAAACCACTACGTGTGGTCACGTAGAATGCTCGAACGCTTAGTGTGGAGGAGAGGCTGCCACTTCTCTGTTGGGAGCTGGACTGGTACCGCCTGGATCTCTGTGGTATTCAGGAGGTCCGGTGGACCGGCTCTGGCTCCTGCCACCATGAGGGGTGGACAGTCCTCTTCTCGGGGCAGGAGACTGCCAAACAACAGGGAGTGGCTCTTCTGAACAAAAGAATGAAGGGGGCGTGGGAGCGTGGCAGGTGTGGGAAGCTGAGGTGTGGACTCGAGTCATGTGACTTGGACTCGAGTCAGACTCGAGTCATGAATTTGATGACTTCAGACTCGACTTGGACTTGCATAACAATGACTTTGTCCCACCTCTGAGGTGTGGACTCGAGTCATGTGACTTGGACTCGAGTCAGACTTGAGTCATGAATTTGATGACTTCAGACTCGACTTGGACTTGCATAACAATGACTTTGTCCCACCTCTGGTGGGAAGCTGTAAGCCCCAGGCTACTTTGGGCTCGCCTTCCCATCAACCAGAGGCGAGGAGTAGTGGTCGTGGTTACTTATGCCCCCACTGAAGACGATAATCTGTAGATGGATGCAGGCAAGGCCGATGAGTCAAATGCCTTCTATGACCTGTCACAGGTGCTAGCTAAAGTGGCCCCTCGGGATAGAGTCATCTTGTTGGGTGACTTCAATGCCCGAGTTGGTCTTGATGCTGGCACCTGGTCTGGAGTGATTGTAAGGCATGGGCCAGATCAGCTCAATAGTTAATGGCAGGAGGCTGCTAGACTTTTGTGTAGCCCATGGGCTTGTAATTACCAACACGCTGTTTCGGCATCGGCGCATCCACACAACAGCATGGATGCATGCCAGGTCCAAGTAAGAACATCTGCTGGACTACATAGTGAAGGAACAGAGGATGCGGGCCCATGTTCTTGACACCAGGACCTACCGTGGAGCTGATCTGCCCACTGACCATCGACTTGTCATCTGTAAGATGCGCCTGCCATTCTTCCACTCCAGTGGTGGGTGTACACCCAAGACCCCATTCAAACCCTTAGTGCCATGGTCTCAGCTAGCTGATGAAAGTTGCAAGCGAGAATTGAATTATCGCTTGCGGCTGGGGTTCACATCGTCCCCTACTCCTGATGTCGAGGGGAAATGGGCGAGGTTTAGGACTGTGGCTCATGCAGCTGCAATGTCTGCTTTGGGTACTCGGTCCAGACCTCCCCAGAGACCCTGGCTGACAGAGGAGGTATTCAAGCTGGCTGAGAAAAAGCGACAGGCCCACTCTCATCGGTTACAGCATCCCACGTCGGAGAATGAGGCTTACTGCAGCCTTCGCTCGGAGGTTCGGAGAGCCGTGAGGTGCTGCAAGGATGGGTGGTGGTCGCAGGACTTGCTGAGGAGATGGAGTCTGCCTCAATGGCCCGCGATCACAAATCGCTCTTTAATTCTATAAAAAAGTAACCTGCAGAACCACACCTATTACCATCAGGGGAAAGAACGGTGATTCAATCTCCGACCCCCCGGAACAGGTTTGCAGATTTGCTGAGCATTTCTGTGAGGTCCTGGGGGAGGGGACATCCCTCAGCCTGGATAACGACGTGGGACAAAGTGGGGATGACCCTGTCGAGGCTGCGGTGCCTCAAATATTGGAAGAAGTCACCTCCTGTGAGTGGCTGGCTGAGGTACCATCTGTTGAGGGAGTACTGAACGCGATCGAGAGTCTTGAGACCAGAAAAGGCGCAGGGCAGAGATGATTTCCCAAGTGAAATGCTGAGGGAGGGTGGCGTTTGTGCACAGACTGCCCTAAATGACATCATAACAACAGTCTGGACCACTGGACGGGTTTCGCAGGATTGGTAGGATGCCCTGGTGATCTCCCTCTTTAAGAAGGGGCACCGCACAGACTGTAACAATTACAGGGGCATCTCACTCCTCAGTGTGCCGGGAAAGGTCCTGGCAAAGATTATTCAACATTGCCTTGCTAGGCACACTGAGGAGAGGCTTGTGGAGCCCCAATGTGGTTTCAGGAAAGGGCGGTCCTGCACAGATGCCATATTTTCTGTTCGTCTGCTACAGCAGATGTGTAAGGAATTACAACAAGACCTATATCGCTGCTTTATTGACCTGGTCAATGCCTATGAAACCATCATTAGGCCTGGGCTCTGGCTTGTTCTTCGTTCTTTCGGAGTCCCTGACCCTCTGCTCACGATCATTAAGGACCTTCATGATGGTGAGTGGGCCCAGGTAAACTTACGTGGCCGGGAGTCAGAGCTATTCCCTGTACACCTTGGGGTGCAACAGGGATGTCCTCTGGCTCCCATATTATTTAACATCTATTTTGACCACGTAGTTCTTCAAACCTTCAATAGCTGTCCCGGAGGAATTTCCATCTGATACAGATACAATGGGAGGCTGATTGATGCCCAGGTGCGGTCAAGGGATGGCTCCCTATTGCTCAACCATGTGATGTATGCCGATGATCTGGTAATTGCTGCTCACTCAGATGAGGAGTTGGAGGCGCTGCTGCTGAACCTGGAGCTTGCCACTAAGAGGTGGGGCCTTACTATCAGCCCCACCAAAACTAAGCACCTGCCTGGGTATTTTGTATCATCGGACACTCCACCCCCACAACTCCCAATTGGTGATAGGGCAGTTGTGGAGAGAGTGGAGTTTCCCATACCTGTGCAGTGTGCTCATGACCGGCTCCGGTTTAACAGCAGAGGTCTCACTCCGAATCAGTCGAGCGGCATTATCTTTTCAGTGATTGCATAACGCTGTGTGGAAGCTACCTGGTCTGTCGCTGTGCACGAAGCTTCAGGTCTTCTCGGCCATAGTCATTCCCTCCCTTCTCTACACTTGCGAAATGTGGACCCCCCTAATGGAACATTTAGGCTGGCCTGCCTATGATCCATCCTGGGTTTAACCAGGCTGTATTGTGCGAGGAGCTCACAAATCTTTAAAAGATCTGGACAAAGTCTCATCGGTGAGCTCCTCCGGCAGGGAAGGCTGCGTTGGCTGGGTCATGTCGCCCGCATGCCCAGTCACCGCATGCCAAAACAGCTTTTGTTTGGCCGGATCGAGGGGGCTAAACTGGCGCAGTACGGGCTAGAGAGAAGAGATGGAGTGATGTGGTAGGAGGACGTGGAGCTGAGTGGACTTGCCGATGACTGGTACCAGCGGTGTCAAGATCGGGCTCTGTGGAGGAGGCTCGTGAAGGACGCTACTGGACAGTTGGAGGCAGTCGCCCTCCAACAACAACGGAGGGCGGAGGAGCGACGCTCACAACAATGAGCGGAGCGCCGGGTGGCTAAAGCACAGCAAGTTGGCACAGTAGGGGGCACAGGTGATGTATCAGTCAGTCGTCTCAGTCAGTCGACCCGTGGCACCTGGGTCTGCCCCGTGACCTGCCAGCGGGCGTTCGATACTTCACGTGGCCTCAAGGTGCACATAGCCTGGCACAAGCGTCGTGGTGACGTCACCGCCACTTAGTGGCGAATGGCGGTTGTTGTTGCTTTACAGCTCTCCTGTGTGTGCTTGGGGGTCTACCGCCTGTTGTTCAGCACGATGTTCAATGTTTTGCTCCACGTGCTGAGGACTTCTTCAGGAACTGCTATTGGATCTCAAGAAGCTCCCAGCACCTGGAGTAAAACGTCGGACATCGTACTGAACAACATGTGACAACTCAAAAAAAACACATTGTAGAGCTATTTTATGTTGTACATTCATCCCTAACACCCTCGGTGATCGAACAGATATTGACAAAAAGTTTCAATTGTATTAATAGAATTGTTCCATCTTCATTTTATATTTGTAAAATGTTCATAACTATACATACATTATATCAAACATGATTATGTTAATTTATACATGTGTATATGTATATCATATGGGTATATATACTGTATGTGTGGATATCCACATTTCTAGTGAAAACATACATGTTTGTGTTTATTAATATGTCCCTGACACCAGTTAAACACTATCCCCAAATTTGGATCGTAAGACAAATCATCAACAAATATTCCCTTTCAACCACTATTTCCTAAACTACTATAATCAGAAAAGGAAAGCATGAAACAATTACATTTATAATTTAATATTCACAATTAAATGAAAACATTCCGGAAATTAAAAAGTAAATACATTTTTAAGTGAAACTACTCAAGGTTACACCATGATAATGTGTAATGACAAGTGAAATAATATAATGGCTTTACAATTAGTAAAGGCATTGAGATTGAATTAAAAGCAATATATGAATACATTGCTTAATTACAAAGTTTGATTATTTACATAATAAAATAACAAAAAATCTATAAGAACTGTCCTTTAGTAAATGTAATCTGTCGATAAGTTTTTTGCCACCGTTTGAGCAGTATAGAAACTTTACACGTAGTTTGTGAAAGTAATTGTTTTACTCAGTTGTATGAAACGTTTGCATAGTTTTCAAGCACTATAAACTGCATACTTCAGTATACTAATGCAGTCCGTGTATTCACCTATGAGCCAGGCCTCAAATTCATTACAAGATTCCACAATTTATTGTGGCCATCATCGGGGGTCACGCGTTACAGTTTGTAACACACGAGGTGATTCTTGAAGAAGAGGGCTCGGATCGTGCGACTGCGAGCTTCCTTGGCGTGGCGGTATCTTTTGTACTGTCCCGTGTTTCCCTGCCTGGGGGCGTGGTCGATGGAGATGTCGCTGCACGTCCCCACTCTCAGCTGCCCCAGGCCATCGATAAAAAACTCTGTTCAGCGGCCAAGAGGAGACAACACAAGAGATCATTGACGATGAAACTGTGCAGCAGATTGTAGAGCCTCAGCGCTCCCAGGCACTTGTCCAATTACCAGGTAATTACCAGTTAACTAGCACACCTACTATGTAGTGAAAATGTGCACATGCTTTAATTATCAGTCTGAAATTCATTTTAAATTATGACGATTGGCTGTGCTCGATGCTGCGTGATGAATGAATCAGAGGATGAATTATTCAGTAAATTAGTCTTGTGTCTCCCATCAAACAAATGCAATCAAAATCTATTCCAGGCACTGGCAGAACCACGAGGGTCCGCAGCATCAGTGGCAACATTTAAAATAAGCCAATTTTATTTGGTGCCTCTTCAAATTAAGCGTAATAATGAAATAAATTAACAGGTAAATGAGTCTATAGCATCAAATATGTAAATGATATTTATGCATTGACTACATGGTCTTCGAGATTCGGGTATCTCTGGAGCTCTCATATGGAGGCATCCCTTCATGTTCCAAAGAAGTGACCTTGAACAAATAGCACTTGTGAATGTTAGTTCTTCACCAAAGTGTACTCTCCCAATTAGCACGGTTGACTTTGTATGGTGAGAAAAAAGTTAAACATACGAAGTCCCCGTACCAGTGTGACCGATCCGATTGAAGTGGGGGTCAAAGCCGACCCTGCGAATGTTCTCGGTGCGGGCCACAAAGAAGTTCGCCACCACGTCCACCAATGAGCATGTTGGGAAGCCGTCCAGTTTGCGGTAGGAGCCCAACGTCCGGTACAAGCAGTCTCCGTCCGAGCCTCCAGGCACCACCTTGAGCACGTGCCCAAAGGCGTTCTTGACTAACAGGCCACCCACCTTCCCGACAAAAAAAACAATTATTACCATAAAGGTCATGTGCATCTGACCCTGTGACCTTTCACATATCACTGTGAGTCGAAGCAGACGCACCACATCCAGCGAATTCTTCTCCAGCACCTCCACCATGCGCTCCAGATTTGTATTCTCCGAGAAGAGGAAGTCGTCATCCACCCACAGCAGGTACTTGGTGCTCACCTGAGAGATGGCGAGGTTCCTGCCGGCAAACCAGCCCTGCACATAGGACCACAGAGTGGAATCTTTAATCGATGATGTTTTACAGTTTGCTTATTGAACGTTAATTTTGCGCACACATTTTGTTTGTACGGTTCTCAGCTAACTTGGTTGTTAACAAGGAAAATGTGCAGCCCTGTAACTGATTGCCCACACCACTATCGGCAGAAGGGCCTCCAGGCGGAGCTCTAGGGAGTGCCTTTACACGCTGGACAGCCATCTTGGATGAGATGGTAGTACCCACATTGTACCCCACCACACATAACTTGCTGATCAACTGTGGTGTACCCATTTATACTACTGGGTAGACAGGGGCAGGTGGCTTTGAAATTTTTACCCAGTGTTCCAAATGCATGCCGGGAGATCGAACCGGTGACCTCTGGATTGTAAATCCAGTGTTCTAACCATGAGGAAGTTTGGAGTAGGGGTTGATTCTTACTTATTGAAAAATATGTATCGTAGTTCACAAATGAGGGTGACCGTATGTTTATAATTGGTGCCGACCTTCCCAAAAGGCATGATGAACTGCTCCACACCCGGCTCGTGAAGCATCTCAACATTCTCGGAGTCATCCGCCACAATGATGGTGATGTCTGGGTAGAATCTCCGGATGCTGGCGATGAGCCCCTTCAGCTTGTCGTAGCGCAAGAACGTCTTGGTCACCACCGTCACGAGGTTGCTGATATTACCATCTGCCAGGCCAGCAAAATATCTCTATGAATTCCAGCCCTGTTTATGTATTTGTAACGTTATATAGACAAACATGATAAAATCTGCTTAAATGCTGGTTGTAACAAGTACACTTAGTAATTCATGCTCAGTCATAATAATGTTCACAACATATCTCACCAGGACCAGGGTCGTAAAGCCAGGGCAAGCTCTGGTGCGCTACGACGATCGGTATCTCAGCTCTGTGTTTCCCGCTCTCCAGCTGCACTGTGGACAGAGAGACCAGGAAGAAGAGCAGCGATCCAGTCAGCAGAGCGCGCCGGCACGCGCGGTCCACGGTGCCGTGATTGGACGTTCAAGCAGGGCGTGTGTCGCTTCTCGCCGTACCCATCTCGGAGGTGCCCGGCTGGTACACCGTGTTGGTGTACGTGACTGTGCGCAGCTGCAGGTTGAGGTTCTCCAGGTGGGGGCTGCTCAGGGAGAGGCGCGACTCGCCCAGCCCTTCTGCCATCACCTCTCCCACCTCCGCCACCGTGTCCAGCACCCCCAGCTTCGCGGACAGCGTCACCTGGGTGGGGCAGACACCATTGTCGACAACTCTGGTGGTCACCTACCACTGATGCAGCTCCAATGTTTTAAGATAATGGAAACCCAGGAACTGTCAAGGAGGCCAGTTGTATCGTTGATCTGATGCTATTTATATTATCAGATAACTTACTGGATTGAATATTAGATTTCAGTACAGGAGACTTTGAATATCGCTGGAGTTACATTCTTGGAAAGTACCACAAAAGCCAAAACCGCGATATTCAATACTTTAAGGCTTACCTAAATAATGGGGTTATGTACACGGCAACTAACAAATGACACATCGCAATTGAAATAAGTACTACTGTATGCCAAATAAACTAAAAACTAAATTATTGAAATAAACATGTAAAAGGTCTATACAAAAAAAATAATCCTAGACAATAAATAGGAGTATAAATGCTGAATACTGTACTTACCGATGACGATGATCCAAAGTGGGGATGTGTGTGTTTGTGTAAACATCGCGGCTCGGGGACAAAGTCGGCCGGGCATGATGTCGGCCACCCACCTCCTCGTGTGCCGTGCCAACCTTTATAGGTGCTCTCTAACAGCACTTGCCCCAACAGTCTGTTACTGGCTATACGGTGGGGGGGGGGGGGGCACGGCCCTGCCCTGCACCAGTTTTAGCAGCCAATGATGATACAGTACTTCCGGGTACAGTATACCTGGAAAAGGCCACAACTAACCCCCGCAATAGCTAAATTAGTATACAGAGAGGTTGCCCGCGAGAGGTCGAAACTGCGAATTATAAACTCGCGAGATTCAAGGGTCTCCTGTACAATAAACAGGTTGCTGACCTGTGTGGGGTTTCTCCATGAACTCTGGATATCTACCATCTACAAAATAATCACTATTAAATGGACAAACATCAGATCATTATCATCTTAAGCGATTACCTATTCACTGGTGGGTGAAGTAAAATTTACTTTATGCTGACAAATCATAGATAGTGCAAGCAAAACCCTTGTGATAACAAGCCCTGAGCCTCAGTGGAAGTTTATTTGGTAAACATATGGCTCTTATAATATTAGAATCATACCATTATTTCATACTTAGATACACAATCTATATCATCTGTAGTAATTATTATTTGTAATGATGTTATATTATACATCATCTATTTACAAAATTACACGATTAAGTCCCATAGTATGATATCAAGACACGTACTGACCTTGTATATGTTTCTTTTATCTGCAAACAAACTTAACCCTATGGAAAGAAAGAATTGAAAAAAACAAGACAAAATCAATGTTTACTCATTGGCTGTAATTGCAGTGATGCTATTCAAATTGAAATGTAAACATTTGAGCGGAGGATTACACATCGACCAATACAGGGGCTGAGCCATCAGGTCAGTTGGAGAATTGGCACTGACCCAAGTTTTGGCTAAAAAAGTAGATTGGTTCAGATGAATGGATATGCCACTTAGGGAATTGAATTGATGGGACAAAAGATAATTATTTTATTAGATCATGACGATCCAAAAAGTATATAAAGACACAGCAAATCAATGTCCACCTATATTAATTATGTCTCATAAAGTTTTGTCCTGAAGAAGCAAGACTGTATCAGTGCAAAGCAGCCCACTTTGCTTTGTAGAATTTTTTATCGTGGCTTTGATTCAGAGACTATAAGTGTCACTTTGATGCCTTTTTACACAATGGCTGGGCGATGTTGACTTCGGGGATATGGCCATGGATGGTTCGTGAAGCTGATTAAGGGGCTTCCTCTGTCATCCGTTTGAGAGGAAGCAGAGGTTCCGGATTGTGGTATGTTCCACCTTGCAAGAGTGGAAAGTAGTGGATTGTTTGGGGTATAAGAGCAGGTGCACATTTCAAATCGACGCCCAGTCTGAAAATTGCCCACCTGCTCTATTCAGCTGGTAGACGTAAAGATTGGCCCTGTCGACCCAGTGGTGCTGACGAGGACCATTTATTACATTATCATTGTAGCGGGAGATCGATGTTTCGGCATGCAGAAGTGGCCTCTTGACAACATTTATTGTGTTGAAGAGCAGCACATTACGTGCAGGAACAGAAACACTTAACATGAGCACCGTGATAAGGTTTTCATCTTGCTCAAAATAGATATAGTGTTTTTAGGTCATGCTGACATATAATTAAATATATAATAAAGTATTAAATTACTTTGGAAATACAATTGGGCATGATGCAATATCCCAGAAATAAAGAATTGTCCTTGCAAAACCCCTCAATAGATTATTGAGACTAAGTCAGGCTCCATTAGATGAATAATACACTTTAGATATTTAAGGCAGCTTGGGGAAGTCTTAACCAAGGAGTATATTGAAGAGTCAGGGCAAGCTCTGGTGCGCAGACCATCCTCATACCGTGCCTCTCACCCGGTATGAGGATGGTCTGGAGTGGTGGCACCTGCAGCCCCTGAGTCGGGTAGGAGAGCGGCGAGTTGGGCTCTGCCACCAGCACCTTCTTCAGAACAGTGTCCTGCCTGTGGGGCAAACCGTTTTTATCTTTTAACATTATTTCGCGTTTTATTATACACTTGCATCCATACCAATAAACAAAATTGTACCACGTCTCCACGATACATACCGCTCAATCGTGTCCCCGCATGATATTGGTACTGAAGCATGAACTATTTGTTTTTTAACAGTTGCCAAGCACAGGCCCAATGGCCGAACATGTCAAGTGGGTAGCATGCCCACCAACAAACACAGTAATGTATCCAAGGACAGTGATGTATTTATTAAATCCTACCTGTCGCACCCACAACTTGTCGTTAAGATGATGTCAATGAAGATGAGTGACATTGCTCTAATGATTTGGAATTAATGAAGTTCTGGAATGAATGTTGGGAAGAAGGAAAAGAGGTAGAAATATAAACATTCTTCATGAGGACTCGACGGTAAATTATCTGTATTTTGAATGGAAGAAAGCTCAAATCAGACAGGGTGGAAGGGGTTTGAGCCAAATACATACTATTGTTGACCCTTCCACCCATGGTGAGGACTACTAGGTCTTTCCATACTGATCATTTCGTTGAATCCACCCTGTGGTCAGCCACCACACCACACTGCTATTTCTGCTTCTCTTCTGGCAATGTTCTACAGTACTTTGGAATTCCCTCCTATCATCTCTTTTCTCAAGCCCTTATATAACCTTGCTCAATTCAACAAAAGTGTTCATTCTTAATAAAAACAACTTTAAAAGTTATGTTTGTTACTGGACACTTGGCATTTGTGCGCAGTAACTGTGTAAAACAATGGTAAAAGACTAAAGAAGAAGATTTGGAGGGTGTCACATCGCAGTGTACCTGTGTATGAATTCTTGCATTTCCTTCTGTCTTCTCTGGCGCGTGCCCTCCACTTCGGAGGGCGAGAACCATTTCTCGAGCTTCAAGGCCTTCCGGCCCTTACAGGAGCACGAACCAGAGGGCAGCAACCTGCACACCACCACCACTATACCATTACTCTATGACCCATTTCCACTTGTGTGTTTCTCAATCCACACGTAAGATACACGTGTAGTGGCCCATGGTGCGATTTTACTGGAGCAACACACTCCTCTGTTGATTTTCCAGCTGCATGTGACATGCAGGTGGTTTGTCGATTAACATTTGGAATGAGAAAATATGAATGCATCATCAATTCTGTCGCACTGTCACCAGACCAAATCAGGGCATATATTCTATCTATCTTGTGGAGGAAGCTCTGATGATGCTCCAGTACAACGGTTAAAGTTTAACCACCTACACATGTTAAGTGATACTATAAACCTTCAGGTGGAGTTTATCACCAATAAATAGGAGCAATGAATCTCCCTCACATCAACATTAGGTGTTTCACATGCACACGTTTTATGTATACATGATTTACCAGGTAAGCGAAAAGGCCATATCGACATTATGTGCTGACTTTAATTTTCTCATGGGATCAGCTCGACATCTTAGCCACAAGGCACTGTTACCTTCCACCCGCAGCACTGCCCCACCAAATATTTGAGCCATCAAGCGTTTCCAATAATTCAGAAGGACGCCCAGGACAGCCGCCCCTGCTCGCACCATCCTTGCTACGGCATTTTCGTATGGCTGATGTAGATGCACAGTAGCCACCACAATTTCACATTCAGGTGGTCAAGTCAGATAACCGCATCAGGAGTAGCGGAGTGTAATCGCTGTAATGTTTCTTTCGTATTTGTGGATCGGACATTGCTGTATGTTGTTTAGTCCTGTTCTGGATGACAATTATACCCCCCCCCCCCCCTGGAGAGTTCTTAATTTCTCATTTGTGCATCAGGTATCTGCCATGGTTTGTGCGAACACGGTTTAAGGTGAACCATGAGCTTCGCAGAAGGTCAAACCCAGGGATCTTCTGCGTTGGGTCTTTCACAAGGTGTTCGTTTGCGAGTTCATTTGAACTCCATTCAACTACGGCACTGACACTCACCGCTGTACGCTGGGCTTGAGGCGGTAGTGGACTTGCATGTCGTTAGGTAACAGCTGAGTGTGGTCCGAGAGGTTCATCGGGAATGACTGCTCGTACCACCGCTGCCCGGTAAATTTCAGGGACTTCACGCTCGGCAACGTAGCAAGGTGCACGTACTTGTACACAATCGGCACGGATATAGTGAAGATGATGACAGACATCAGTGTCGCAATAGCGAGCATGCTCAACAGCGTGAGTTTCTTCATGCTACACGTGAAGGAGGGGTTAAACAAGAATTGAGATCACATAACATGATGTGCCAAAGCATTAATTTGCATTATTCCGAAACACAAATTTAAAACATTGAATTATTTTATACTTCATGAGGCCTCCTTTCCAGTACCAAAATATAAGAATAGGTTTTTCCCCTTTTTTTCTGGCAACAAAACTGAAACCTTTTTACAAGGAATCATGGCTGTATTAACCACAATACATCATGATGTAGATGCTTACCCCGAGCTCTCATTACTCTGATAGTGCTTGTCTTTGAGCTGTACGCATTTTGGCGTTCTCTAGTCGAACACCGTTTAAGACTAGGCTCAAAAGAAAGCTATCTCGGGTGTAGACTAATCAGTTTCAAGGGCAATGCATATATTATCAGAGTATGTTTTTTGTTTGCATTCTGACCACAAGTATTGTGGTTAATGCAGACATGATTCCTTGTTAAAAGGTTTCACTTTTGTTGCCAGAAAAAAAGGGGGAAACCCTATTGTTATATTTTGTACTTGTCTCTTTCTTTTCGGGTCTTGCCAATGACAAATGTGTTGAGTTGCTTGTTAATTGTGCTTGTGCACAAATGTCAACACAGTATTATCACCAAAAAAACCCATTATGATTTAGAAATAGGTGCGAGCCCATTAAGACAGGTGTCTTGGGTAAAAGTTTGTACAAGTGCAAATAACTTGTGCGTTAGATAATATATGTATGTTGAACTTATTTTGCACCGTACATAGCCAACCATGCTCATCAGAGGTATATAATGTATACAATACGGTACTGGGCTTTTAGGGGAAAAATGTTTTATTTTCTCGGTGTAAATAAGATTGCCTTTCTATAAAATACCAAGATCCCCCGTTAAGCCTTAACAGACTGTTGGGGCGAGTGCTGTTAGCGAGCAGCTATGAAGGCCGAAACAGCGCAACGAGGGGGTGGGTGGCCAATACCACGCCCGGCCGCCTTTGTCTCCCGAGTGGCGATATTTACTACACAACGCACCAGGTACTCATTTGAAATAATTGTCACTTATGTTGGCTGTGAACGGGAATCGAAATCGGGTGGCCAGGTTGGTGGTTGGCAGTGCAACGCGCCCAGACACACACAGCAAGCTGAGAGCACGGCCTCTTTATAACGGAGCTGAAACACGGCTCATTTCATCAACCTCCAGCTTGTATTTGCATTGACGCTCAAAGGAATGAGAGAAGCGGTGTTGTTCTATCGTCACGAATAATGACCGATTAACAATCGTGAAATTAAACGCGCCCGACAAGGCGTCTGGCGTAGAGATGGAACCATGACATCTGCTCGTGTGAAAGGTGCGAGGGGGAATTTTTATACATTGCAGGGTCGCAAAGAGGTGGCGGCGGCTTAGGGAGGCCTTCATGCAGCAGTGGATTGACCATGGCTGATGATGATGACGATGACAGGCCTACTCCAAGTGACGTGAAAGAGACAACGTATCTGCCAGCTCTGACGAGCAATTAAGGTACGTTAATCTCTTGGCACTGAACAAGTAATATAAATTCATCATTCCCATGGCGTGAGCCAGTCCATTCACGGTTTACTTTTCAAAGGATGACAATTTCTACAGATCCAGTTATATGGGTAGATTGACATTTAAACAGCAGTCTTAGTGATGTTGATACAATTTTTCAGATGCGTTCGTACACCCACACATAGCTTACGTTTTAATATTTACATTTTAATGGTAAATGTTAAATTACCTTTAATAAACTGCCTTAAAATGTAATGTTAAGCTGTGCACAACTACCTTGACGGTGATGTCCAAGAGATGAAAAAAGTACGATCACTTGGAATGTCCACGTTCAATGTGACACATCACAGATGGAATTGTTATTTTATGGGTGTGGGGGCAGGTGAAACGGGTGTATTTGCATTGTGGATGAAACCCCCTTCATGATATGTCCTGGTTGTGGCACAGACAACACTTTCTTGCATTTTATTTCCGTGATTACTCAGTTGAAGAAAGCAAATTTGGCTTCATACTCAAAAGGGCATTAGGGGTGGCACTTAACGTCACTTGTGGTCGACTTATCTTTCTGTAGTCAATGTGACATCTCAAATTTGTGTTTTTTCTTTGATCCGTTAATTCCTCTTTCTGTCTTTTAGTGTAATTCTACTTGTAAACGTATCTGATATATATATCCCAGCCTGTTTACCTCATAGTGGAATGATGACCTTAAGTCTGTGCTATGTTTTGTCCAAATTAATTTTACTACGAATTCTCTAAAGGAGTTTTAAAACTGTATTAGGTATGATAGTCAAAACCCAAATAAAGTTCCGAACGGGATTTCAATCAAGGCCACATAAATACATAAGTTCTAAAGTTAGTTTGACCAAACCAACTTATGTTAAGAAACATTTTCTTTAATTTTATATTAACATATGTGCAGTATTATACGTTATTCTGTACCATGGTTGATCTTCTCCAATTTTGTATTATTTTCATTCCTGTATATTGATCCCTTTTCGTTACTTTGTTGCCCAGGTCACTCTTACAATGGAGACTATCCTGCTCTCCTGAGTTCTCGCATGGTTAAAAATAAAAATTCCCAACATGCGCCTATCCATGCTTCTTTGCACGCCTTTCAGTTTTTGCTCCAACTTTTAGTCAGTGTCCATGCTTTTCATTCAAATGTAATAGCAGGTAAATTATACTGATATAATTGTTCTTTTTTTAGAGACAATTGTATTGTTTTTAATTACAAAGTTCATTGTTTTAAAAGTACTCTAACCTGCACTTACCTATTTGATCTTTGAGCTTGGTCCACATTCTGTAATTTCCCGATGTATAAATACTATATTTTGACAGTCATGTTCCTTTAACAAATATACAGTATTCAATTGTTGAGCCAACTTATTGTACGTAACTTTAGTAACCAATAGAAATATGTAAAATGATTATAGAATTGCTTGATAAAGAAGGCTGTAAAGTTACGCTCAAGAGAAATATGATCAACCACCAGTCCTTCAAAGTGGAGCTTATTGTATCATCCCTACTGACGAAGGGCCGAATTGACCCATGATCAGGAAGTGAACTTGATATAATGCAACCCCTCTCACTGCTGGCACCACCCCACCGGATTCTGGTTGCATAGGTGTAATAAGAGCTTTTACAGAGGCGTGGGCTTTTGTGGTACGTGCACCAACAGAACAACGATAAGGCAGTGTTTATTGCGGACAGGTGGCACGACGTCCTTCCAACACCAGTTAATCTTCACCAATGGTATAGTGAAGACCCGGACTGTGCCCTCTGTTCCATGCCAGCCAACCTCAGGCACATTCTCACAGGGTGTAAAACAAGCCTCACCCAAGGACGATACACTTGGCGTCACAACCAAGTCCTTAAAAACCTTGCGTCCGCCCTGGAGGACAAGCGAGCTGCCACCAACTCCCTACCACCCCCAGCAGCATCACACCCCTTACGGACGACCTTTGTCCACGAAGGGGCTAAACCACCGAAGAGCGGATCTACACCATTAGAGCGAGACCAGCTGCGCTTGGCCCGCGACTGGAAAATGCTAGCTGACATTGGCCGGCAACTTGTGTTTCCTCCGGAGATGGCAACCACCACCCTAAGACCTAACATGGTGCTCTGGTCCCGTTCGCTCAAGAAGGTCTTCATCATTGAGCTCACAGTACCCTGGGAGGACTCAGTAGATGAGGCTTATGAGCGAAAACATCTGCGCTATGCCGATCTAGCTGCCGAAGCACGGCATCATGGCTGGAAAACACAGAAGTCCGACCAGTGGAGGTGGGCTGCAGAGGTTTTGTGGCAACATCTACAACCAGACTACTTAGAGACCTGGGAATTAAGGGCCAGAGCCAGCGTTCGGCAATCAGAGCTGTATCGGAGGCGGCAGAAGGCAGCAGTCAGTGGCTCTGGATGAAGAGGAAAGACCCCAGCTGGGCCCCAAAGTGAGAGGGCCAGGAGGTATGCAGTCAACAATGCTTGACTCAGGGAGGAGGACGCCCCTGCCATGCATAGTCCCATGGGATGTTGGCTATCAACAACAAGGCAACTCCTATTACTAATTGGGAATGGGACGCAAGCGTAGGATTGATCACCCTGTCGCTGACCGCCTTTGGGGAGGGTGTATAGTATGAAAGGCCGAAACACCCTAGGAACCAAAGGTTCACTACTGACGATGCGCTCCCCAAATTTCACCAGGCTCACTGTTCATGAACTCTTGGAAGTGCTTGCACACTGGATAGTAACATCTCATCTTGTGTTCTTGGAATCTGACCAAACCAACTTATGTTAAGGAACATTTTCTTAAATTTTATATTAACATATGTGCAGTATTTTACGTTATTCTGTACCATGGTTGATCTTCTCCAATTTTGTATTATTTTCATTCCTGTATATTGATCCCTTTTCGTTACTTTGTTGCCCAGGTCACTCTTACAATGGAGACTATCCTACTCTCCTGAGTTCTCGCATGGTTAAAAATAAAAATTCCCAACATGCGCCAATCCATGCTTCTTTGCACGCCTTTCAGTTTTTGCTCCAACTTTTGGTCAGTGTCCGTGCTTTTCATTCAAATGTAATAGCAGGTGATATATACTGATATAATTGTTCTTTTTTTAGTGACAATGGTATTGTTTTTTATTACAAAGTTCATTGTTTTAAAAGTACTCTAACCTGCACTTACCTATTTGATCTTTGAGCTTGGTCCACATTCTGTAATTTCCCGATGTATAAATACTATATTTTGACAGTCATGTGCCTTTAACAAATATACAGTATTCAATTGTTGAGCCAACTTATTGTACGTGACTTTAGTAACCAATAGAAATATGTAAAATGATTAAAGAATTGCTTGATAAAGAAGGCTGTAAAGTTGCGCTCAAGAGAAATATGATCAACCACCAGTTCTTCAAAGTGGAGCTTATTGTATCATCCCTACTGACGAAGGGCCGAATTGACCCATGATCAGGAAGTGAACTTGATATCATGCAACCCCTCTCACTGCTGGCACCACCCCACCGGATTCTGGTTGCATAGGTGTAATAAGAGCTTTTACAGAGGCGTGGGCTTTTGTGGTACGTGCACCAACAGAACAACGATAAGGCAGTGTTTATTGCGGACAGGTGGCACGACAGCCCTTGGTGGTTCGCGTGACACTCACATTTTTTCTTAAAGATTTAAATGAATAAACGGCACTCAACAAACCCATAGCCCTGAATTGTCTAAATTCTTAGGCAAAATTTATTCCACGTTCATTTAACATTTACTGTGTCGTACCCGCTCCCACCCCCGTTCTGAGCGTTAGTTGATGGACACGCCACATGCAGTGGCTTAAAGTGTGCATACGCTCACTTCTTCCTACAAATTTGGTCTAAGAGGAATAGGAGACAAAATATCCTCGAGAGTTTGCTGTCGTGGAGGTGCTTCTGCCAGCATTGGTGTGAAAAGGCAATTGCAAGACTGTACCATGAATAGCCGTTACCAAAACACGTTCCTTCGGAGTGGGCAGGTAGGAACTTGGTTGGACAGCGCATTCGTGCACGACAGACAGACACATAATCCCTGGTGGGCAGTATGGAACCTATTGTTCCTACTTGTATAAAGTTATCTTAATTCCTGCATGCATTATTACATCTTTAATGAGAAATAGCTATGCAAACGGAATGGAACTTGTGCCAGTGAAACGTCACTGCAGTGGTGCGCTTCTACAAAAACCTGAGAATCTCAATTACTGCCCATTCCATTCTGGCCATCATCTCTAAGCCAATGCGTGCGTGCAATTCTGCAGTGTACGTGTTCACGTCTGTGCTGTGAAGCTCTTAGATGTGTGTTCTGTTTCTACCATCTATCGTTTGGCATGCCCGACGTTTCGCTCCATGTGCTGGAACCTTCAATGCTCCTGAAGAAGCCTCCAGCACGTGGAGCGAAACGTCGGACATCATGCCAAATAACAACATAGTAAAACCAGTGAACACATAGCAGAGTTAATGTACGTTGGTACATTGCTCACGGTTATCCAACATACTGACTTAATGGACAATATTCAATAACGAATTTATTCAACCAATCTTGAAACAAATGCGGTTATTAGAATTGGCAATTGTTGTATGCCTGCAATATGTCCATAACTATAGAATATAAAAAGCAAGATAATATAAATTATACTGTATATGTGTGTATATTCGTGTATATGGGTGTGTGTATATCCATTGTGTATGTGCACATATACAGTATACTGAATACAAGTATCAGGGACACGATGCACTCTCCACTAATTAAAAATAAACCGACCTGAGGGCCAAAAGAGGAGTTACCAACTATAATCATGCATTATAAACATTACACAATTGAACATTCTCCATTAAACTAATAAATACATGAAAGAATACATTAACATGATAAGTAAAACAACTCAATATTACATAATTGGATGCTGTAATAAGGAATATCAAGATTTTTGTTTACAATTGAGAGCAGCATTGAAATTTAATCAAGGGCAATATTAACTACTTAATTAGAAAGTTGAATTATTTATATTACAAAATCATCAATAACAAATATTTGTTTACTCTTGTAATTTTGCTAATGTAAACTGTTGGTAAGTTGTGTGGCACCTTTCAAGTCTTTAAGAAATGTAGTGTTCCGTGTGCATCATGGATATCCATTTTATGAAGGTTTAACAAAGATATTAGATAGTGTTGTTGCACTTTGCATTGCATAGCTTAGTATTCATATGTAGTAAACGTATTAACTTATGAGCCAGGCCTCCAGTCCCATTGCAGGTTCCACCATTCCTTGTGGCCATCATTAGAAGGCACTACATTAAGTAGCACTTAAGGTGATTCTTGAAGAACAGAGCACGGATCGTGCGGCCGTGAGCTTCCTTGGCGTGGCGAAAGTGGTTGTACTTGGCTGCGTTTCCCGTCTTGGGCGCGTGGTCGATGGAGATGTCGCTGCACGTCCCCACTCTGAGCTTTCCCAGACCATCGATAAAAAATTCTGTTCAGCAAACCCAGGGAAGACAACACGCAAGTGTTTCGGTGATAAGAGTGGTGACATGGCCCAGCGATAGTGTCGAAGGGGACCACGGTTGGAGTTGAGCGCTCACCTTATGTACGTATACATGTTGAACTTCTTTTGCACCGTACATAGCCAACCGTGCTAATCAGAGGTGCGTGGGTAGGACGACGAGCTAACCACAAAAGCAGTTCTAAAAAAAGTACTGTGGGTGTATCAACCATAAAATATGCACCGTCTGCTTCACATTGGATGGTACAGGTCCACTGAAGTCATTAGAATTGAGTTGAGTAGGCTAATATTCAGTATGCCAATATTTGCTGGCGTTATGTTCCAAATGTTTTCAAAGTAGGAAAATTACCTGCAAAATACTGAGTACAATTACACTAACACAATAATCGCCCCCTACTTGCAGACCGTGTGCAGTCCAGGTGCTAGGTCCGCTTGTGCCCACAGTGACTGATGTAAGTATCTTTTCACGTGTAGAGCACTCTTGAGATGCGTCGGCGTTAAAGCCGCTATATCGAACACAAACAATTATATTATTATGGTCTATGCCAGCGGTCCCCAAACTTTTTGGCACCAGGGACCGGTTTCGTGGAAGACAAACGTCTCCAGCGACGTTTGTTTTTTAGTCATTTTGGCTAGGGTTAGCTTGTGGGATTTTCAAAACTGTGACTGAGACGTGTGCAGTGCGGGAAAGAGACGCGGACGGAAGTGGTGAATAAAATAATGGGCGGGCCACGCGCGGACTCACCGCTCACCTCCTGCTGCTGTGCGGCCCGGTTCCTAACAGGCCACGGACCGGCACTGGTCCGCGGCCCGGGGGTTCGGGACTCCTGGTCTATGCAATCGGTTATAGTGCTCAGATGCTCCCAGTCACATGTCCACTTCCTGGTAAATTACTGGTTAACAAGCAAACCGATTCATAATAGAGGTTTTTGGGTTAAATGTCTTTAAAACCCGCCACCACCCAACACAGCCAACTAGTAAAGGTTGTTACCTAAGCAGAACATGCCAATTCGTCACTAGTACAGCACACCGGTGTGTTGGAGAGCCAAGCCACAACATTTACAGTACGACGTTTCGCCAGTAATTACAACGAGCTTCATCAGGCGACAGCCAGATTTGTGGAGAAGTTTTACTGTTTTGTTCCTATTTATAGAGGCGTAGATGTGTTGACAACGCTTCTACGCTCTTGCACAATGTGGGGGGGGAGATTACTGAGGCAACGTACATTATGCATGTGAAGTATGGGAATTGACGGCAGGAACTTCTTGACGGGTAACACACATTTATTAAATCTTTACGTATCACAATACAACGTGTGGTCTTCCTTCTTCCGACGACACACTCCACTAATCTCGTGTAAACTCTAGGCCTCTGGCTACACCCGATATACTCGACTCGTGTAGACCCTATGCCTCTGGCTACACACAATATACTCGACTCGTGTAAGCCCTATGCCTCTGGCTACACAATACACTCGACTCGTGCAGACCCTATGCCCTGGCTACACACACTGCATTCGGCTCGTGTAGACCTATGGCTACCCACACTACACTCGCCTCTGGGTTACACAGAGTCCCGGTCCCTTTAGGACAGCGGGGCTAGGTACCGCAGGGCTCTAGGTCTTCATCCCCGTCTTCATTCTTCGCTGGTTACACACTGCCCTTACGCCTGTGTGCATCCCCTTTTATAGCCCCTGCTCACCAGAGACGGAGCTGATGCGGACGTCGACGTGAGCGTCGTTCCTTAATGAGCCAATCACGACGCACTCTCTCTACGATCCGCTTTCCCCAGCGCGTGTTAACATTACTCCCCCAATCACACTGCGCTGCCCTCTGATCACTCCCTCTCAGCGCGTCACCGGCCCCCAGCCAATCGGTACCCCGTAACCCACGACCCCGCGCTGACCCCTGATCCTCCACCGTCAGCGCGCGTCACCACCTACACAGCCAATCATCACGCACTGGCATACGATCCCTAATCCCAGCGCGTATCACCTCTACACATGTGCATTATGCAAGCCCTTTGAACTTGTCCTTCCTGTCTATTGTGTTTATTAATTATAGCCCACCAACGGTAATCCCTATTGAAGTACGCTGCCCTTTGTAGGCATGCATTTAAATAATGTATTATTTGATGATTAGCTTCTAGATAAGGCACGAAACAGTAAGACTTCTCCACAAATCTGGCTGTCGCCTGATGGAGCTCGTTGTAATTACTGGCGAAACGTCGTACTCAGATTGTAAATGTTGTGGCTTGGTTCTCCAACACACCGGTGTGCTGTACTAGTGACGAATTGGCATGTTCTGCTTAGATAACAACCCATACTAGTTGGCTGTGTTGGGTGGTGGTGGGTTTTAACGACACATATATTTACGTGATTTAACCCAAAAACCTCTATTATGGATTATATTGGTCGCAAAAGCCTACGTGTTAAACAAAGCAAACCGATTGCTTTATTTTATGTTACCCACTGATTTCAGCAGTGCTTGATGAATGAGGCAATGAAACACATTCTTGCGGGGGGAGCTGGTAGGAACGTTGGGTTGCTCGGTCAATGGCCAGGGTCAACGGTGGCGTGGTGTATTCCACAAATATGGACGACTGTGATGGCGGGCACAAGCCGGCGTGAGTAGGTTAAACGTTGAGTTTTATAAGGGCACCACGGGGTGACCAGCCCCTCCCCACCCAGCCCCTCCCCACCCTCCCCACCCAGCTCCTCCCCACCCTCCCCACCCAGCCCCTCCCCACCCTACCCTCTCCACCCAGCCCCACCCCTCCCATTTTTGGATGCACGACGGACGGACAGACGGACACAATAATCCCCTGTGGGCTGGTGTAACCAGAAGGTTCCTACCAGTATTAATTCACCCGTAAATTAGCCTTGTGTTGTTCCCTGTCCCCCCTCCTTCCTGCTTCTTACTCAGGGTGGGTCTTGATGTAGCTATTAACTCACTCATTGCCTCGCCATAGAGAAATACAGATTCCAGCAGAACACTCGGTCACAAAGCTTGAGGTGTAGTGTTTAAAATAATATAAAATTTTAGTTCGGTGATAGGTAAACAGACACACGAGTTTGTATAATCAATTATGGACAATACCATTCCATACATTGACTTAATGGGATTCCAGATCAGCATATCTCGGTGGATTTCACGTGGATGAAACGTCGATATTCCAAAGCAGAAAACGTGAACGGTGAGCATTCGTGAGCGCCAGTTGCTCACCACTTTCCACGTACCCGTGTGACCGATGCGACTGAACTGGGGGTCGAAGCTGACTCTCCGCATGTTCTCGGTGCGGGCCAGGAAGAAGTTCACCACCACGTCCACCAGCGTACAGGCCGGGAAGCCGTCCAGTTTGTGGTAAGAGCCCGAATGGCGGTACAAGCAGTCTCCGTCCGAGCCTCCAGGTACCACCGTGAGCTTGTGCTGAAAGGCGTTCTTGCCCACAACGCCACCCACCTTCCAGACAGAAAAAAAACCCACGATTATTAACACAAAGAGCATGTGCATTTTACGTTGCAACCCTTCACACATCATTGGGAGTCGAAGCGGACGCACCACATCTAAGGAAGTCCTCTCCAACACCTCCACCATGCGCTCCAGCTTCGTATTCTCCGAGAAGAGGAAGTCGTCATCCACCCACAGCAGGTACTTGGTCATCACCTGGGAGATGGCGAGGTTCCTGCCAGCAAACCAGCCCTGCACATAGGACCGCAGAGTGGAAGCTTTAAGAGACGATAATTTGCTTATTGAAAGACAATTTTGCATGTGCATTTTGGTCGTATGATTCTACGCTAACAAAAGATGCGGCTCTGCAATTTCCTGCTCACGCCACTGCTGGCAGAAGGGCCTCTACTAGAGGCAGCTCTACAAAGACCCCGTATGAGGGTCTTTATAGTCAGCCAACTTGGAAAACGTGGGAGTACCCACCCGTTACCCCACCGCACGTGACCTGCTGATCGACTGTGGTGTACCCATTTATACTGCTGGGTAGACCGAGGTGGAGGTATAAAATTATATTTTTTAAGTCCAGTTTTCAACTACTAAGCCAGGAGATGGTGCCGGGGGCCTCTGGTTTGCAAGTCCAGTTTTTGTTACAATAACACCACATCAGCATCCATACCTTGGTTGAGTTGTGTATGCCACACATCAGGAACTTTGGAGTAGGGGTTGATTCTTATGAACTGTAAACATATATTTATGTTCCAGTTTACAAATGAGAGCGACCGCGTATTTATTATTATAATTGTTTGCTTACCTTCCCATAAGGCATGATATACTGCTCCACGCCTGGCTCATGGAGCACCTCGACGTGCTCGGAGTCATCCGCCACAATGATGGTGATGTCTGGGTAGAATCTCCGGATGCTGGCGATGAGCCCCTTCAGCTTATCATAGCGCAAGAACGTCTTAGTCACCACCGTCACCAGGTTGCTGATTTTACCATCTGCCAGGCCAGAAAAATAGTTCCGTGAATCCCAGCCCTGATTACGTATTTGTAACGTTATATACACGAGCATGATAACACGTGCTTTAATGCTGGTTGTAACAAGGATACTGAGTAATTCATGCTCAATCATAGTAATGTTTCCTTCACAACAAATCTCACCAGGACCCGGGTCGTAGAGCCAGGGCAAGCTCTGGTGCGCGACGATGATCGGTATCTCAGCTCTGTGTTTCTCGCTCTCCAGCTGCACTGTGGACAGAGAGACCGGGAAGGAGAGCAGCGATCCAGTCAGCGGAGCGCGCCGGCACGCGCGGTCCACAGTGCCGTGGTTGGACGTTCACGCAGGGCGTGTGTCGCTTCTCGCCGTACCCATCTCGGAGGTGCCCGGCTGGTACACCGTGTTGGTGTACGTGACTGTGCGCAGCTGCAGGTTGAGGTTCTCCAGGTGGGGGCTGCTCAGGGAGAGGCGCGACTCGCCCAGCCCTTCTGCCGTCACCCCTCCCACCTCCGCCACCGTGTCCAGCACCCCCAGCTTCGCGGACAGCGTCACCTGGGTGGGGCAGACACCATTAAAAACTAAAATTAAACTATTTTGATTTTACCAGGTAAAGCCCACTGAGCTATGTAGCTTTTTTTTCCGCAGCGACTTGACCACAAATGATAGCTTAATTAAGTGGCTTATCACGTGGAAATGTATAGCAGCCAAATACTCTAACGCATGTTTCTCAATGTGGAGGGAATTACCGGAGGACTCGGAGAAAATCCACGTGACCACAGGGAGAACATTCAAAATCCAAATATACAGGTGTCAGAGTCTGGATCGAACCCAGGACCTCCTGTATACCAGGCGAGGTAGTTAACATATCGCCATCGGGGCGCCCAGCATTGTGTTGACAACCTTGGTGGTCACCTAGCACAGATGCAGCTCCCTTTGCACATTTTTTTAAACAATGGAAAAGCAAGACCTATCAATGTGGCCAGGTGGATCGTTGAGCTGATGCCATTTCTTTTATCAGCATACTTAATAATTTACTTACTGTACTGGATATTAAATGTCAGTAAAATAAACATGTTGCTGACCTAAGTGTGTTTATATCCATGCACTCTGGATATCTACCACATGCAAAATATTAACTCAGAATTTGACAAACATCAGCTCGTCATCATCTTGAGCAATTAACTATTCACTGCTGGATAGAGTCTACAAAATGAAATTGACCTGATGTTCACAGAAAAACCACCACAGATTGTCAGAGATGTCTTTGTACAAGCATAACCATCGTGAAAACAAGACCTGAGATTCAGTGAAACTTTATTTGGTAAAAACATAATTTTAATAGTAATTACACCATCAATTAATGCAGTAACACAACATGGATAGTTTGTAATGGTTATTATTTATACAAATTAAAAATTACATATCAGCTATTTACAAAACAATACTATTGAGCCCCAAAGTATGATATTGATGCATGTGTAGTGACAGGGTGCCATCTGTTGACCATGAAGGATAACTACGGGTATGGGTGCGCTATATAACAGCCAACCATAAGGGGGACGTAACTGGGCCAAGGGTCTAGAAGGGGGCGTGGCCAGAGGCGGGGCTTGGCCACGCCGAGGAGAATATAAGAGGGAGGTAACAGGAGGTTCGGGGCTGTCGTGGGGGTTTGGGTTCTGGCTGCCGTCGCTGTCTTCACCATCATTTCTTCATCGTCGTCCGGCCGTATAGCCGATCCGCTGTACGGTCCCCATCGTCGTCGTTGCTGTATTAGTCAGCCAGCTATGCACTGTAGTTAGACGTCGGCGATGTGGCTGTATGAGTGGGTTAGCTATACGTAGTCCAGTGTATATGTTACTCAATGACTCAACAAGGAGCTCTCTACAAGTCGTGTCTCGGAAGTCGCTCATTACACATGTACTGACCTTGTATATTTCTCTTTCATTTGCATACAAACTTAACCCTATGGAAAAGAAGATAAAAGACAATTAATCAAGTAAATGTCATAAATCATTCATCGTGCTTGTAATTGTACAATTCAAAGTGAAATTTTCACATTTCAGTGTGGAATTATAGATTGACGATAGTTATGGATGAACCATCACTTCAGTTTGAAGAATTGCCATTAACCCAACTTTTTTGCGAAAAAGGCAGATACGTTTAATAGATAAATCGAAATGTCATTAAATAATGGGGCAACAGTATTGTTCATTTATCAGATGACCTATACGAATGTTATATAAATGGATAGGATATCAATTAACATCCAAATTAATTATGCCTTTCAAAAAAGTTATGATAAACCTCCGTGTTGCTGCTCCACATTTTTGGAATATATTTGCTACTCATCCACAACTTGGTTCTCTCTTTCACTCCCCCATGGATCCGGTACATTGCAGCTTTCTTTTAGTTCCTGGCATGAGTCTCTTGGAAAGCGACAATATCTATGATAGTGTGATGAAATTTAAAATATAAGGTGAATTATAAAATAAATTTCTTGTTGCAGGGAAGAAAATATAATTGGAATATAAGACCTGTTTACAAATTATTTTACCTGAAGATAACCCCAAAAAGGGAAATTGCAAATCATAAAAATGTGCTCGTCAAAAGTCAACATAGGGTGATGTAATTGCCAACAAGAGGTGATGATTTACCTCAACCACATTAAGAGAGGGTGGGGTAGAATGCGTTTTGATGTATACTGTATATAAATATGAAATGACGACTTGACACACTTCTCTTGAGATGGCACTTTATTGAAGACACGTTAAGTTAACATCAGGCAGAGATCCCACAGCAACAGCCCCGAGTCTCCCACGCATCTCCCTTATATACCAACCGAGGCCACGCCCCCCTTTCAGAACCTTTTCGCTGACTCTGGACGCTCGCTCTACTGGCAGACTCTACCGTCCTCTTCCGTCACCTGACCACGCTCCCTTCTCGATCATACCTGTAGCCACCAGTCCCTTTGTACTCACAACTAACTCCCCTGTCATTACCTCTCGTGGCCACTAGTCCACTCACACCGCATGTAGACTCTACTGTCATTACATCTATATGAGATGGAGCTTTGCAGAGGAAAAATATCCAAGGCATCTCGGTTGTCAGTCCCTAGTTAAATGTGCAACTGTCTAAAACAGATAAGGTGATGGTTTAAAAGAAAGACCTTGTCACTATCAGGAAAAATATACTCTCTGATTGTGTAACATTTGGGGGAAAAACATACATGTAACAGTGGGAGTACTATAACATTGGGAACACCTCCTCAAGAGGGTAATTTCACCTCCTCTTCTATGCTAGCGAAGGCAACTTGGTAGAGCTGGGTCTACCCACACTTTACTCTATTAAAATGTGGCCGGCTGATCAACTGTGGTGTACAGTGCTCACTTAAACTGCACTCTTGTGCCCAGGGTGAGATTTAGTGTGTAAAAGTACTTATGCGTAAAAGGTTTTATTCAGGTACTCCGATTTCCTCCCACACGAAGCAAAACTATTATTTAAGAGGAATTTGGCAAAAATCCCAAACAGGGCCCTCCCGAAAGAGTCTTGAGACTCAATGAGGCTCTCTTGGATGAATGATATGCTTTACATAATTAAGGCAGCTTGGGAAGGCCTTAACCAAGCAGTAGATCGAATATGGTTGATGATGATAGCTATTGTTATGGAAGTATATGATTATAGACCTGTACAGCGGTTGGAGGTTTCCATGAAACGATACCAGTGCTCCATACCTCTTACCCGGTATGAGGATGGTCTGCATTGGTGGCGCCTGCAGCCCCTGGGTCGGGTAAGAGAGCGGCGAGTTGGGACGAGCCACCAGGATCTTCTTCAGAACAGGATCCTGCCTGTGGGGTAAAAACCGTACTTCCTTTTTTGCACAGTTGCTGAGCACGGACCCCAAGGCATAACATTTAACGTGGCCAGCAACAAACTTTACGACCACATATTCTTAGGTATTTCGGTAAAGTCACGTAGATAGGTTAAAAGAAAATAACAAAAAATCACCCTAAACTACGACGGTATTTTTTCTTTCCTGAAGACGACCGCTTGTGTTGCGATCGAAACGTCGTAGTTTTTTAGTTATTTTATGTTATTTTCTTTTAACCTATTGACGTGACTTTACCGAAAAACCCAAGAATATCAATTCCTGTAGTCACGAAAGCTGTAAGTCAAGGTAGTATATTCCAAACACAGTGATGTATTCACTCAACTTTACCTGTGACAACCCACAGGCTGTTTTTTTTTTATGATGGCAGTGAATGGCAAGTAATATTGCTGTAATTCTTGAAAAATGTATCAAGTTCTGGAAGGATGTTGGGAATACAGGTCAAGAAGGCAGAAAGAGAAAAAAGGCCATTTTATGCCTTCAAAAAGGGAAATGAAGAAGAAAGCCCAAACCAGACAAAATGGAGTGGTACGAAACAAATACGTGCCATTTGGCAGAAGAACAAAGAAGGCGATTTTGGAAGGTGTCACATCGTAGCATGCCTCTGTAAGAATTCTTGCATTTCCTTCTGTCTCCTCTGGCGTGCGTCCTCCACTTCGGATGGCGAGAACCCTTTCTCTAGCTGTAGGGCGTTCCGGCCCACACAGGAGCACGAACCAGAGGTCAGCAGCCTGCACACCACCAACACGATTCCATTACCCACCTGGGACACGATGACCGATTCCCACATTCACTTGTCTCAATATAACCAGTACACCAAAGGACAGTGGTGACCCATTGTACCAGTTTGCTAGTACAACACACTCCATCTTCCTTGTTTTCCAGATCCACGAGACTTGCACGTGGTTTGTTGATTAACATTTACAATAAATTGAGAAATAGCCATGTGTCATCTATGCTGGCCCACTGTCACCAGACAAATTATCAGAATGGATTCTATTATCTGGTGGAAGAAGTTCTGTAGAGGCTACAATCCAATTGTTAATGTCATCCAATCTACACGTGTTATGTGAAACTATAAAACCCAAGATGGAGTTTATCACGCCACTAAACTGGGACCATGACCGCCCTGACCATACAAACCTTTTTTCTCAAACCCACACATGTTACGTCTAAACGGTGTATTGCCTCAATATATTATTGCAAGCCCCTCCTCAACAGTGTAGCCAGCACCACTCCACCAAAGTTTGTATTCACCAGCAGTTACCTAGAATGATGCTGCACATTCGGGTGGTGTCCCTATCGGGAGGGAACCTCGGGCAGCCACCCCACCCACACAACACTTGTTATATATAGATCGCTCGCACTCACCGCTGCACATTCGGCTTGAGGTGGTAGTGGACTTGCGTGTCGTGAGGGAACAACTGAGTGTGGTCCGAGAGGTTTATCGGGAACGACTGCTCGTACAACCGTTGCTCGGTAAATTCCAGGGACTTCACTGTCGGGATCTTGGCAAGGTAAATGTGCTTGTTCACACTCGGCACGGAGAAGAAGATGACAGACAGCAGTGCCACAACAGCGAGCATGCTCAAGAGCGTGAGCTTCTTCATGCTACACGTGGAGGGGTAAAACGAGGATAAGGATCATGACAGGCTATACAAAAGCGTTCATTTACATTATTCAGAAATACAACGAAATGAATTATGGTACATGGTTTATTTTTTATTTTAAGGCAGTATTATTGGCTGCGTTGTTTGTTAATTGTGCTTATGCACCGCTGCTAGTGCAGTATCACAATACATCGTATTATTCATAAATAGGTGTGAGCCTTTTAAGCACCTGTGTCTTTGGTCAGGGAGACCTGGAAAGCAATCCACATGCTAATATACACCAGCTGTCCATACAATAATGGTAGAAATTCCACATCTTTATGTCAAGGGCGAGATTATCAACCGAACAACTGTGTGACTTCCCCACAGAGTGGACTGAGTCAACCACCAACCAGGATGAGTCACATAAACTTCGGAGTCACCTGGCCGACATTTTACTTCTGGAGACTGAGGGTGGAGGGCCGATCTCATTCTGTGTCTCACGGCTCACTGAGATTGGATCAATGGGTTTTATTTGACACGAGAGGTTGAGAACTTGAGACTGGAGAGAATCCGGTTGAGCAGGTGTTTGAGAGTCAACAATAACTGCTAATGCATCGTAACTTTTATGCTTTCTTTATTGTTTACTTCCCACGAAATGTAAGCGTTTGAGGCAAGTGAATATTTGTGGTCGTGCCTGGAAAGGAAGTGTTCATTTTCCCCTTTGGCTATGAGTGCCTCTCTCTACAATTAACTGCCTCTCTTGTAGTTTTTCAACAACGTCTTGAGATGTAGTCACGTTTAGACGCTACAGTATATGAATCCATACTGTATTTCAGTTATTTACCGTGTATTTGAATGCACCGATGACCATGGGGAAGTATGGTCCAATTACCCACACGGCGTGGGAAGGCCATAATCCAGCAATGGATTTACAAAAAATGACTGCTACGCATGTACATGTAACATGCGGAAATTTGTGCTCAATAATAATTTGTATTGCGTTTTACTACTGAGACGTTTTCCTTGGAGTTCGTATTTGATATGAATGTAACTTTAGCATTTTAAATGATGAAAACATTTATATTTGTCAACATTTAATGTTGATATATATTTTTTGTGGTTTGTCCAGCGTTTTGGGGACCTGTTTGCATGAATGACGCTATATTAAACTAAACTATCATCATTCTGACGCATCGGGATTTTAATATTAGATTTGAAGTTTTCGTGACTGCAAGGGTCCATACTCTTTGGTTTTTCGGTAAAGTCACGTAGGTGAAAAATAAAATAAAAATAAATTAAATCACGACGTTTCGGAGGTAACACAAGCTTCCGTCTTCAGGTGGCACCGTCACAACTTGATACAGCAATTTTGTTGTGACGGTGCCACCTGAAGACGGAAGCTTGTGTTGCCTCCGAAACGTCGTGATTTAATTTATTTTTCTTTTCTTTTTCATCTACGTGACTTTACCGAAAAAACCAAAGAGTAGGGATTTTAATACTTTGCAGTCTGTGTTATTGGTATTTTTATGTGTAGTCGTTAATTAACATTTCCCCATAGTGGTTAATGCATATGAGCGTGGAATGATAATAATAAAAAACGAGTACAAATGGTCACGTTCGCCTTCAAACACGATAACAGGCACTCAAAACGCGTTGCGTTAAGTTACACGCTGGGTTCACTCGTACCGCAGCTCACCGAAATAACAATTTGAAGTGATAACGAAATAAGTCACGTAAACTTTTTTTGGAAAAGCGACTCGATAAAATGTTCGATAAAAAAGTGTCAATGTGGCAGAATATAAATGTACAGCTAAACACGTCACGATTCGTCTGTTGCAATTTCAACGATTAAAACTACGTTAACTGCACACCTTCCAAAAAGTATTATTTCGTTAAAACTTAAATTTACTTTAGGTTCTGTATGTATGCAGATGACTTGTACGTTCAGGGATAGTTATTACAATACGGACTTATTTAGTGTTGAATGATTATATATTGTATTCAACAGATAACTAAGGCGTAACGAATTTCAATTGACACTTGTACACCAATTAAAGAACTTATCTCCTAAGCAATTCGCGATGGAGCAATGAATGCAGCTACCATAGAGGTCCTACGTGGATTACACATTCCAGGGATGACAAGAGATCGGCTGACGACGGCTTGGCCTTCATCCAGCAGTGGATTGACTATGGTTGATGATGATGACGATAATACTAAATGTCAGAGGCAACGTATCTACCAGCTCTGGCAAGCGATGGAGCGACGTTAATCTATTGGTGTTGAAGCAGTGATATAAATTCCTCATTCCCATGGCCTGGAGCCATTCTATCTATATATTCTTCTTTAAACATAATAACGATTTCACAGATGTATGTATGCTGAACTTATTCACACCATACGTAGCCAACCAGTACCGTACATCAAAAATATAATATTAGTTTACATTTAGATGTTATCCTAAATTGTAATAATAAGTTATACCCACTTACCTTGATGGTGATGTCCAAACGATAAAAAGTGCGATAGCCTAGAATGTCTACCTTTTATGTGATGCAACACGGATGTACATAAAATATATGTGTCTCAGCGGGGGGGGGGGGGGGCAAGGTGCAAAGAGTGGGATAGGTGCATTGTGAAGAAAGATGGGGGTCGAGGGGATGGGGAGTGGGTCCGGGGGGTAGCTGAGTGGGTGAGGGATGGGAGAGGCAAAGGGCAGTGGATTTGAGCTTTGGAAGGACACGTTGGGTGAATAGTGAACCCGTTCTGCCATAGCTTCGGGACGTTTGGCATGAAATAATCTCCACAAATCCGAACCTTACCGTTTTCTGTCTAATCACACAGGCATACAGGTAGATGAACATAAAGTAGTGAGTTTAACACGCAGCCCTGGGAAAGACAATGCAGGCATGTCTCGCTTAACGAGCGAGACACGATCCGCGAAAATTGCTCGTTACGCAAAAAAAATGTTAAACGGTTATCGATTTTCTCTTTGACTCACACTTACCACACACGAAGAACCAGTGCTGTCCTCAGTGTCTGCAAATAATTAACACCGCCACCCACCCCACCGCTTCCCCTACCCTAAATGTCAATAAACGATCAATAACCGTCTTCTTGGTTCTTTCGGTAAAGACGGACCTGGTTTTCACCTGAGGACGGCTGCTTGCGTTGTGGCCGAAACGTCGTGAGAATTGTTTTATTATGTTTTATTTTTATTATTTTATTACTTCCCTTCTACGTGACTTTACCGAAAGAACCAAGAAGATGAATCCCTGCAGTCACGAAAGCTTTAAATCGAGATCAATAACCGGTTACCGATTTGCCTTACTCGTCTTAAACTTTTTTTAAAAAGTTGGCCATCAGTGGTATTTAACAATTGGTCAAGGTTTTACATTACTATTGGCATGGGTTAGTCTACTGGTGACTTATCACAAAGTGGTACGATTTTTATTGATTATGAGCAGAGTCATTAACAGTAAGAGGAAATGATTGGTGCCACTGTGATAGCGATTGTATCTTACAACATTGTACATTGTGTAGAGAAGTTACCGACGGACGTACTCGGAGACGGAGGTAAGTTAGGGGCTTCCGCCAGGGTTTATTACTCTTGGTCAAAACTACACAGGGTACACAACTCCCAGGGGCTAGGGGTCCTACTCTGAGTCTGGGTCCCTGCCGGCTAGCTCCGGTCTCTCTCTCGTGTCGGATCGTGGAGTCTGCCGACTCCACCGACCGGAGAGAGAAGCACCTCTTCGGCTACCACCGGCTTCTCCCCAGACTCCCTATTTGATCCCTCTCACTATCCCTGGTTCCCTCTTCACCCTGTTTACTATCCCCGTTCCTATAGTGACCCCGCTTACGTTACGGGGTCTCCCTTATATACCCTCAGAGGGGTGATGTCACGTGCACTGCCCAGCGCGTGCGACCCCACGTCCCGTGAGGTCACCGCACCGGACAGCGCACACGACGCCACCACTCTCCACTACTCCTCTACATCACCCCCCCCTGTGAAAAAAATTCAGCCGACTCGGCTGTAAACAATATAAAAGTAGAGGAGTCCCAGAACCACAAACCAACATATTCACAACCAACCGACAACATCCAGGCAGCATGACAACAATCAATCAAATTTCAAAACTTTGAAACTCTCATCACGCGCTGCCATCAATACAAAGGCGGAATCCCGATGGCCCAGACAACACACACCAACAAACAACAATTGAACAATTGAGCAGCCCAGACAAAACACACCAAAACGGACAATTGGGCAGTCTTAGACAAAACACGCCAACATAACACAATTGAGCGATGAGGGCTGGAGGCCGACGGCAGCATTTCCACAGGCCATCAACAGAGCGCACGCCTCCCCATGTGGCACGAATCGCCAGGGCAGGCACCGTGCCAGCTAGTGACAGGCCCCGGGAGAGCCGCAGCAGCCCAGCAGCCCAACGCAGCTCCTGCCAGGCGCGCGCCGGCCCGAGCGGCGGCTCCTGCTGCCCATGCCGCGGCAAGATGCAGAGCCGCGGCGTCGGCATGGCAACGCCCAGGCACCGCGAGGTGCGGGGCCGCGTCGTCGCCGGCGGCCCCCACCGCGATCGCTGCAGGTAAAATAGCAGCCTGGTGCGGCGTCGCCGGCGGCAAACCCCGCATGCACAGCGAGGTGCGGTGCCCCGGCGTGACCCTCGGCCCACCCCGCGGCCGCGGCAACTATAGCAGCCGCGGTGGCGGGCGCGCCAAACCCCGCAGGCACGGCGATGCTCGGAACCGCGGCAACTTCCGCGGCGCGGCATCGTGAGGAGCCGCGGCAGCGATGCACGGGGCCACGGCGACACCCGCAGCGTACCCCGCCAGCGCGGCGATGGCCGGAACCACGGCGGCACCCTCGGCAACTCCCGTGGTGCGGCGAGGTGTGGAGCCCCGGACGTACCTGGGGCTCCCCCGGCGGGCGCAGCATGGTGCGGAGCTGTGGCATCGCCGCTGGCAGACCCCGCGCGCGCGGTGTGGCGCGAAGTCGCGGCGGCACCCACGGTGGACAATGGCGTCGCAGTTGCCATGGCAGCCATGGCGCCGACGTGCGGCGTCGCATGAACAATGGCCGCCACCTGCAGCGTCGCAGTTAAAATGGCGGCCGCCTGAGGCGCCCCAACCAACATGGCCGCCGCTGGCGACGTCGCAGGCAAAATAGCCAGCTGGGGCGTCGCGGCGAAGATGGCGGCCGCCTCTCGCGGCGTCCCGGCAGTTGACAGTTGCTCCCATCCCGAGTGCGGACCGGGAGGACCCAACTTCGCCTCCGCGATGTCGAGACGGGCGCAGAGCTGCGCGATCGCCTGCAGGAGCTGCCTCAGCAGGTCTGCAGGGGTGCTCCCCGTCTCCAGCGGTGGTGGCGGCGAGCTGGCACCCCCGCCCGTCGTCTTCTCGGGGCCTGTCACCGGAGCCCCGGACTCCGGGGTCACTGCCGAAGCCTCCTCCCCGCCGTCTTCATCCTCCGATCGTCCCGTCGCTGGGTTCTTGCGCTCCGCTCCCGATGTAAACATTGTAGCAGCAGTGCAGACACTCTGACACCAGTTGTAGAGAAGTTACCGACGGACGTACTCGGAGACGGAGGTAAGTTAGGGGCTTCCGCCAGGGTTTATTACTCTTGGTCAAAACTACACAGGGTACACAACTCCCAGGGGCTAGGGGTCCTACTCTGAGTCTGGGTCCCTGCCGGCTAGCTCCGGTCTCTCTCTCGTGTCGGATCGTGGAGTCTGCCGACTCCACCGACCGGAGAGAGAAGCACCTCTTCGGCTACCACCGGCTTCTCCCCAGACTCCCTATTTGATCCCTCTCACTATCCCTGGTTCCCTCTTCACCCTGTTTACTATCCCCGTTCCTATAGTGACCCCGCTTACGTTACGGGGTCTCCCTTATATACCCTCAGATGGGTGATGTCACGTGCACTGCCCAGCGCGTGCGACCCCACGTCCCGTGAGGTCACCGCACCGGACAGCGCACACGACGCCACCACTCTCCACTACTCCTCTACAATTGTAATGCCACGACGCATACGTGGTCAGCACAATTCCTTCCCGTACCTTCGACACCCTCCGAATTACAAGCTGCACTTTTCCCTCCTGAATTTAACAGCAAAAGTTGGATGTGCGTCTTCTCGCCCGGTGTGTATGTGACCCTATTTGCATAACTTTATTGACGCCGGGCACAAGTTGGAAGCGTCTTATAATGCAGAAAAATACGGTAAAGGAAGAACCACATTGGGTGAAATTAACAGTGTAATAGACCGTACACCAGTGATTATGAGCACTGTCTCACCCTTAATTGAGGAAAGTTGACGTCTTCAGGTGAAAAAATACAGCAGGCGGACTGCTGTATTTTTTCACTTGAAGACGATTGCTTGTGTTGCGATCGAAACGTCGTGATTTATTTTTTATTTTTCTATCTACGTGACTTTACCGAAAGACCCAAACAGTATGGATTCCTGCAGTCACGAAAGCTTTAAGTCAAAATTGAATCATTATAAGGTGACGTCATCCAAATGGACCCCCCCCCCCCCATTAATAATAATTAGTGGCTGACGTCACTCCACATGGGGGGGGGCGAGGCGCCTCCTCCCCCCTCCTCGGCGTCAACTTACAACCCTCACTACAAGGGCAAAACCCTCGCCTCACGCGGTCTCCGTAACGCTATTGAGACATCAAAGTAAAAAGAACATCATGATGAACAACGGATTATAACCTTAAAATGAAATAGATCCGTGTCACCACGCCCTCACAAATTGCACACGCATTCACGCAATGAATATCACGTCGCGGTCTGCTTTTCGCTTGCAAGTTTCAGATTTACTGCAATCCACCCGTCCTTGGACGGGCAAAAGGCTAGTCAGTAATATTTGTCCATTCTATAAACTACAGAATCCGTTTGGACAATTATTCTCTTTTACGAGGGTAACTACGAAACCATAAAATAAATTCTACAAGCAACAATCCGTTCCGAGAAATGAGTATTATCATATTTAATTTAAAATGCACCAATGTTCACACTGCGTGACTTTAAAAGTGTATATATAAAGTGCAGCGCCAGACACACCTGTACATGATATTTACTTTGAAGTGAATTGTTTTAGCCTGTTGAGTGGTTGGATCGTGTTTGATGAAGGGATTGTGATTAAAAATGTCATTCTTAAAGAAAGGCACACAATGATTGGGCTAACATGGCCCGCAAAATCTCTTCACCACCCACATGCAGCGTTACCGCAGTATTAGACCCACAATGAGGTCAAGGAAAACTCGTCCATTTACAACGTGACCTTTACACATGGTATATATAGAAAAGTAAAAATAGGTATCTACAATAATTTTGCCACCCAATATACATAGCTCCGTGTTTAGGTATGATGAACAACAGAACATTTTAAAGTGTGTTTTTCGGAAAAAATGGAAAGAAACGGAAATAGAAGAAGACCTCACAGAGAATTGCTGAACACAGATTGGTGACGGAAATATACGTACTACTTGAGCATTTTGGCACAATATAGAGGAAAGTGGAAACAAATGATGGAATGTGCAGTGGACACTTACGATCTATCTGCCCATAGATCGTGATGATGATTAGATGTATCGACTTTAAAGTCGTAATTTTATCCACTGCTGGATAAAGGCCTCCTCACATTGTTTCCATCCCTCACAGTTCTGTATCTCACTTCTGCGCATGGTCTGATCCGTTGGGCATGTTCTCTCCTTTGCCTGCCATTCCATTACTAGTCTTATCCATCATCCATCATTCCATATGGTTGTATGTTCTGCCCCTAAGCCCATGTACTCTTCTAAAGTCAACAAGTTGACATTGTTTATCAATGGTGGAAGTGGGGAACTTCAGTGCTTGTTGCCACTCCCGCTCTCAAGGTATCTTTCTTTCATCTTCATTTACTTTACATTTCGGTTGTTTTTTTATTACTCTTTAAGTTACCAGTTGTTATTCTTATGTTGTATTTTTATTTATTATGTTTAATCACCATTCAGCTCCGTGGCCTTCCTTTAGTATTGGCATATGCAGCCTGCTCTTGCCTCAAGGCATCCAGACATGTACAATTACATATGTAGTGGTAATGATGGAGACTCAGTCTTCTCTGGAGGCAACACATTTATTTATAACAACTATAACGGTAACACAAGGTCCCTGGCACAAAGGGGTATTAGCGCCATCCTCCCAATACCTTGGGGAGGTATAGCCTCTGGGCTAGTGTGTCCTAATCACTGGGACCACTTACTCTATATATGTAGTGGTTTAACGCGCACCAAGGGGGGTAATTGTAAACACGTGTGGGCTGGGAACAGTGGGGTCGTACCTGGACAGGCTGGTGTTGCTGGGGGACAACGGAGGAGATGGAGACGGCCCGTTAGGCAATTATGGATGCAGGGCAGTAATTGGCCGGTTGTTGTTGTCAGGGACAGGGTGGTGCCTCTAAGTCTGGGAATGGGGACAGGTGACGCCGGGGTGCGGGGTGTTAGGGGGGACGCCAGTAATTAATTGGAAATTAATAGGGACGGGCATAAATACAGGAGAGTCAGAGTGAGACGGGGAGTTGTGCTGGGAGCTGGACGGAGTCAGTCGGAGCAGGAGAAGAAGAAGCGTAGAGTAGCAGTGGAGTAGAAGAAGCAGTGTAGGGTAGCAGTGGAGTAGAAGAAGAAGTGTAAAGTAGCAGTAGAGTAGAAGAAGTGTAGAGTAGCAGTGGAGTATAAGAAGTGTAGAGTAGCAGTGGAGTGGAAGAAGAAGTATAGGGTAGCAGTAGAGACGGAGAAGCTGAACGAGAGAGATAGTCGGAGTGAGATGGAGAAGCCGAGAGAGAACGACAATTGGAGTGAGACGGAAAATCCGAGAGAGAGCGACGACTGGAGTGGGACGGAGAAGCAGAAAGGGGAGTCTGGAGAGACGGAGAGAGAGAGGGAGGAACGGAGCGAGCGAGGCCGGCGGAGCACGGCGAGCGAGCGCAGAACTTGCTGGAGAAAGGTGGCGAAATGTGCTGTTTGGTAAAATAAAGTGACGACAGAAAAGGAAGTTGTCCGCGTAAAGTTCAGCACTACATATATATCAACCCCCCGGCTAGGGGGACCTAGGGGAGGCTAGCTGACCCGACCCAGCCAAGGACCTCGGGCCCCGGCCACTGGCCCACTCGGTCCCGGCCCTTAGAAGGACGTCGGGGTCCTGGGGGTTCCCAGGGTCGTAGTTTAAGCTGGCTCTTCAGTCTTCAGCTTGATGACTTATATACAGTTCCCAGGATCACTCCCCTCCTGGCCACGCCTACTCTCTGGAACCTTCTGGAGGGACCTGAACTATTGTGTAATCCCCCAGCCCCCACTGGGGGCCAGCGATGTGTACCTCCAGTTGTATATCCACAATAGCTACGAAACATTGTTTACATTTTCTAAATTACTCAAGATGTGCCAAATAACTTATCAACAGTGTACAATCACAAATGACAGGAGTTCTAAACAATTTTGTATGATCTCATAATATAAGTAAACTAATTTTGTAATTCAGCATCATAATCAACAGAACGATATTTACTTTAAATCAATCTCCATGTTGCTCTAAACATCATCAGAAGGCATTTGTTAGGTTCTGTAACACACAAGGTAATTCTTAAAGAAGAGGGCTCGCATCGTACGACTGCGAGCTTCCTTGGCGTGGCGGTATCTGTTGTACTGTGCCATGTTTCCCTTCTTGGGGGCGTGGTCGATGGAGATGTCTCTGCACGTCCCCACTCTCAGCTTCCCCAGGCCATCGATAAAAACTCTGTTCAGCAACCGCCAAAAGGAGAAAACACTGAAGTTCAGTGTTAAGAGTGCAGGATGGTGACATCATCCACCAGTCGAGTGTGCGTCGCTTGTTTACAAATTTTTGAGTCTGGCGGACCCCTGGTTATTGCTGTGGGTGTGTAGTAATGATATACTGTGTACGCGCCATCTGCTTCCCAGTGAATGTTAAAGATCCATGTAGGCCAGCGGTCGGGAACCTATGGCTCGCGAGCCATATATGGCTCTTTCAGTGACGGCATATGGCTCCCAGGCAATTTTGAGTTGAAAAAATAAATAAAAATCAGTTTGGAACTGATTTTAAAATACTTGTGATATTGCTTAATAATACTGTGTCATTTTAAAGTAAACAGAAATTAGTTTTGAAGATAAATTTCACGGGTCACGCCTGCATGAAGCTCAACCTCACCACGTATGAGCCAGACTACAAGGCCATCAGCAAAACCATGCAGCACCAGAAGTCGCATTAAAAGTAAGACATATTTAATTTATTATACGTTAAAAATACTATATGGCTCTCAATGAAATATATTGAGAAAAATTTGGCTTTTATGGCTCTCCCAGTCAAAAAGGTTCCCGACCCCTGATGTAGGCCATGGTGTATTGGTGTCATGGTGCAATATTTTTCAAATTTAAAAAAATGCCAATTGGTATTACAAACAGCAATCATCGCCCCATACTGGCAGACCATTTATTTGGATAACATCAGGTGTAGCTTTAAAACCTATGTACCTTAGCTGTAACTTCATACGTGTGTAAGGGTCGTGTTGGGACACGTTGGGTTGGATGCGAACACGGAGACATGCCAAATTAATCAAACATTATATAAAGGCGGCAGGAACGCAACTGGGAAGAAGGCAGGGGGAATGGCTGAGGACTGCATGAGAGGGATGTTTCATGAAAGAAGGAGCTAGAGAAACTTTCTGGAAAAAATCTGGTGGCAGAAGATATATAAGGGGTGTGTGACGTGTGCCTGGGACTCCTGAGGAGTGCGTATGTTGTATAGTGTGAGGAATTTAAATGAAGGCCCTAGACAAAGTTCGCCACGTGTGGGCTCCCAGTTACTTGTACATAGGTTGCTCTTTCAAATGTTGTGAGTAATATAAGAACGTTTGGAAGCTTCTAATCTGTGGCATACAGTATCGATCGAATGTGCAGGTGGTGCGATGGTACTGGGGCCTACATGACAGAGGGTCATGGGCACTGGGCTATGCAGTGAGAGGAACTCGGACAGAGGACCCATGTGAACCATGTAAAGGTTTAATGGGAATTGTCCCTCTCGGCAGGTTGCCAGATATCAATTAAAGCATTATTTAGAAAGGCATTGGCCAGGCACTGATATTTTACCATCTGCTTACCAATAGGTGGTGGGCTCCTGTGGGCTGTCAATTGCTTTCAAATATTTACAGTTAATTAATATATATTAATGGTTAAATTGTGAGCAAGTTGACATTTACTTAAGTTCATAATCCTCTTTCGTTACACTTAAAAATGTAGATCTATTAATGGAAAAGCTCATGGGAAATTGAGGGGTGAGATTCATGCTTGTATATAGGACACTTTTGTGACAAACCAGACTGATGACAGTAATATAGGCCTGAACTCTAAAATGACTCCAAGATTTATATTTTGATTGGAGAGCCACCCATCATCTTAAATCACACAAAGGTACTGTGGGGATATAAAACTTTCTAAAAGCACTTGACATGTTTTATTGAATTATATTGGCATAAAGATTCATATTGATATACCACTTCATAAACAAAAACAATACAGTGTTTTGTCTTTCATTTAGTTTTAAATGTCATCTCAAGCAGCAAATTAATCATTTTAACGAGTCATAAATTATATTCCCATATAGAAAGTGAATTAATACTATAATTGCTCGTAAGTATATGCACATTTGTAAAAAAAATGTTGAGCTGTTAGAAAAAAATATTCACCATGCTTTACAAAACAGTAGTGGTTTTATTTATGTGCTATTAACTTATTCATTATGAAAAAGAGTCCCCAACATAAACAGTGAAAATTCCATCATAAGCAGCAGGGCAAAGTTGCCCCTCACACACGCCACACTAAAAGTGTTTTTTCACATGCACACTTCAAACAAAGAGATTTAAACACGATAATTGTTTTTTTACCCTTTTATCTGGCAACAAAACTGACACATTTTTTTACAAGGAGTCATGTTTGCATTGACCACAATACCTGCGGTCGGAATGCAAACAAAAAACACAACTCTGATAATGTATGCACTGTTCTTGAAAATTGGACAGTGCATACATTATCAGAGTTGTGTTTTTTGTTTGCAATGTATGCACTGTCCTTGAAAACTGGACAGTGCATACATTATCAGAGTTGTGTTTTTTGTTTGCATTCCGACCGCAGGCATTGTGGTCAATGCAAACACGACTCCTTGTAAAAAAAAGGTGTCAGTTTTGTTGCCAGATAAAAGGGTAAAAAAACAATTATCATATTTTGCTACTGGCAAAGGAGATTCCAATGGTGTAAAAGATTTAAACACATCATTAACATTCACATTTTTTTTATCCGAAATTGTTATTTTAATCAAAATAATCCAATATATTGTCCCCATTGCCCAGTAAACTAGGTGGTTGTATGGCGATTCTTTCCACTATATCTTTCCCTCACAAAAACCTCAACAAAGTCCTCATTGTGCTTAACACACATCTGTTTCGTGAACAAAAAATAATCCTCTTATTCCATTGGAGTGTTTAGTTATGACTGCTGAGTGTATATAAGAGCAACGATATCAGTTTTTTTAGGCAGACAGCTTACGTGTAAAAAACATGCCCCAAACTTGTTGTTCAGTCGGTTTAGGGACCGATTGGTAACATTTTAATATCTCATTGCTGCATCCATCCAGGCTCCTCCAGGTTCCTGGACGGATGCCTTAAAAATAGACATTAATCCTTGCTGTAGCACTTCAGGCGGTTCTTGAAGTAAAGGGAGCGGAGCATTCGCTTGAGGGCTCCGTCTGCGCCGCTAGCGTAGCGGAACTCGTTGTACTTGCGGTCGCTGTCCCCCTGAGTCCAAGGCAGCTTGATTTTGGAAGCGTGATTCACCGAAATGTCGCTGCATGAGCCCACGCGAAGCTCACCCAGCCCATCGATGAAAAACTCTAAGGTTCCGCAAATGCAGAGAAACAAAGAGGAACATAATTGCGTGTACATTTATAGTTTTCAACAGATTTTTTTTTTTACCATATAGAAAAAAGTTGATTGTTATAAAAAATATATATTTGTTGAATTAACCAAAATAAAATATTGGAGCATAATGGCATTTTCCACACAAATGGTACATTTTATGTTCATGAAATCCTAATTTTAGCTCCATCAGAAACATTACAAAAACAAACATTACCTTTAATAAGCCCAGAATTATTTGTGGGAAATTGTTACTTTAAATGTAACCGTACATGTATACATGTACGTATACTTAACACAAAATTAACGGACAATTTCCGGATCATGGGGCATTGATTTCATCGTGTTTATGCAGCGTGCGTGAGGGCCCGTGCCTGTGTGAGCCACGCGGTTGAGTTGAGGGTCGAATCCAACCCGGCGCACGTTTCTCGTGTGCGCCATGAAGAAGTTCACCACTCCGTCCGTGAGCACGCAGTTGGGTAAGCCGGCCAGCGGGTGGTAGTAACCACGGTGCTGGTGCAGACAGTACCCGTCGGGTCCTCCTGCTTGCACCTCCAGCTTGTGCTGGAACGTGGTCTGGAAGCCGGTCACCTCCCGTACTGCTCCTCCAACCTGCAAGCAGAATGGTTTGTGCATGAAACAGCACCGCAACAAATCTCATGGAACTAGCGCAAACCACGGCATACCATCACAAATGTTGACTTATGAAGAAACTATGCAAACAAATGCAAGGGCATATAACAGCAACCACCAAGTCCACTCAGCTCCACATCCTATTGTACCATATCACTCCATCTCTTCTCCAGTCGGGGTCGCGCCCATTTAGCCCCCTCTATCCAGCTGAACAAAAGCTCTTTAGGCACGCGGTGGCTGGGCATGTGGGCTACATGACCCAGCCAACGCAGCCTTGCCTGCTGGAGGAGCTCACCGATGGGACTTTATCCCGATCTTTCAAGGATTTGTGAGTTCCTCACACAATCCAGCCTGGTTAAACTCGGGATGGATAGTAGGCAGGACAGCCAAAAGGTTTCTAACCCGCTAAGATATTTCATTATGGGAGGTCCACGTTTCGCAAGAGAACTGAAGCTTCGTGTGAAGCAACAGGTAGCTTCCACAGAGCGTTACGGAGCCGAGTAAAAGATAATTCCGCTCGACTGATTCGCAGAACTCTGCTGTCAAACCACAGCCTGTCATGAGCACACTGACCAGGTACAGTATGTAAAACTCTCCACACTTTCCACAACTGCCCCATCACCAATTGGGAGTTATGGGGGTGGAGTGTCTGATGGTACAAAATACCCAGGCAGGTGCTTAGTTTTGGTGGGGCTGATGGTAAAGCCCCATCTCTTCATGGCATGCTCCAGGTACAGCAGCTGCGCCTCCAACTCCTCCTCTGAGTGAGCAGCAATCACCAGATCATCGGCATACATAACATGGTTGACCAATAGGGAGCCATCCCTTGACCGCACCTGGACGTCGATCAGCCTCCCATTATATCTGTACCAGTTGGAAATACCTCTTGGTACAGCGATCAAAGGCTTAATGAACTACATGGTCGAAATAGATGTTAAATAATGTGGGAGCCAGAGGAAATCCCTGTCGCACCCCAAGGTGAATATGGAATGGCTCCGACTCCCGGCCACGTAGTTTTACCAGGTCCTGCTCACTATCATGAAGGTCCGTAATGATTGTGAGCAGAGAGTCAGGGACTCCGAAAGCATGAAGAACAACCCAGAGGTCAGGCTTACTGATGGTATCATATGCCTTGACCAGGTCAATAAAGCAGAGATGTAGGTCTTGTTGGAATTTCCTACACCTCTGCTCTAGCAGAGGTGGGGCTCCGCAAGCCTCTCCTCAGCGTGCCTGGCAAGGCGATGTTGAATAATGCTTGCCAGGACCTTTCCCGGCACACTGAGGAGGGAGATGCCCCTGTAGTTGTTACAGTCTGCACGGTCCCCCTTCTTAAACAGGGGGACCACCAGGGCATTCTTCCAATCCTGTGAAACCAATCGAGTGGTCCAGACTTATTATGATGTCATGTAGGGCAGTCTGCAAAGGCATATACACATACACTCGCTAATTGTATGTGCATGTGTGTGCATATGGATTCTTTCATTTGTATAATTTGTAAATTACTCCAATGTAGGACCCTCTGGAAACGTGTTCCGAATCTGTGAGACGTTTTTTATTTAAATATTTTTTAAAGCAGATACCTTGCTGAGCTGTTTTCCAGGAAAATTATTTTGAAAATTTTGGCTAAACATTTTCAAAAGAAGGCAACTTAGAACGCTAGAACTTAACACAGATAGATGAGCACCCTACTTACTGTACTGCTTCCTATAGATATTTAATTGACCTGCAGTTGGATTTTTTAAACAAAGGGATTGCAATACAATTTGACACACAACAAATACGGGAGCAGGGAGCTGGGCATGCATGAGTGGGCTTGGAAGGAGGACTTTTATTGTATGACACATGGCTCATTGTGTGATCCACTAGCGCCACCTCCAGGTGACGTTCTTGCAGGTGCAGTCTATGCCACCACATCGAGCAGGTAGTTATCGGACTGATGGGAAATAATTACTTATTTAAAAAATCAACGTAGACCACATGGGTCAAAGGCGCATTTCACAGTGCCCATCTTGATTGGAAGTTCTAGTTCTGCGCCTGTACTATTGTGCAGGTTGTCACGATTATGCTATATATTTCCTGAATGAGCTCCCAGCACATAGAGTGAAACGTTGGACATCATGCCAAAGAACATGCAGTACAACCCAAACACACACACATCAGAGAGCTTGAGCAGAAAACAAAGGGGCAAGTCTGGGCAGACGCACCACGTCCAGTGAAGTCTTCTCCAGCACCTCCACCATGCGCTCCAGCTTCGTGTTCTCCGAGAAGAGGAAGTCATCATCCACCCACAACAGGTACTTGGTGCTCACCTGGGAGATGGCAAGGTTCCTGCCGGCAAACCAGCCCTGTGTGGGCAAGAGGGAGAAATGTCAGACTTTTCTGGTGACTTGCCAATTCTACTTCGCATTTTGCCATCACGAAACGTTAAACAAAGTTAATTTAAAAACAAAAATCACATTACATTAAAGTGAATTGATGCTCCAATGAGCATAGGCTAGTGATTTTAAGTTCGTGGCTCTGAGCCACTAACAAACTTGCCGGCCTGGAAAAATCATATTGTAGGGGCCAGGCTGTCCAAAGAAAGGCTCCTGTTGAATTGAAACTGGTCATCATTCTCGTGAGCACTTAAGAGTCAAAAACGTTGTCACAGCATTGCCTGGTAAAATGTCAGACGTGGTGAAGTCCAAATGAAAAAACAATTAGGCTCCAACAATTCACCCGCCTTGTAAGAACTGTAAATCATTTCATTTAAGAATCGATTCTATTTTAGCATTGTGGTGCCGCTCGTGGCTGGAGTCATCACATTAATCCATTACATAAAATAGCATTTTTAGATATATCTATTTTTACACGTGTGATTTAATGCACGTGCTTGAGAATTGTTACAACCCTAATAATCGGTGCCGACCTTCCCATAAGGCATGATGTACTGCTCCACACCCGGCTCGCGGAGCATCTCGACGTGCTCAGAGTCATCCGCCACGATGATGGTGATGTCCGGGTAGAATCTCCGGATGCTGGCAATGAGCCCCTTCAGCTTGTCGTAGCGCAAGAACGTCTTGGTTACCACCGTCACGAGGTTGCTGATATTTCCATCTGTTTTAGAAGGGTCGCAAAATTAGCCCCTAATTGTCTTTATCTAATCTCATATTTTTTAAACAAATCTTGTGATTAACTTCATATCTCGTGTTCATGCAAGTTGCATCTTATAATCGCTGTGGATGCATAGACAAGCTGGAGGGCCGCCAAGTGGTGAGTTAGTGCCAACAATTGCTCTGCAGTTCCCTATACGTTTATATTCTTTCAGTTAATAAGTGAGTATTTATAAACTAGGGGTTGTTCGGGGATGACACATGCACGCAAGGACTTGATGCTCCGTTTTGAAGTTTTAAAATGAAACATCTTTGAATTGTATTATATTTTTAATTAGATAATTGTATTTCTTCATTAAAAGCTTATATCATTTTACATCTGGAAGACTTAATTGAAAACGACATTTAGTGTGAATTTTCTCTCATCGTTAGGTAGATGGCCTTGCTGGGGGTTCGGTTCAATGCGGACTTTCACCTGTTTGGAATTGCGGGATCGAGATAAGGCGACATAGAGCTGGTCGTGCGAGAACACCGCCGTCTGCTGATCGATTCCAACGTAATCGAATGTCTGTCCCTGCACCTCCGTCGTTCATGCAGGGGGCGCGTAGGTTTGCAGCGCCCCCTGCATGAAAACGACGGAAAGTGCAGCGTTCATCACAGATAGATAAAGGTGTGCGCTTATATAAGAGTATCTTAAATACAGTATAAATGTAATTTTTTCTATGTCTGTCCGTCTGTCTGTGTGTGTTCACACGCTTGCAAAGGATTTGGCTCTCAAACGGTGGGGTTTACATAATCTGTCTATCCGTCTGTCTGTGTGTGTTCACGCGCTTGCGAGGGATTTGGCTCTCAAACGGTGGGGTTTATGTAAAAAAAAATGTGCCAGGTACCACACCGTAAGCCCCACGGTTGGCAAGCGCTATTCCTTTTCCACGTCCGTCACCTTTAAATTAGTTTAGTTAGCGATTTTGTGCGATTTTTTATATTTATATAGTTTTTCTGCCCGGCGCGGAGCAAAGCATGCAATTGCACAAGCGCAAAACACTGACAGGAGTTGTTCCTAGCAACGCACACACGATTGCTAAAAAATGTCATTCGCGTTAACAATGCTTAAAAAAAATACACAAAACACTGAGGTTCATTCTTCACAGTCGTATGTCCTCTTCTCCAAACCCCCACCCCAATGCGTGCAGTTACTGATATAAAGTCCGTAGATATTAATATTATAGCACTTGCATAGCATTATTTCAGCGCGGGTGGGGAGAGCGGTCCAGCACCCAGCATGGCAATGTGTCACCTCCTCCGGCTGGGCAATCTAGGCGAGGCCGTGGGCTCTGTACGGGACTAGGCCTCACTACAGTAATGTAATGTACACTTTTATTTAATCTTTCGCAAATAACTCAGGTTAATTGTTTACTATTATGAAACTTATAAGTTGTCAAATATTACAATAAAAATGTTTGTGTGCAGAAAACTAATATTGCATTATTAGGTTGTTAAATATTTTCTTTTTATGTGTTTTTATGATGCTGCGATGGTGTACTGCGAGTCTGTGCTGTGGCCTGCTGCCTGCTGATTAATTAACTTCAGTGCACTGGCACTCTATTGTCTATACTGCTAATGTTGCTTTTGGCCATTATGAGTGTATGCCAGTCTATTATCTGTTGCCTGCTTCTTTACCTCACTTAGTGTGCTGCCAGTCTTTCATGTCAACTATATCCTGCTTTTTCAGCTGCTGCCCGTATTGCCAGCTTTTTTATGTCGACTGTAGCAATGCTTACGTCATTGAGTCAGCGTACTAGCAGTCTATAATCTAGACTGTAGCCTGCTTCTCAACTTACCTGTGCATACTGCTGCTCTTTAATGTACATTTATTTCAGCTTATTTCTTCAATGCATTCCTTTTGTTTCCATTGCTCACGTCACGCTATTTACTGATACGTAGTACTGCGATGCTGATTAATATGTTATACTGCTAAATACGTTGGACTTTCTTAGCTACAGCCCATTGCATTTCGTCTATCGTTTTGTTACATTCGTGCTAGCATCACCCATTAAAATTTTGCTGTACCGCACCTTTACTTTCCACCAAAGCAGGGAGCACGCAGGGAGGTTCAATGCCCCAAATATTGTTGACCTTGCTTTCTTACGGTGGGTGAGGAACATTGTGAGAGAGACATTGTTCTTCCATACCAAGAAAACACCATCGCACGACTTCCTGAGACTAACAGAGCATACGATGCCCTACAATAACACATTTTCTTGTCTCAAGGCCAAGATGGGTACCACGTCAACATTCCTCCAATTACAAAGCTGCAGGACAAAGACATCCTCACAAAACTGTCTCCTATAAAACAACTTATATTCCTTCATGATTACGGACAGAGGAGGAAACCACATATTATGGTGCGCCAACCTCTTTCACCAGTATGTTGTCGATGAGTATGCCAACATTGAGAGTGAGCGCCTTCTTTACATTCAACTGAATCAAAACCGCCTGAGTGTGAACAGTATGCTCATACCTGGGACGCCATCAATGCTGAAGGAGATGCAAACGCTCAAAATGTGGGCAGATTAGTTATTTTGCCTTCATCCTTCACAGCTCCACCAAGATACATGCATGAGAAGACTCAGGATGCCATGACGTACATCAGCCAATATGGCACGCCCCATCTCTTCATCACATTCACTTGCAATCCCAAATGAAAGGAATTTCAGGTTTACCTTTATCCATACCAAAAGCCACCAGACAGACATGACATCTTAGCGAGGCTCTTAAAACTCTAAGTTTATGACCTCATGATGCTTATTACGACCAACGAAGGCGACGTCTTTGGATAGACAAGCAGTAACTTGCACACCATTGGGTGGCAAAAACGTCGTCTTCCTCATGCTCACATTTCACTATGGATGAGGGAAAAATTCATGCAAGTCACATTGACACATTTATCAGTGCTGAGCTATCCCACCCCTATCAAGACCCTACTCTTTTTCTATGTGGTCTGCAACCAAATGGTTCATGGCCCATGTGGCCAGTTCTATCCAAATGCGCCATGTATGCAAGACGACAGGTGTACCAAGAGGTATCCACCGAACTACTTGAAAGACACTCAGTCGGCCCATGATGGCTATCCTCGATATCGTCACAGTAATATTGAGCATGGTGGATTTCAAACAATGCTCACACCTGCCACTAACTCAGAAATTAAGGTTCACAACCAGTGGATCGTTCCCTACTGCCCTCTTCTGTGCAAGATCTTCCAGGCCCACTTTAATGTGACATTCTGCTATTCTAAAAAAAGCCATCAAATATGTTTGCAAATACATCAACAAAGCCTCTGACATGGCTGTCGTTGCCTTACAAAACAGAGGGGCAAAGTGTGCATGAACTAAAACTTTTTTCCAAGGAAGATACCTCAGCAAAAATGAGGCCATTTGCACATTTCTTGGCTTCCCCGTCCATGACCGTTCCCACACAGTTGTCCATTTGGCACTTCACCTCCAAAATGGTCAACGCATCTACGTCACCAAAGGAAATGCCCAACAGCAGGCCCTGGCGTTCTTTGTTTGGTGCCAAAGTGACCCATTTGCTGCCAACCTCCTCTACCATTAAGTTCCTTCCTACTATACATGGACTGCAAAAAAAAATGTAAGCGACGTGCTGCTGACGGTGAATCTGATGCCTTAGGACAAGTCTACACAGTTCATTCCAACAATCAGCAGTGCTACTTTCTCCCAATGCTTCTCCATGTTGCCAAAGGGCACAATCTTTCCAAAACCTCTAAACAGTGGAAGGAGTTGTCTGTCAAACATACAGGGATAGCTTGCAATCTTCGTGTAATTCTTGCACATGATCACCATCTTCATAAAGCTATGACAGAAGCTTCTGTCGGTCAGTCCCCTTTCCAACTTGACATTGCTCTGCTGGATAAATCTTCAAGTTTGCAGCCCATCTGAACCCCATGGGACTGTGGCAAAAATACAAAGAGGGCAATCCTCCACGGAGCTCAATAAGAAAATATAAACCTCGACGTCAACTTTTCTGATGTCATCTTCAAACAGGCCCTCGTCCTCCTTCAGGACAAACTGCACTCCATTGGTGGAAAACACCTCACGTCTATGGGACTACCAACACCCTACAGGGACAACCTGCATGCCCTTGTGAACTATGCTATAATGCTTTCGAGCTTCTTACATTTATTCGGAAAATGTACCTAAGCTGATTGATGCACAAATAGAAGCCTACACGAAAATCTTGGAAGACACTGACACTACAAATCCATTTATTTTTTCCTTTATGTACCTGCCAGTACTGGGAAGACTTTTGCTTTCAAACTGCTCCTTGCTAAGGCTCGCCAGAGAGAGAAAATTGCTCTAGCTGTGGCATCATCGGGGATTACTGTGTAAGTCGATGTGTGTATGTGAGTCGATGTGTGTGTGTTTGAGTCCATATGTGTGTGCGTTTAGGTCCATGTGTTTGTGTAAGTCGATGTGTGTCCGTGTGTGTGTGTACGTAGATTTGTATGTGTATGTGTAAGTCCAGGAATGCGTGTCAGTCCATGTGTGTGTGTCAGTCGATGTGTGTGTGTTAGTCGATGTGTTTGTGTGTGTGGGTCGATGTCTGTGTGTGTGTCTAAGTTGATGTGTGTGTGTGTCTTTTTCGCCCGGGCAACGCCAGGTACTTCCCGCTAGTAATTTATAAATGTGGGAGGAAAGTGGAGTACCTGGAGTAAACCCACACATGCGAGGGGGCGACACTATCCCAAGCAGGACAGATGATATGTCCACACTCTGCTGTACTGCATTCTGCTGGCGAGCCAGAGTATTGCACCTCGATGACCACGAAAAGGGATTTTCGCAACGTTTGTCATACAGTATTTTGCGACGATACATCAACCCTCGCCTCCACATTGAGTGAGTGTAAAGTATGTTTTATTTGTTATAGAGTGATTTTAGTGTATAGTACATTTTTATTGTGATATAATTATGCTATCGAGTGTATAATAGAGTGTAATTATTATAGTTTTCTGTCATCTATCATGCGTTATAAATGCAATCGTGATGTTATGTTGTGTATAGTACATGTTGAATATTATACTGTACTATGATGTTAGTAGGTAGGTGTACAGTGGTTTTTCTTATGCGCCAGGGCTCTAGAATCCCCTGATGAAGAATATCTACCGTTAAGAATGGTAACGTCATAAATTCAATAAAATAGTCATAGGATACCAATTCTGATGTAATTTCTGATGTAATGACAAAGCACAATGCATGGGGGCCCGTAACTCAGCATTTCCAAACTTTTAATTCTACATATCAGACCCAAAACATTCTAAACATAGTTTTTGAAAATTATTTCCTTTATTTTTGACTTCTTCAAGATATGCTACACAGACCGATAAATTATACTTAAGTGGTTATCTAAATAATATAAAAGCATGATTGCTCTCCGGTGTGTTTTCGGGTTTTACCACACGTTGTTCAATGTAAAGGTTGACACTTCGCTCCATGTGCTGGGAGCTCCGTTAGAAATTTAGTTCATTTTTCTTAACAAGCAATATGATGGCTCACTTGCACATGTCCTCTAATCCTTGTGTTTCTCCTCATATCTCAATGTAAGTCCAAGCACATGCCTCTCCATGATTCTTTACACATTTCTTGCACACAAACTCGACTATGATGGATTCATTATTTAGCAAAATATGTCCATTGACAAATATGAGAAACAGAATTGAGAACATTTTAAGCTCACAGTTGTCACTCACCAGGACCAGGGTCGTAGAGCCAGGGCAAGCTCTGGTGCGCTACAACGATCGGTATCTCAGCTCTGTGTTTCCCGCTCTCCAGCTGCACTGTAGACAGAGAGAGCGAAAAGGAGAGCAGCGCTCCAGTCAGCAGAGCGCGCCGGCACGCGAGGTCCACGGTGCCGTGGTTGGACGTTCAAGCAGGGCGTGTGTCGCTTCTTGCCATACCCATTTCGGAGGTGCCCGGCTGGTACACCGTGTTGGTGTACGTGACCGTACGCAGCTGTAGGTTGAGGTTCTCCAGGTGGGAGCTGCTCAAGGAGAGGCGTGACTCGCCCAGCCCTTCTGCCATCACCTCTCCCACCTCCGCCACTGTGTCCAGCACCCCCAGTTTCGCGGACAGCGTCACCTAGTGGGGGGGGGGGGGGGGAGGACAGGAGCCCATCAATGCACAAGGGTGACAATAAAATCTGCAATAATCTATTTTCTGACAATTTACCTTGGGAATAACATGAAGTTCTACTCGTGTGCTCACAAGTAACACTGCAACTCTTTTATGCATCACAATGGAATTTATGTTTTGAAAAACGTACAGGAACATTCAATGATCTTGGCACCTTTAGCCAGATTTTTCTGCTGACGTCATGCACGAGTAACACCAACCTTTTTCATTTCTTTGTCACCATTATGTAGTCCTAATCCTGAAAAAGAGAGATTTATTTCACGTAATTTTTTTCTTTCTGACAGATAATATTTTATACAAATGTAAATAAACTATACATATGTCTATGGATTTCACATTCATTCACATGTGTGTGCTGCTTAGATATTTGGGATTGATAGAGAACCCTGGGGTCCTCCGTGCCTCTCACCTGGTATGAGGATGGTCTGCAGTGGTGCCACCTGCAGCCCCTGGGTCGGGTAGGAGAGTGGCGAGTTGGGCTCTGCCACCAGCATCTTTTTCACGGGGAGTGAGTGCCTGTGGGGAAAATATGCAAGAGAGGAGGCTCAGTGACACGCCGACACCAGCAGCAGCTTTCCACCCAGGCAGATCAGATTTGACAACCACCTGCAAGGAATATGTTGACGTCATAACAAAAATACCAATAAGACTTGGTCCAATAGGGACTGAATCCAGATGTACCAACTGCAGACACTTACTTCACCTGGAATGGTACATTCTACAAACAAAATGAGGGTACCCCAATGGGTTCTCCCTTATCGCCAGCGGTAGCGAATGTTTTCATGGAGAAATTTGAGACAGATGCCATCCAGACATCCACCCTACGTCCTTCCCTGTGGAAGAGATACGTAGATGACACGTTTGTCATCTGGCTACATGGCCTGCCAGCACTGAACCAATTTCTCAACCGCATCAATTCCATACACCCATCTATCAACTTCACCATGGAAGTGGAAAATGATGGCAAGCTAGCATTCCTGGATGTTTTAATCAAGAATAAACCTGATGGCTCGTTGGGACACTGTCTATAGGAAGGCCACCCACATGGATGCCTATCTAAAGCCTGACTCCCACCACCATCCAGCCCAGAAGAATTCCCTCATCAAAACACTACACCATAGGGCCTGTTGCATCTCCGACCAGCACCACCTCGCCAGTGATCTGGAGCATGTACACCAAGCCCTCAGAATGAATGGATATTCTGACCGTACAATCCGCAAAGCTGTCTCCCCAGCCATGGGGAGACAACCATCTGAGGATCCAATCAAAACCATCACTTTGCCATACATTAGCAGGGGTTACCAAAAAGATCTCCAAAATCTTAAACAAACACAAGATCCAGGTTAGTATTCTTTGGTTCTTTCGGTAAAGTCACGTAGGTATAAAATAAAATAAATCACGACGTTTCAGGTGCAACACAAGCGTCGGTCATAAGCTGAGAAAGCATGGTCCGCTGCTGAGGCAGACTGTTTTAAAAGGTTTTAAATGGGTGTAGCCCAAGGGTCATAAAGAAGTGGCCGGGGCTAGTGATGTTAACGTGAGAAATTAGCATGTAACTGTAAGATAGGAGAGCGGCCTCCTCGACGAGGACACGGAAGTGGCTATGTTAATGTGAGAGATTAGCATGATGTTAATGTGAGAAATTAGCATGTTAATGTAAAATCGAAGAGTGGTGCAATCCAAAGGCATGAGAGCAACCCAAAGGGTGCAATCCAAAGGACATGTGAGCATGAGGGTACAATCCAAAGGCATGAGAGTGCAATGTAAAGGACATGTGAGCATGAGAGATCTAAGAGAGAGGCATAGAGAGAGAGACACAGAGAGTCGGAAATAACAGCTGACATAGGCAGGTAGGATGAAAACATCACAGTCAGTTAAGACTTTACCTGGTTAATAACATCCTTCCAATGCTCTTTGGGTCTTTCGGTAAAGTCACGTGACTTTACCGAAAGAACCAAAGAGTATGGATCCTTGCAGTCACGAAAACTTCAAATCTAGAATCCTTCCAATGATTGCTCATTTTGTACCCATTTTCTCGGTTGAAGTTGTCTGTGTTTATATATCTGGATAGCTTCATGAACACATCTCTGAAGATAGCCGGTAGGTTTGCAGAGTACCTCCGTCTTAGAAAAATCTATTTCGTGTGAGCCCACAGCGTTAAAACAATGATCAGCAACGGCAGAGGTATTGGTCCTACCGTGTTTCAGATCTGCCTTGTGTTCACGAACGCGGTCCGAGACATGTCGTTTCGTTTCCCCAATGTAACTGCTGCCGCAACCACAACTCAGTTTGTAGACACCAGGGTATTGCATGTCAGGAATTACATCCTTTACAGATGGGATTAAATCACGGATTTTGTGTACTGTGTTGAGCAGCCAAATACTCTAAATGCATGTTTCTAAATGTGGAAGAAAAAACTGGAGGACCGGGAGAAAAATCCACGTGACTACGGGGATAACACACAAACTCCAACTATACAGGTGTTAGGGTTAGAATCAAATCCACGACGTCCTGTATACCAGGCGAGGCAGTTAACATCTCGCCACTGTGGCACCCCCGTAACATCTAAAGCTAGTACGGAGCCTTGGTGACAGAGCACACCTGAGCGCGAAGGTCAAGTACTCCCGCTGCCGGCGCCGGCTTGTGTCCTTCAGCAGTGGCACCTCGAATGCTGCCTCCAGCTGCTGGACCTGCTTGTGGGGCAGGAGGCGGTCGAGACCCGGCACGGGCAGCAGCGGTGCGGAGCTCTCGCATGTGCACGTGTTGCTGGGCAGTAACCTGCGGGGAGCGGCACGGGAGCCGTACACGGCCAGTAACATGCAACAACCGCACGGGTCAAGTACATTTTATTCTTGCTTACACGCGTGGTGCCTTTCTGGTACAGATCTTGCCCCCTCAAAAGTGCCATTGCCACATTAATATCCATAAACAAAAACAATGAAAATTAGATACAATAATAAAACAACATATATACCATCCATAGTTTAAAATGTAAAAAAAGCCAGTTGTGGATGTGAGTTAGTTGTTATACATTGACCAGAGCCGGAGAATCACACACACCTATGTTCAAATTGTACTTGTGGGCGGTTTGACAAATGCAAAGAATACTTTTTTAAAATGTACGTTTAAGATGTTTTTTTTATCATTCTTTCATTTATATATTTGATACATATTTTTGTAAAGTTCATGATTTATCATGGATTTTTTATCAGATTTTATATACTCTACCTTAATAACAAGTGTTAGACGGGTCTTGCTTGGGACGTCTGGTAAATAACATTAATTAAAAAAACATACTTGTTGCACCAAATCCGGTAAGACATCAAATTATTTTGTCGAAAGTCGGTAACTTCCATTATTTACCAAATGCATGCTCCATCAGTCAGCACTTTAAAGCATAAGGCATGGTCAGAAGGGCATAGGGACATCAGAAACACGTGTGCACTCACGTCAGCATTTCCGACTTTATCCGGTAGGGAATGTGCAGCTCAGTCAGTTGAGGCAGGGCAGCCGCGATGCTAGACATGTGGGCGCTGTTGCTCGTCACGTCGTGTTCGCTTGCCAAGCCCACGTCTACGGGCCGCCCGAGCTGTCTGCGGCCACCCCACAGCGTGTGCAGGTTCGGACTGAAGTAGAGCAGCAGCCCGGCCAGCGTGGCCGTGAAGAGCACGCGCCGAGACAGGCGCATCTTACGCACAAGTGTCAAGTTCCACAAGCTCCCACAGGACCACCGGCTGTGGGCAAATGTTTGTGGGAAGAAGCAGAATGCGATGGGATGCAGTGTTACTGCTCATGGTCCGTTTTAGCATTAGGCAGTTGCACAAAACCCTAGAGACAAAGAGAAAAAAGCTTAAGGCTGGGGCCTTCATCCTACATTTCTAGCAATTGCTCTCACGTCCTTGAAGAGTACATTATTGCGCATTCACCATCAGACTTATTTACGAAGTGTCTCGGTGCTCAAACAAGTGTTGGAAAGGCTGATGTCCCATTAGCAGCCCAAAGTGGCATTCGTTTTTCAACTCCTGAAGCAGGACATTCCAAGTCAACCCCCTTAACAGTGGTTTGAACTCGTGACCATTCTACTGTGAGTTCAGAAGCTCGCTATAGTGCAACCCAAGTGACCGTCTTCATTGAAATTCAAATTAAGTCATTAAACATTTCACCAATTGATGAGTACTTCAAATATAATGCTATTCAATGGTCAGGGCATGGGAAACAAAGTTTGGGTTGTTGCAAAAGCCTACTGCCTCAAGTTAATAGAGAATGTGGGCAGAGGAACTACAATTGAGAAGAGAGTGTTGTCCACTGTGTGAAATCACTTATGCCAGGTGCTACCAATAGAATGCAGGTTCTGCCTCAAGGCAGGTATTTTGCTCCACGGCAGGAGTGGGGGTGTGAGTATACAGGAATTTCCTGTTTTGAGGTTGAGTTTGGTCACATGACCAGGAAGTTACGATTTGACAATCTTTCAGCCACGAGGCTGGCGTCCGTCATTACACAGAGTTCAAAATGGTGGCACACATCGTGTCCCAGTGAAGACAGCTGTAACTGTACACTGTGCGACTTTAAGAAGCATTGTCTGTACGTTCGTTTATGTTCTTATAATACTGGGAATGCTGTTATAATGTTAGAATGACCGTTATAATGCTGTAAATGCCTTTATAATGCTGTTAAATTGTTATGACAAATACGAGGCCTAGTTAACAACGAAGCCTGCAACTTGCCTTATTGTGAATGTTACTTGTAATTCAATAAGTCGAGTCAAACTTGTACCCAAGTAACTATATTGCGATCTTGAGAGCAAGGATGACGAAATGTCTCATCCACAGTTCAGTGTTATATGTAGTGCTGTACATTTGGGGTGCAGTGTGATGATTACACGATGTGCCTTTATTTAACACAGTAGCTTATTCCCTTGTATAGCTGTTCAGTACTAATGTAGGTGCCTGGTCTATCCAGGATCTATTGTTGAGTTATGTTATCTAAGACAATGTTATGGTGTTGTAGTGTTCATTCATTGTATTGATATTACCAAGTATTAACATGTACCGTATTTGTGCTGTTTTTCCATCAATTTTACCTCGCTCAATTCAGCGAATTACGTTTGGAGTCGGATGTTCACCCTGGCTCTGAAGGTTTACTGGATGCGAGGTTAACTACTCGGATAGCGGTGCAACGCAGCGCACAGCGAGGCCGAGACAATGCAAAACACCACAAATTTGGCATCCTTCATACTGCACAACTCATTTGCTTTCATGTGACGTTCGTCCACAAATTACTACTATAATAGCCCAGAAATGTCCGTAACGTACGTGACGTCACTCCGGCATGCCCCCCCCCCCTCATCTCCATATATATAAAAGCAAAGTTGTGATTATGTGTGTCTTTTCAAAATGTTTAGCGTACTTCCCGACATGCAACAAACTTGAAATTTGCCATGTGGGTACTTTCCAGACTGTACACCATGCAAAATACTTTTTTGGGGGGTGGGGGGGGGAAGCTCAATAATGCATATATTTTTTGCACGGCAAGTGAGCTGTGACGTCACATCTGTCATGTGACCCGCGCATGTGGAAGCGTAACGCATTGTAGTGTAGTGGTTAGCGCGCTGTGCTACGAACCCGGCGACCTGAGTTTGATTCCCGCTCACGGCCACCACTGGTGATGATTATTTGAACCGGTCCTGGGCCTCCCCTAGGTCGACTCAGCTTCAAACGAGTAACTGGTGTGGTGTGTAAACATCGCCACTGGGGGGACAAAGGTGGTCGGGTGTGGTGAATCCAAGTCCTGGGCAAAGCCAGGTAGTAAAGCTAGTTAATGATAAAATAATCATGAGAAGGGTGGATTTTCACACGTGGAAGAAGGTCGAGCGGAAAGATATATTTTTTCGCAAAGTCGCTTCCAATATGACGTTTCTTTACAGAAAGTGACAGCCAAAAATATATATACGCAGCATAGTGCTACATCCGTGCGTGACGTCACTGCAAAAGAGGCCCCCCCCTCTCCTCAATAATCATGAGCGGGTGGATTTTTACACTCCCACAGGTCGAGCGGAAAGACTTTTTTTTTTACGAAAATTCGCTTTAAATTGTACGTGTCTTTATTGAAAGTTAATCAAATAAATAATGATATGCTGGAACACAGTGTATTTGATGTCTTTATTTATTTTTTCAGCACTTGAAACAAAAGGTAAGTCAAATTTTTGCTTCTAAATTATGATAAAATAGATACATTTCTCCATTTTCCAGACATTGTATCGATTTCAAATGTATTACAACCCCAGCGAGCGAAAGCAGAACAAAATAAAGTATCAGAGCAGTGATTTTGAACTAAATGAAGGTGAGTTAAATGCAATGTTACAGTGACATGAAGTGATGGTCTTTTATAACACTTTTGTGCAAGAATCACTGCCATTAATACAGTAGAAGAGATTCACGCAAAATATCGTATACCAAGGTTTCATTTCAGTTAACAAAAATATATTTACGTGCAACAATTCCGGAAAAAAATTACATTCACGCAAGAAAACGTAAATGTACATCTTTAATATTACAGCTTCTGTCCTAGGACGGCCAAAAGGCTCATTTAAGGTCAGTTAAATACAGTGCTACAGTCACATGAAGTGAGGTATTTTTAATGACAAGAGTTTGTGCAAGCATCACTGCAATTAATACAGCACTACAGTTAAATGCAGTGTAGCGTTTGATGACATTATTTCGTGCAAGATTCACTACCATGAAATTTACACAAGATACTATTATACTGTGCTCAATTTTATCGTAAATATTACAGCTTCCGTCCTAGGACGGGCAAAAGGCTAGTACATAATAACAAACAGGAAGCAGAAAAGACTGCATTGCCTTGGTGAATAACAGATTTCTCTCTGATGGGACTAACAAACTTTTTCATTTAGAAGGCTGGCATGGCAATGACACTTTGTAGGGCATTCATTGATAATGTAACTCTTCAGGATGACGTTACTGTCTTCATGAAATCTCACGAGCTGTTACATTTTTTTACAAATGTATTATCATGTTTTAAGCCCTCAGCTTGTGAAGCCACAGGTGACTGCATCGATTTCCACTGAGTTTAAAGCGTTATTCTCTGCAAATTATTTGCTGATGCTGCATTGGCAGTGGTGCACAAGCACAAAGAACAAAAAAGAATCTACACTATGGGGACCTCATTTGCCAGTAAAAATATGATAATTGGTTCTTTACCCTTCTATCTGGCAACAAAACTGACACCTTTTTGCAAGGAGTCATGTTTGCATAGACCGCAATACCTGCAGTCATAATACAAACAAAAGAACATAACTCTGATAATGTGCACTGTCCTTGAAGTTGATTGGTCCACACCCGAGACAGCTTTCCTTCGAGCCTAGTCTCATATGGGTTGGACCAGATGACGCCAAAAGTGCGCCTTTTGGCGTCATCTGGTCCAACCCATATGAGACTAGGCTCGAAGGAAAGCTGTCTCGGGTGTGGACCAATCAACTTCAAGGACAGTGCACATTATCAGAGTTATGTTCTTTTGTTTGTATTATGACTGCAGGTATTGCGGTCTATGCAAACATGACTCCTTGCAAAAAGGTGTCAGTTTTGTTGCCAGATAGAAGGGTAAAGAACCAATTAACAAAAAAGAACTCGCATTCGTCAGTAATACCGCCTTAAAAGGAAAAATACAAGCGACGTTTTGGGCAATAACCCTTATATGTGCTATGAAGAGGGGCCATTACCCAAAATGCCACTTATTACGTATATTTTTTCCTTTTCAGGCAGTTTTATTGACAAATGTGTTCAGTTTTTGTTGTTTAGAGTCTAAGCACAGCGGCTTGAGGAAGCCAGCAGGGAATAACTCATGGCTCATCATGACAATGAAATGTTTAACTTCACAAAAGCATTTTTTTGGGTACATTAAGAAAAATAATAATGTCCTCACCAAGGAAATGTACAATTTGAAATAACTAGTAGCATGTGGTAGTCAGCAACATTTTTAGAGGTTAAAAAGAGGTATGCACACTGGAAAAGGTTGTGAAATGCTGTACTACAACGTTTCACAGTAGAAACATAACTGTTCAATTGTGTCGCAAGATGCATCGTAATCGTATCGTCGTAAACTGGAGACGCCTGTTATGTTTCAAAAGTTTTATTACTGAGATTTAAAAATGCATAAAACCACGATTTAATTGAATATGAATGTTTAACAAATGTTATGCACTCAAAAAAATGCTTTAAAAAATTCTGGGCAGAGTAAAGAGAAAATCACATTTGCTCCATTACAGTATGACGCTTGTGTTTTATTGTATTGTTAATTATTACACGGATTTTTTTACTCTGGGGAAAGTTTAATCGATAGAGGGTGATACAAGGAGTATATTACAGAATTCATTATTCTCCGTATTATAAAAATAACTTTTTCCCTGTAATTTAAATCACAGGTTTGGTGGGGTGGGTCTTACTTTTCTGTGCATATTATAATTCCAGTGAATGTGTTTGTTCGCCGATTCGAGATGGCATATACATACAGTGAGGGAAAAAGTATTTGATTCCCTGCTGATTTTGTACGTTTGCCCACCGACAAAGAAATTATCAGTCTATAATTTTAATGGTAGGTTTATTTGAACAGTGAGACACAGAATAACAACAACAAAATCAAGAAAAACGCATGTCAAAAATGTTATAAATAGATTTGCATTTTTTATGAGGGAAATAAGTATTTGACCCCTCTGCAA